CCAGACGGAAGTCTTGTCAAACCATTGAACCAGTAAGCCAGTGTCATGTTCCCGATCGACCCGTCAGGGCCCCGTTGTCGTTGCCGCGGCCTTGAGACTTGCGTGTTGAGAAAATGGAACTATACTACTATGCTGTCTGAGAGAGGACCTGGTGCCCACTCTCTGCCTGTACCCTGACCCGGACGAGCCTATTGAAGCGTGTATCCAAGGGAAACGAAAGAGAGAGAGAAAAAAAAAAAAACCCTCGAATCCTAGTTGTTTTAACGCCAGCGACGGCGGAGGCAAGCCGAAGCCCAAGGGAATAGCTCGGGTTGCCCAGTGGAAGGGTTTGGTGGCCCGGTGCTCCGTCTGCAGGGAGAGAAAATGAGCATAGAATATTAACTAGGTAGTGAGTGTATCCGTAGAAAGAAGGGGAAAGAAAACCGTGCATCGGACCCGGCGCCGACCCAACATGATCCAACCAGCGGCAGATGGTAAGAAAGGTCGGTACGTATAGCAGGAAGGTAGCCTACAAGGGGAAGGTATCTACCTACTTACGAGCGTACCTTGCCTTTCTTTCCTGACCCCCTGAGGAAGCAGGTGGTAGTCAGTCGTACCTACCCTACCTACCTAGACCTAGGTAGATAAAGATGGGTTACTAAGGCAAGGACGTTTCGCCCCGTTGGATGGAGCAATGCTCTTTGTGCCATGTGCTTTGTGCTGTGCAAGTCTAATTCTAGCTCAAACAATGCTCGATATGCCGTACCTTTGCATTGTTTCTTGTCACAATCACTTATACAACTCCTGTTCTCCCTCTTGCCCTGGGAACACTACCTAGGTACTCTGTCTCATGACATCAAGCCCAGCACCAACACGAAAACCTCTTGGCTTGTCTAGCGCCCGAGGCAAAACGGATACCCAGGTGACTCCGGCTAGGAATACAACTTCCGGTAACGCATTCAAGAGCATCCTGGCGAGCAACAATACTGGTACATGCGCAGAGAGCAGATGACCGGCGTTAGCAAAGGATACCAACGATATGCTCTATCGCAAGCCATCCTCCACCCGTCCCTCTTTACCCACAACGGCTCTGCTGCCCTATGACTCTATCCAGTTTCTCAAACTCGCCGTCGCCTCGAGCTATCGACCACGGCAATGTAGCTGACGATGGCCGCTGTGTTTGGCCAACGGACTGGCGCTAGTCTAATTTTCCGAAAAACCCAAACGCCATGCAGGACCGCCGGGCGACTGATAAGAGTCAGGCAAGTCGAGGCCAAGAGCGCGACTTGCAATGCCACGCTTGTCAGCTGAGCTGCCATCTGGTATTGTCCGTCTTGTCAACCTCTCAAATGCCTCCGCATACACTAGCTAACATGACTTGGAAAAAACCGGGCCTAGACCCTCGACTTACATCATTGTCCGGCGCCGTCCATCATCAAACCAAGCCCACCATCGTCGTCGACCAAGACGCACGTCGTTCCTTCTCATAGCCTCCAAGGTCTCCTACCGTCGGCCACCAAGAAATGAGCGGTGTGTTGGCGTATCGCCTTACCGAGCTTGTCTGCCCCTGTCTGGTGTTCGCCTTACTACAGAGCATCTCCTAATCCGCGCCTGGGTGGTGGTACGCAGGTTTCTGTCCACCTACCCGTACACGAGCAAGTACCAGATACGGACGGCAATTAGAGTGCGTGCTGTCTTGTCTCTCCTGTATGTCGCTCCTATGCCAGCGCACACACACTGACTGACTCTCCCCCTGCTCTTAGCAACCAAGCGTTTGGCCTACCAGCGTTCAGCATCAGGGCCCAGGCAATTACACCAGGCGCCGCCTTGCCGATTGCGCTACCCGCTCTCTGCATTCTAATCGTGCCATTCCATCTTCATTCGTCGAGACCCTTGGCCATCACCTCCATCCTTAATATTCGATACAGGTTGGCAAGGCTACAACACCTCCAAGCCGCAGAAACGGAAACGCCTGGCTGCTTCGGACAGGGCATCCCACGCCCGGGATCTCCCAAGTCTTGCCCGTCTCGTCATCCCTTCAGCTCGGCCTCGACGGGCGGTGCACCAACTAATCGATGCCGCCGCAGGGCCCTGCCGTGCAGCGCACTGCGGAAATAGACGGCAATGGTTCTGGAGAGAAGAGAACCGAAGTAAGACTCCAGAGCTCAACATGACTCCTTGCAACATTCTTCGGTTGCTGGGTCGAAGCCTGCGAGAAGGGTCCTGCTTGAGACAAGGTTAGCAGAAAATTGCGCGGTGGCTGAACCCCCCATATCATGCGTATCGTGGCTGCTAGCCGCTGACTGCTGACTACCTACCTGGGACTGGTTGATCTAAAGGAATGCCATCTAGGATGACAAAACACAGTCGCTTGCCGATTCGTGTTGTCGATCCTTTAGATACAACGCCTTTTGTTTCCCCGGCTGGGGAGGGGTCTGCATCAAGCGATCATTCTTGCCCTTAGAGATACCAAAGGTAATTCCATTCCTGGGTGTCCTCGGCGCGGACTCCGGTGACATTCACAAAGACCAGAATGACGTACAAAGGATGCAGGCCATATCTCGATGGCCCTGTTTGTGCAAGGTAGTTTCCATCTGGAAAACCTGGCGCACCCCAAAGCGAAGTCGGCCCAACAGTGCGGCCAGCCAACCGGGGCCAAGACTCTAAAAACCGGTTCTACCGAATTATGTCGCCTTGACGGCACGGCCAGAACGGAGTTTTGGCACATCTGGCACATCTGGCACAGAGACAATGCACGACGGCGGCGCCCCTTTTGAGACTTCCACACTAGACATATTTACATGGCTGAACCAATCTGCAAAGATTTTCAGCGTGACATGTGCTTCTGGAAACGGCTACTGGTATCCGTACTACTCTCCGCAAAGCGGATCTGAGAGCGATGGACCAGCAACGCGGCAAACGAGCCTCCGGGTACAGAAGGAAATTTCCAAGGGGGAAAAGAAAGAAGGGGTAAAAAATAAAAAAAGAAGCGGTCCATTCGCCCCATAGTCATCTTCTCCCCACAGCAACCAACGGGGCCAGCCCTGGGTTGACGACGTGGGATCGACTGGGATCTGCTGAGCTGCAACTGGGGGCCGCTGGGGGTGGTGTACCGGCAACTCGCAAGGCTTCATTAAGTTTCTCAGCTAAGCTCAGGGCAATCCCTCGCTTACCACCCCCGCTCATCGGCCTGGCCTCACTCCCGGTCCTGACCCCGGCTACGCTACACTGCTCACTCGTGCGGTGCAAGTGTTTGCGTGCTGTGGCTCCGCTCTTCCTACCCACCTAGGAATGGTACGGTTGATATAGTCCCGTGCGACCTTTACCCTGCGTTGCAGTTCTCGAATAAACAATCGACGCCTGTTAGAAGTTGCTAACAAGCCCGATATAGTACCTCAATTGTCTCCAAGCCGCCGGCCGCCGGCCGAGCGAGGAATCCCAGGGTCCCGCGAAGGCTGAGACAGGCCCTTGCGGTTTTGGTGGCTGACAGAGGCATCCTGATCCGGAAGGGTGGTGGGCACGCACCGATGGAGCTCTCTACGCTACATAGGAATAGCTCGGAAGCTTGGGGGAGCTGGAGCTGGAGCTTGGGGGAGCTTGGCCACTACCAGACCAAACCAGACCTAAGCGAACGATAGATACATCGTACACCGAGATGATGGCTGACGACATTCCCGCAGAGCCACAGATGTCGACTCCGCCCAGTCTCTTCGTGTCGTCCCCGTGATCCTGTTTCACACAGCCGGTCTAGGCCCAGCTTCGGCTGGTCTGGCGGCGAACAGACGGGCGAATGGCAGCTTGCCTGCTGTTCACCAGAAAGAACCCCCCCATCATCAGCGGCGCTGAACAAGCGTTCAAGTGATGGAAGTTGAGCAGCGGCGCGACACCCCGAAGCGCAGGGCACGGGCATTGAAGGCTGCCAGACGCCAGATCAGATGCCAGTCAAACTCTGTCTAAGACCGGCCGGCGGTGAAGCGGCACGCTCAGTCGTTCATCTCCACAATGTGTTCCGTGCAGGAGCAAGAGACAATGATGCCGTGTATATTCGCACGTGTGTCGCGCTCAATGGCTAGATCTAGTCTGAAGTGAAGACGGCGGCTGCGGAAATTGGTCGTCTGACAAGAGTATCGAAACTTTGGTGACATGGCCGCAGAACCGGCCGATGTTTGTTTGCAAACGTCGCGCCTCATAGATTTGTTCCACGGGGCAACAGAAAATGGTGGACGGCCGGCGCCAGCCCACCTGTTCCCCCACCCACGACACGGTCCGCTGCAGCTACCGGTATGCTGTACGTCAACGCGAGTGCAGTAGTAAGTGTACGTATGTACGGGCTCGTATGCAGAGAGCGAATGTGCAGCGAGGTTGGATGGATACCGGGGAGGGATGCAGAGCTATACTTTGCACTGCGGGCAACGAGCCAAGCTGCATCAAGCCGCTGCAGCTACTACATGCGCTACAGCCATGTTTCTGATGCTCCGCCATGTTGGCCGGCTCACTAGCCTCCACAGCCAGGGTTGTTGAAAGCTCCAACAGCTCCCCCAGTGACCGCAACTATCTATCGATGGCGAGATGGTCCAGCTTCGTGCAGGAGTAGTCACGCAGCAGCCGGCCGCGACTCACGAAGTGGGGACTGGGAAAGCTCTCGATAGAGAGAGATTCTCGTATCTCGCGTTGCTGTCCCGGACGACACGGACGACATGGCAACATCAGCATCAGCATTCACCAGCAACCGGGATTAGAGCTCCACCCATAATGGCCTGGTCAAGGACATACATGTTTGTGTGATGACTCCCGGGTGCACAGAACCCCTCTTCGTTACCAAACCATGCAGCATCCCCAGCTCCCCTCGACACGCCCGCCGTCTTAGGGGTCCTTTTGTTTACTTTGGACTGTTCTTGGACAGCTCGACTCCATTACGGATACTCGGTCGACCGACACAGCCTTGATCGACAAGTGGATGTCGGTCCTTGATCAAAGCCTATTCCAGGTTGAAAATGAGCGTGATCTTGTTTGTCGCCTGTGCGTGATGTAATGGCCCTCGAATGATTTCTCCAGGTCAGGAATTAGACAAGTGCGTATGAACGAGGCTCCCGAATTCAACAATGGAAGAAACGGCGTCTCACATAATTCTCGACTCGGCGAAAGGGCTGATGCTATCGTCAACCCTGTTGATATCGACGGCCGACCCTGTCTCATCACCTCGCCGCTAGCCGCCAGCTGTCATTGGCCCACGAACGACCGGCGTCTAGACCATAGTTGCTAGTGGAAGGGGTTCCAATTCAAAGCGGATTGCGTGCACAGGCATCCGCACCTGTCGGTCGTCGGTGAAGGCGGGCGGGGAGAAATCAAAAAGTTGACTGACAGTGACTGACACAGGCCGTCTCTTGACGGCACCGGTCTACCTATTTGGATTGCGCCTCAAACCTTGTAACGAAGGTCGGAGACTCAGCCGAGGCCCATTGTACATACAGTGAGCATCCCGGTTCGGCAAGATGAGCCTCCTTTCGCGTTGCTCCATCAATCGCACGAGCTTCACACCATCAGGGGTCCAAGACGACAGGCTGTCAGGAGCTACCTCCTGATCGCGTTGATGAAGATTATCCAACTGAAAAATGATACGATTCATCCAAAATGTCGAGATCCCAACATTGGTTGTTCTCCCCCCAAAAAGGACAAAGTGAAAAGGAAAAGCCCAACCGAGAAACCCCCCAACATATTTGTCGTCCAAGCGGTCGGAGAATAACTGGCATAAGCTCAAGATGCGATGGCGGGTGACACCGCTGCGCTGTCGCTGTGGTGTGCATCCATCATCCATTTGTGTGTGTGTTCCGCGATCGCGATTCGGCTCTGCAGACGCGAGAAGGGAATTCGAGGGGCAATGTCCACAATAAGCGTTTTTTCTCGAAAAATTGAAAACAAAAAGACATGGCATTCAGGCATCCTCCCATGATAAGCGGACACGGTCTCACCCTGGGGTTTTGCACATTGCGGAACAGTAAAACAAGAAGAGATAACAAGGCCACCCCACCATCGTTACCGTTGGGCTGCTGGCTGCGTACAATACCGGTAGATACTGTAATGGGGTTGGGTGGCATGGTCCCAAGAATCACGTGGTGGTTAACACAAGGGATGGAACAATAGGAAGGCCACCCACCTATTGAAAAAGGGATTCACAGACCCAAGAAGGGGTCAGGAAGGACACATCCCCTCATACACAATCATTCATACACGTTTATTATCGTTAGCCTTCATACTCTATACAGAAATACACTGCCAGTCATTACCGCACTTTTATTCATTTGGTGAAATTCACTCTTTTTGCGATTGCTCCGTCAATTCGTACTTTTATTTCAGTATCTTTGCAGATTAGGTCTGAGAATCGCAAGACCTATCGATTGATATATATATTATTATTACCAGACGTTGTTGTAGTGTGGGTGGTTTTCCCATGTTTTGCCATTCCTCTTTTCCTTTGTTAGGTGGCCCAGATGCCCCGCCCTTTCTCAATACCTGGCATGTGCGAGTGAGCGACGACGTAGAGGGCGGTGCAAGGAAATCACATCTCGATGAGTAAATCATCGATCACGCACCTCCCGCCCCGATCACTCCCGGCCCTACATACAGCAGACGTCATCTCCTCGGATTCGGGCCTGGCAGCGATCGTCATCGCTCAAAAAACCCCCCTTCCCTCCTGGCCTGCAGACCCTCTTCCCCAAGACCCCGAGACAGGAGACCGAGAGTAGTTCGCCTCATGGATTTGTATCGAGATCCCGCTCGACCGGGCCGTCATTCTCAGGCGGTCGCATCGTCCTTTTTTCTGGAGCACTTCCACAATTCAAGGCATCAGTACCATGCCAGTGGCACCCGATGTCGATTGATTTCATGGCCAATTTGACGGCCATCCTACCGCACCCAGCACAACAAGCCAGGGCAGCGCGACAACAATACTAATCATAACAACAACAACAACAACAACAACAGCAGCAGCAGCAGCGTGCATCATCACCGACAAGCATGTCGGTCAGTCTGACGCCTGACCGGCGAGCCCACCGAGAAACCGGATTGGATGGCTTCGCCTTGTTTGTTTGCCCGCGCGTATGAGACCTTGATCGTTGGGTGGGCGCTACAAGGGCGCACGATGGGGTAGGACCGATGAGCCCGCCTTGCACTATCGAAGATTACCTGCATGATGATGGAAAAAGAAGGCGTTGCGAACAATCCAATGAGGCGGCGTGATGGCATGGGGAGGTTGACGAGCTCAACTTTTAGCTCCGGGTTTGGCGCTGAGGGACAGACAAGCGTCCACTCGACAGGCGCACGATGGAAGCCGAAGCCGCGCGTGACCGACCCCTCCCGCGATGGCGGTTCCCCTCGGTGTCCCCCCCTCTCTCCCGTTGTTCTGGTTTCCTCAGCTCTGCCTCCTCGCGCGCGCACAGAGCCTGTCACTTGCCCCCCCTCACTCTTTGCTTCTCCTAGGTACTCACTCCCGTGCCCCCTCCTCCTTCTGCTTTTCGGGAAGCCCAGCCCACGATCAAACACGCGTACAAGCTGGCTTCAAGTCGCGGTGCATAGAGAACGCCCCTCCTTTTTACCTCGTCCTTTTTCTTCTCTTTAAACTCTCATCCTCTACGGCCGACTATGTCTTGCTTCGACGTTTGAGGACTCGCTCGTCCTCCGGTACTTGACGAGATCAAACGGTGCCGTTTGACGCCGTAACAGCGCCTCGTCCCTCTCTTCCCTATCTTTTCTTTGTCCCCTCTCGGTGGTACGGCTATGGTGAGGGCAGGGTAAAGCGCGAGTGCCGGAATTAAGAGACGCCCTGGCGTTGCAATGCGGGCAGAAATGCGAAGGCTAACTATCGGTACCCTATCTACCACTCTCGGATACCCGAGTACTTTTCTGCTCCTACACACTAGTGAGGGGGTTTCTTCTCGGCGCTTCTCGTTTTTTTCGTGGCGGGACACTTTGTACTTTGTTTACGAACTGCGGACTCGCGACTCATGTAAACAATGGGCCCCTGCAGACCCTGCCTCCCAGACCCCTGCTCAAACGCGAAATCACGTGAGTGCGGCAAGGATATTCGGCCGTCCTCGGGTGTGACGTCGTTCGCTTTAGCCGCCGTCAGCCAGGCGTTTGGCAGCTGGCACGCTGCGGTCCCGTTGGCGGGATGGTTGATGACGGAGGGGTGAGGTGGGTCTGGTGGTGGGGTTGAAGGACGAGCGGGGGAACGTGCACTGGAAGACGAACCAGGGATCAGCAACAGCAAAAGCAACAGGAAACGTATGTTCGTGGGTTTGGAAGCTCGCTTTCTCCCCTTACAAGAGATTTTCATACTCGGCTTTCCTTGCACTGGTGGAGTTGGCACGACTCGCCATCTTCATCCTACGGATATGCTTGGTGTTGGGGTGTGCGGACGACCGAGGTCCATTTCGTCTCTCGAATCTGGGCAGCTCCCGGGTTGCTTGCATCATCGCATCACGGGCACCGCCGGGATTCCAGCTGCTGGTCGAGAAACCTTGGCATCCATCCACCTTCTCCCCTTGGAAATGGAGTCGCTGTCGAAACAGACCACCGCGTCGGTTGCATTCGCTGACGCTATCGTCATGGGCAAGGCTGTCGAGGGATTCTGTTTACCCCTCACTCACTCTGCACCGCCGCCTTGCAAACCATCACCCCCGTCATCGCCAGCTCCCCGGAATACCTGGTTGTTGCTACCTAGGCTGAGACCGAATCCCCCTCATGGAAAGAAGGCATACCGGTACATGGGCTACTCTGACATCAGCTGAACTGGACTGTGTTCCCCGCTTTGCTCGTCGACGGGAGGGGGGGAGGGGAGAGCTTCTATTCTGAGACGCAGCAAGGCAACAACGGCTGCGGGCAGGGAAGCGCAGATACGGGGACGGTTATTTCGTAGCACTCCGTACGAGCAAGCTCCAAAAAACCCCCCGATGTCGAATGGGTTCATGCCGGGTCAGCTGCTGGTTGCCCTGGTTGGTCTACGATGCGACGATCCAACAACGGCTGGGTCTAAACAACGCAGCCGTGCCATACCGACCGGGGGTGGACAAGGGGACTGACGGTTTCTCATTAATTATGTCCCGAACTTTTTTCTTTTTTCCTTGCAGGAGCCCGCACACCGATGTCTGAAACGAACGATATCACCCGGTGAGCCGGGTTCTTCATATGTCGTGTTGCCGAACAATGGGGAACGATGCGTTGCCCGTCGGACTGATGACTGACTGGGCCTCCCATTCCCCAGACACCCCCCTCCCCCTTCCCTGGTCGAAACGAGAAGCACCCAGCGCGCGAGGCCGGAATACAGCAAGCAAAAGCACGAGTACGAGCAGAAGCGGCAGCGGCAGCGGCAGCAGTAGCAGTAGCAGTAGCAGCTGATACCGCAACATCGACGAGGGTCCGCCTTGGATATACGTATCTCATCATCGTAGGTACGAATAGTAAGCCTCAGATCGCCGCACCAACGAGCTGCCACAGCAGGGTGCGGACAGCCGACGTTCACCCTGTTCGGAACCGTGTCGCGGGAAGCATGAAGCTGCGCAATGTGCCTCGGATTGATTTCAATTCATTTCAAACAACAAGTGCATCCAACCCCCCCGTCAGTCACAGTGATTGATAATCCCGCGTCCGCGCCCGCGCCGTTGCTAGGCGAGGCGCATGCATCACCCCCCCCCCCCCCCCCCCCCCGGGCCCTGTGCCATCATCGCAAGGGTTCGTGTAAAAATTGTCCGACTGCACTACCTGACGGGCTGTGCTATGATCCCATGATAACCACCCCCACCTTGCCTCTCCCCGCCACGACGGCTTCAAGGAATCTTCAGGGTCCCTCTTTCGCTTGTGCACGTCTTCCCTCAGCTCTCCTCGTTTACCTCCAATGGGGGAAACGAACAACGGCCTGATCGGGAGAGACCGGCGCCGCCACATCTCAATCGACCAAACCGGCCGAACCCGGCCTAGCCCGGCCTCCGTCTTGGTCCAGCGACTGAGTGGCGCCGGCCCCAATTCCCCATGGCATTCCTCGCGCCGGGTGGGCACGCCCGGTTCTCTCCCTCATTTGGAAAGGGGCCGGCCGCGAGGCGGGCGGACTACCTATGCATAACCCCTTTTTTTGGAGGCGGACGCCAGTCGTTGGATTTTTCTTTGTTTGTTTCGAATTTCTAGTCGACGACGAGATTCGACAGACGGCGGAGGGTCCGTCGTTCAGGGGTGCGGAGGGATGGCTGACGGGATCCCCCTCACGGGGCTCCTGGCCGGCGCCCGCGACAGGCGCACGTCACATCTGCTAGCAGGGCGTCCGTCGTCTACCAGCATGCGTTTGTGGCGGCCGGCTCCAGATCGATGCCCGTCGATGGGGGCATGCCCAGGCCTCTGAGCTAAAACATCAAACATTCCTCCACGAGCGGCAGAGACAAAGACAAAGAAAAGACTAGGGGTGGCGAACGGTGTGGAATGGTGAGATGGAGAGACAGGCTCCCAATCTTCACGCGCGGACCCCCCCTCCGAGCTGGGCAGATCACAGCCCGAGGCCCGTCGTGTCTTTCTATTCCCTGACGGGTATCAATCGTGTCGTGGGCCTCCTGGTTTCCCGTTCCTCGGATCTGTCCGCAGTAGTTCTGTTGCACGAATCTGGAGAGTCGATCCGTCCGCAGTAGTTCTGTCACACGAATCACGAGAGTCGGGTGTCGGAGGCTCCGCCTCACCCCCTCCTGCCGTCGTTCTAATCCGCCTTGCCCCTGAGTACGGGATGCATCTTCGTTGCTCACCCCTCTTACCCCTGAGCTTTCTACTCCAAGAAAGGCCAGACTCTCACCTCCACGCCGCGGACGCGGAACCGGAACGCAGAGGCGGCGCCTCGCCGAAGACGGCCTCGTACCAGCGTACCAGGCGCCCACAGCCGTCATCGCTGGCGTCGTCGTCGGCGGGCACCTGAGACGCTGAGCCGCAGGCCTTGGCTGCGAGCACGACGTCCCACATGCGACGCTCAACATCGAAGCCGCTGTCCCGGGTCAGCTGGCCGCCTCCCCCGGGGCCCCACAGCCGGCCGGCCCTGCCCTCCTCGTCGAGACGGAACATGGGGTCCGAGGAGGCGCCGACGGCGCCGACGTCGAGCTTGAAGAGGTTGTGGTGGATGAACAAGGTCTTGGCGGCCCTGCGCCGCGACTCGGCCGGGTCCTCGCGCGCGTGATCGAGGGCGGCGGTGGCGTTGAAGAGGCCGAAGTCCTCAGCCGGGTCGGCCTGGCGCATGGTGGCGGTCTCGAAGGAGCCGTTGATCCAGCGGCCGAGGACGGTGACGGGGGTGCGGACGTCCCAGAAGGGCCGGTCCAGAGCGGCGGCGGCGTGGAGGAAGGTCTCCTTGTCGCCCTCGCCGGGGGCACCCTGGGAGAGGAGGGGGTAGAAGCAGCCCGGGCCGAACCAGTTGTAGTAGGTCGCGAGGAGGAGGTCGTCGGCGTGGGTGGCCTTGTCGTACAACAGGATGCCGGACTCGGAGCTGCGCCGGGTGAGGGGCCGCGGGGGCAGGGGGGCGTTGGCGATGCGGTAGTAGCTGGGGGATGCCGTCTCGAGCCAAAAGTCGGGCCAGGTGACGAGGCCTTGGGAGGCGAAGGGCTCGGAGGTGAACAGGGGCTCCGGGTCGTGAATGGGCCAGGCGTCCGAGTCGAGGTAGAGGGTCTGCTGGAAGGGGGAGAGGAGGATGGAGAGGACCTTGTACTGGTAGTGCCTGATGGAGGCGCTGGTGTTGCTGGCGAGGAGGAGGTCTTCTACGACGAGGCACTCCACGGCCATGCGTCGGAGGATGCCGTCGCAGAAGCCGGCGGCGGCGGCCCGCTCGGCGCGGGTGTCGAGGAAGAGGTGGACGGGGAGCCGGGAGCCGGAGCGGCGGAGCATGAGGATCGAGGTCAGCGCGGTGCCGAGGTAGCCGCCGCCGGCGGTCATGACGACGCCACGGGTGCCTTTCCAGTAGGGGAGCTTCTCGGACAGCGTGGACCTGACGGCGGACACGAAGGCTGCGTGCTGCGCGGTGAGGGACTCGAGGGAGGCGTCGTCGAGGGCGATGAGGTTCCGGCGCGGGGTGTCGTTTGTTACCGTCTCGGAGGAGGGGCTCGAGTCGAGCTCGCCATCGGAAAGCGGGGGCCCGGCAGTCGGGCGGAGGGGGGAGGGAAGGCTGGGCTCGGCGACGTGGAGAGCGGCCTGGAGGGATTTCCAGAAAGCCTGGACGGGCATCGACTCCAGGTGGGAAGCTGCCGAGGGGTGGCCCTGGTCGTCATCATGCGCCGGAGAGATGGCATTATAGGGGAGGAGGGTCGAGGGGATGCGGAACGAGTGGATATGTGCTAGGAGGAGGAGGCCCAGGACCGGGGGTACGAGGTAGAGCCATAGCGGCCTCCGGCGTTTCGTGGGGAAGAGGAGTGACATTGTGCGTCGTCGTGATGCTTGGCTCGGTGTTTTTTTGAGATTTGATCTGGGGGGGTTCGTGTCGGAGACTCGAGAGCCGAACGACGATTGCGCTGCTGCGCCAAATAGACAGACCGGTATTAAGGTGATTGTGTGATTAATGACAATAGTACGATAAAACACAGATTATTGATTATAGTTGAGGAACAAGCTTTCACCATACGGCCGTTGACTTGGACGAAGCGTTGTCTTTTTTTCTTTCACTTTTTCCTCCTCAGGGCCGTTGTTGGAGATGGTTGGGCAGGTTATGGGAGCACGAGAGGCTACCGCATCCCTTCAAGCAGTCGATCGAGAAGAGAGAACGACGCACGCTGGGCCGGCAGCACGGCAGGAGCGGCGAGGCGATAGATATATAGCAGACGACAGAAAGACGGCGTTGAGGGTGTGGGCTGGGCGAATATGACCAAGATGCAAGGGAGATTTCCCACCCCTGTCCGGTTTTTGATTTGCGACTACATACGGAAGTACAACCGTACGTTCCCATGAGCTGATTTCGTGCCGTTCGTATCCACTACGAACGATCGTGCCTGTACAACTTAGAGAGAGGGGAGGGGGGGGAAGGTTGGTGTGGCGTCTTTCTTCCGAGTTTCTTTCTGCTAGCGAAAACGCTCCATCAAGGCCCAAGGAGAAGATGTGTTTTCTCGTTGCGGAGCTCCGGGGCAAAAGGCCATGTTTGCACTTGAAGGGGGAGTGTATCTATGACATTTGGCAGGTTTGCGGGATTGTTTGTGGAAGAAACAGAAAAAAAGCAATCAAAGAGAGGGGAAGCTGCAAACTGCCCCGGGAGACACATGGCGACCCGATCCATTTTCCAACAGGCTTTCTCCGTGCTTGGTGGTCTTTGCCTCTGGCACCCAGAGCGGTCGGTTGTTTATTTTGTTTTATTTTGCTGGCTTCTAGAACAGAGTGTGTCCCGCTTGGGACACCAGCACGGTAAGTGACAGACAGGTAGCGGCGAGAGGCATGGACGGGGAACGAACAACGCACATTCGAGGCTCCTGACTGGCCCGTCGTCGCTGGCGTGTGAGCCGGGAATACGAGGTTCGCGGCCGATGTTGGGAATAGCCTACTCTAGGGCACGTACATGGCGCGGAACCATCCATCCTAGGCCCTTGCTGCGTAGGTTGTGCTTACGAGGACGGCACGAAGAGTGGTTCGGCGAGCATCCATCGCGTCTGTGTGGGTGGTGTCTTTTTCAGCCCGTGTCGGGCGAAGAAAAACTTCGTATTTGGGGGGCGATGAGTGATCGACGGTGTTGGACATGCCTCCCCAGTCATGGCCAACCCGGGGGGCCCATGAATCTCACAGAGCGAGAGAGAGAGAGAGAGAGAGAGAGAAAGGCAGGTGGTAAATGGCGGAAGTGAGCAGGGTACCATGTCTGCGAGGCACAGATGACATGGTGTGATTGAAATTGCTTGGTATGGCTAATCGCTGCACAGATTTCCGAAATTGGCGCCATGCGGGCTGACAGGTTCTAGGACCGTAATCGAATGAGAGGCCGGGGAGGATGCCATGGTGGTGCGAGTCGGGTGAGGAGCAGGTCGGTCACTGGTGATGCACCCAGAGAAAGAAAGAGAGGAAAAATAGAGATACCGGGAGTTTGGAAACCTGGGATTTGGATTCGAGATATACAATGTACGTGGTACGACCGAGGTGAATAAACTACCGTCGTAAGAAGCTTTGATGGGAGGCACAGACGGGAAGAGGCAGAACAGACGATCGAGTGTCTTAGCACGAGATAGAAAAGTACTTCCTTTGACGCCATATAGCACATAAGAACAAGGTATATGATTAACATCCAGATAAGCACTGGATCAGTGCGCGGGTAGAAGTGGACACGCCCAGGGACCCCCACTAACGGCGGGGCGTGGGTGAGGTGAGGTGAGGTGATGATGTGTGTGCGTGCCGCTGGTGGCCGAGGCGGTCAATAACGGCAGAATGTTTTTTGCTCTCGAAACTTTTTTGGATTGTACCCTGGCGGCGATCTTTTCAGCTTGACCATTTGCGACGGTCCAAGAAAAGAAGAGAGGGGACAAAAAAAAAAAATTAGCAACGATTGGATTTGGTCCCACTAACAGCCCGAATACCATTTGGAAGCGGCTGCGGCAAGAAAAGGTGTCAATTGACACAGACACCAACACGACACAATGACCAAGACGGCGAGCGCAAAGCGCAAGCGCGCCGAGAGGGAAGCCCTCAAGGCTGCCCAGACCAACAAGCGCGCAAAGAGCTCCCACGACGCCCCAGCCGACGGCAGCAATACCCCCGAATCGAATGACGCCGCCACCCACGATGCCAATGCCGCTGGTGGCCCTAGGTTGCCCAAGATGCTCCAAGAGAAGAAGCTCTTCGTCGAGAACTCTGTGGGCAAGGACCGCCTGCGCGAGGCGAAGCTCTACGACCTCCTCAGCAGCGAGAACGAGACGGACCGCCTCGAGGCTGCCAGCGCCATCATCTCCAGTCTTCTCGACGGCGACGGCGTGACGGAGGCCGTGCTGCAGCGCCACCTCGACTGGCGCCTGTTCCGCGGTCTCGCGAGTGGCAGGGCCGCCTCGAGGCTCGGCTACAGTATCGTCCTGACGGAGATTCTGAGCCAGCTCCTCGGTCCGCCGAGGAACCTGAGCCGTGACAAGTATCCCGGCCTGACGTTCGATAAGGTGCTGGGGATGCTTATGGAGAGGACACACGTCGGCGGCAACATGCCGGGCCAGGAGGAGCGGGACCTGTGGTTCGGCCAGCTGTTTGGGCTCGAGTGCTTCGTGCGCGCGAGGGTGCTGTTCACTCCGGATGAGGGCTCCGACAGGTGGAACGAGGTGCTGAGGCTCCTGGTGAAGCTGGGGAACAAGAAGGTCTGGCTGCGGCCGCAGTGCGGGTGGGTCGTGGCCCAGGCGCTCGCGCAGCTGGACCGGGACCGCATCGAGATGGTTCTGCAGCAGCTTGTCGAGCTGGGATGGTCCAAGACTCCCGAGGGCGTCGGCATCTGGCTCGTCGCCTTCGAGCAGTGCCCCGAGCTGAGCAGCGGCGACCAGTCGAAGCACCACCACCCGCTCTCGCCGAGGAACCTTGGCGAGCTTGCCGGCATCCTGAAGGAAATTGGCCAGGACGACGTTGAGAAGCAGCAGAAGCAACAGCAGCAACAGCAACAGCAAAGAAGGGGGGCTGGCTTCAGCAAGAACAAGCAGGCCAACTGGACGCCCCAGCTTCACTTTGTTTGGGATCTCATTGTGCGTCACTTCTTGCGCAGGGGCCCCGAGCATGTCGAGGACTTCAGGGCGTTCTGGAAACGTGTTGTTGATGGTGAGTTCTACGAGCGTTCGACTTTTTAGGGGAAAGACTAATCGGGATTGTACAGACAACTTCTTCGCAAAGACCGCCACCGAGGGACAAAAGTTCAGGGGCTTCCTGGTTTTCCAGAAGATGCTCCAGAGCTACGCCGACATCGACGACCTCCTTGATATTCTTTTCAGCAGGAACCTGATGACCTGTCTCATCAACCAGGCCGCTCAGGAGGACCGCTTCCTCCACCGTGCGGCTCTCAAGACCTGCAAGATCATCGAGGAAACGTCTGCGGCGCACCCGGAAGCCACCGGTATCATACTCGACAACCTGATCAACAACAACGGCCTGTACCGGTTCGACGTCATGACCAAGAGCAAGACCGTCGACAAGATCCTCCAGCACGTAAAGGCCGATACGGGCGAGGATGTCATGCAGGTCCTGAGGGGGCCCGTCATGAAGACCTCCACCACATCGTACGTCAAACCCCCACCCACCCAAACCTCGTTTGCGGCTCGGAACTGACAATTGCCATAGAAAGGACATCAGCGCTGTCAAGCTTGACCTCCGCGTCTACATCGAATACATCTTCCGTCTGACCACCTCGGCACCTGAAGTCGCGCTGCAAGAGCTGACTTCACTCGCCTACGCAAAGCCTATCTGGATCCCGGCGAACGCGCACTCTCTGGTCACGGAACTTAGCAGAAGCCGTCTTCAGTCCGCCTTCGCCAAACTTTCGCGCAAGACCGAGGACTCGAACTACCTATGCACCGCCGTCCTGTCGATCAACCCAGAATACATTCGCATGGAGGGCGAGATGAAGAAGGAAGTCAATTCGGCACGCAAGCGCTTGGAGAAGCTCATGAAGACGAGCACCTCCGCGGGCGAGAGCGCCTCGGACGAGGTCAAGATCGCACAGGGTCTGGCTCTCCTCTACGCCATTGCCATTTCTCAACTTTACAACGAGGAACCGGACGCGTTCCAGCTTCTCAGCGACCTGAAGGAGTACCAGACTCGTCTCCAGACGGATGAGGAGGGCGCTGCGGAGTTTTTGGTCGAGATTCTGTTGTCTCTTGTCTCTCAGCAATCCTCACTCTTACGAGAGATCTCGCAACGGGTGTTTGGCAACTTTACCTCTCGGGTTTCTCCCAAGGCACTGGGGCTGCTCCTGGACGTCCTCTCCGCCGATGAGAGCGCCAAGGGTCAGCAGTCGCTGTTCGATGATGTCAACGCAGACGAAATGGATGTCGAAGACATGGACGACGACGGCGAAGACGATTCCGACGACGAGCTTGGTTCCGACGTCGAGGTGGACTCGGACGTTGAGTTTGTCGGCCTCAACACCGGCGACGGCGAGGAGGAGGACGAGGAAGAGGACGAGGAAGAGGATGAAGACGAAGAAACAGGATCCGACGAGGAGGCCGACGCTGAAGATGGCAAGAACCTCGAGGCCCTTGACGAGGCCCTCAGCAAGATCCTCAACAGCCACCGGCTCGACAAGGACCAGGACGCCGAGACCTCGGACGATGACTCGGACATGAGCGACTCGGACATGCTGGAGCTCGACAGCAAGCTGGCCGAGGTGTTCAAGCAGCGCGCCAAGGCGGCGCCGAGCAAAAAGAAGGAGCGCAAGGCCGCCAAGGAGTCCGTAGTCAACTTCAAGCGGCGCGTGCTGGACCTGCTCGAGATCTACGTGAGAAACGAGGCGGCGAACCCGGCGGCGCTCGCCATCCTGCAGCCACTCCTGCAGCTTGTCCGCACGTCGACCATCAAGACGCTCTCCGACCGGGCGTTTGAGCTGATCAAGGACTACCAGAAGAAGCTGCGCAAGGCGCGATCCGGGGTCGCCGGCGGCAGGAAGGAGGACAAGAAGGTCGACAGGGAAGAGGCGCTTGAGGTGCTGAGGGGCGTGTACGAGGAGCTGAAGGCTGGCGAGACCAAGGCGCACGCCAGGGCCGCGGTGCCGGCGTGCCTGATCGCGGCCTCGAGCGTGTTCCACGCCAGCAAGGGCGACCGCGCCGCCGTGGACGCCGTGGTCGGGGACGCCGAGGAGGGCTCGGCGGTGCAGCAGGAGATGAAGAAGGCCTGGGACGAGTGGTGCAGGAACCACGAGGCCCTGAAGAAGAAAGCCGCCGCCGCCGACGATGCTGCTGCAAAGAGCAAGTAGAGCAGGGAAAAGGGAAGAGTACCAGATAAGGCCATGACGTGGTACTGGGAGGTTTCATTGTTGGCGCACCAGGCATGGGATAGGGAAAAGAAAAGAAAAAAGCGATTCCAGTCACACTTGAAGCATTAGCCATTGAACTGGCCTTGGGGAGGTTCTAGACTTGAGTTACTGTTCATATATAATGTTGTCAGACCCCATTCATACTGTTTGTGCGATTTCTACGGAAATTTGTTGAGGAACACAACTTCGTTCAATTCACACTCGAGCAGAGCAGCTCGAAGCGTTCCGGGCCATCCTGGGTATCATGGTTGATGTGGGTGTCCCTTAGAACAACCCACCCTCCCCTTTTATCCGAACTTTTTTTTGTTTCCTTTTACAATGAGTTTTCATTACCTGTGTGGAAATTAAAAGTTCTTGCAGGCTTTGATGAGGGGTTCAAATGAAGGGGAAGATTACGCCCCGTCTACGTGGGTTCTGGCTGAGCGAGGTTCTATAGAGGGGGGCGGGTGATGATGGCGACGGCGGCAGCGGCGGTGATGGCGGTGGAACAGAAACTAGTCTAGGCTTGACACGGGGAATCAGAATAGCGACCTGAGCAGTCTCGGGCGGCCAGAACAAGATGTCTCCATCGGGTTGAACGTCACAAGAGTCACAAGGAGGTGCATAGCCACGGTCCTCTCCAAGGTCAAGGGGTTGATAAAGAGATGAGGCGGGCGAGCCAGGTTCTCGCGAGGGAATGGGGGCATCAGAGGTATCCAACTGCTCTTCCGAGAGGGACTCATCTAGGTCCGGGCCGCACATAACCAGGAGGTCCTGCGCGCCATCATCACCAGAGGCAACGGAGCTCTCTGGGCCGTCGTGGAGCAGAGACATGAGGTCAGGATTGCGGACAATCAGCCGGCCTCTATGAAAGTCGAGAAGGCGAGTCGCGGCAGCCACGGAGAACTCAAAGTGGCCGTAGACCACGCCGAAGGTTGAGTCTTCGGAAGGATGGTTCTGCTCCGAGTCCGGGCTTGGGTTCGTTGTCTCCTCCTTCTCCTTCTCCTTCTCCTTCTCCTCCTTCTTCTTCTGCGCGGGCGTCTTGCGGTCGAGGTACTCGCTCCAAGCCGGCCCGTCCTCCGAGCACGGTACGCCGAGAGGGGGAAACGGTTCCCGGCGATGCTCCAAGACCTGCCCGAGGAGGCTGGTGTTGTCCAGGGCGTCGCAGAAGCGGAGGCACAGACGGCGGAGGCCGCGGCGGCAGCTTGTGGGTGTGGGGAGCTTGGCCATGGGTGCTGCTGCTGCCCCGGCGGTCTTTTTGTGGAAGTCGTTTTTTTTTTTTTTTTGTAATTTTTTGTGTAAATGTTGAACCGCCGTTTTGTGTGACGGACTTCTACAAACTGTAAGTGAGACTATATAGATGTTTGTCCTCGTAACTAAAAGGTAGGGGAGGCCCCTGGCTACTCGGATCATCTCTGACTATGAACCAAGGACTTGTCCTAGTACAAACAAAGCATTGTTCAGCCAGCCGGATGCCTAGATCTCAAGTAGCACAGTATGGGTTAGAGGGGTCCATATTCGTGATTTAGGGTACTCTGTTCACGAACTTTACCCAAATATTGTATTCCTAATGTTGATACATGATCCCCTATAGGGACGTTGAGAAAAAACTATTCTAAAAATTATCCATAGTTAGCATATCAAGATACCAAGCAACTAGCTTGTTTCCAAAATTCAAGAGTCCTAGTCCTTCAGTAGATTATAATGTGAGTGGGCTCAGGCAGTTCTCGGCGTCAATGTTGGAATCTGGTCAATGTGGCCTAGATATGACTGCTGCTTTTGGGAAATGAATGTCCACTCCGGCGTCCGTTGTGCGGTAATAACCGGGCCACATCACCAGACCTTAAAAAGCCTCAAATGACTGACTTTAATGCCTTAAGTACCTGATTTTATTAGAAGGCCATGAGTTTGAAGGACTTGTTCAAATTAATCCATGGCCCATTCCTAGCGGAGTCTTACACAGTCATCCACCAGGCGTAGCAAAAGACAAAGAACTAATTGATAAGCGACAGAGGCGGGGATTACATTGTATCTTCTATGGATGTCGCCCTATATATTTCTGTGGTTACCTTGCGGTCTCAAGAGATCATCGTATCAAGTTTACAGGCGGTGCAGATTCTTTATTTTGAGTCTCAACGGCTCCATCACTGTGAGCTCTTCAGCAACTTCTCCCACTCTGATCTCGAAACCAGAGACCGCCATACTCATTGTATACGAATCGCCTCGATACGTGAACTGACCTCTGGACCAACCAGGAATTGAGAGTTGAGTAGCCACCCCTTGCAACATAGCGGTTCCTAACGTGAGGAGGCAGAGGTCACGGCGATACAGGGGCGCTTGGTGGCTGAGGGGGATATTGCCGGGAGCATCAACACCATCGTCCGCGGGTTTTTATGTTCGACTGCAACATGAGAACGAGCGATAAGGTGGCTGGTAAAATCCAAGTCTATACAGAATGCGGATCGCCCGAGGCCACCGTCGCCGGGCGGCGCAGCATGGAAGGAGCCCAAACGAAGGGGCCACGTTTACGCATCTGTACGAAAGAGCTGTCCAAGGGAACAGCAAGGTGTTGTTTTCGGACAAAGCGGCAAAACTTTCTTGCAAGGCCATGCGATGTGTCCTTTGAAGATGGAACAGGGCAGGACGAGGTGCTGTGGGCTTGTAATATCAAACCTTCGCATCAAGCTCTCAATGCCGTCAATGGCTCTAATTTTACTCTATTCCATATGGAATGGGATACACTCCGGTGAATTTGAGAAGAACGCCACTTCATATCCAGGCTTGCTTCGCCCTTTCAGAGAGCAAGAGCGGTTCTTTCCGTTCATCTCATTATTGATATCCAGCCTTTGTTCCACGCATCATGTCAAAGTAAAAGCAGGGTAACAGAGTCCTTGTTCTTCACTCTTGTAGACGACGGCAGCTGAATAGAGGATCGATTCCCTGATGACAGGTCCAGAAGCATCGAGTCCCATAAAGTCCAGCGAGCCTACCATACCCACATACGTTTCCAGGCCGCAGAATCCCATCACAAGTCGAGCCTCACCATTGTACATCTCGACTCAGAAAACGACGTAATCGACAACGTAACGGCACAAAAGCATCCCGAACTGTCGACATGTGCATAGAACTATGGCGCAGATACTTTTGCCCAAAGGCGCCGAATCACACTCCGACGAGTGATCTCAACCTCGGGACCGATGTCCATCCTCAACCCAGGGAAGACGTGGCTGGCCACTGCCTGGTACAGGAATGCGACAACGTCTTCAGGGAGAACCAGGAGAGCCCGCAGGATAACGTGGACGAGGGGCGCCAGATTCACTGGATCTACAACCTGGTACGGTGCGCCCACCTCTACTCCCACGAGTGCGCGAGGTCGCCTTGTATTGGAGGGAGGGTTCAACACTTTGACCGCCCATGCCCGTACTGCACTGGTGGCATCGACGTGCACGTCAGAGACTACGGCGAGATCTTGCGCGACGTCAGCCTGCCTTTGAAAATACCAGCGACCGGGAGAGCAATGGACCCGGAGGTGGTACAGAGGTTTGAACACTATAGGGAGAAGTACCTGCTCCGGCTGCTCCGATTGTTCCACGTTGTGCTGCTGAGGTCCCTTCCAGTAAGTCCCGAGAGCGAAACCTGGAAGTCCTTCATCGAAATCGCGTGGCCCGAGACTTTCTGCAAGCTGGACTTTGATCACATTGGCCATGGAGTCGTCGAATGCGAATGTCCGGCGACGAAGGAGGAGTGGCGGACCAACTCGGCGTACTCGAAACGGAAGAACGAGGCGCTGGCCATACTCAACGGCCTCGAAGCCAGGAGCGGGCCCCGTGGCGCGTACGTCTATTTTTGGTGGACGGAGGGTTTTGGCACAGACGCGGACTGGGAACCAACTGACAGGGCCAACGGCGTGTACTCCAAATACGATGAGGAAAACGACTTCTTGCCACACCAAATGCAGTTTGTGAACTTCAAGCAGGAGGATTACGACCGGCGATATTCAAAGCTTCAGACACTGGCGGACAACTGTCTGAGGCAACTAAAAGAGAGGGGTAAAGACGTCTCCCAAGAGCACCCGAAGACGGGATATTGGCAGCATTGCGGGATCAAGTGGATGGGATTCGATGAGTGGGAGAGTTCACTGAACCGGCGCATGGAGTTCCTGGAATGGGTTTATCAATTCCTCGCGCTCGACGCCGGCCTCCACGAGAACGTCATGATGTACCTCGCCGCTGCGCTGCTCGCCATGCTCAACCCTTGGCCCAACCCTCAGATAGAATACCACCCCTCCCACCCCAGTCCCTATGCTCTGGACAGCGAATTGGCGGCATACGATGTCCTCCAGGAGTGTATCTGGTGGGTCGAGTACCTGTGGCCGTTGGACGGAGACTTGAGTGTGCAGGACAGCTACAGGGAGTCGATCAACGCGAGCAGCGAGGTCAACCGGATCATCCAGCGCAACAGGGACATTGAGCTACTTGACATGAAGTCGCGCAATCGTACGGCGGCGCACAAGACTGGACTGTTCATCCTGCCGCCAGAGGTGGCCATTGCGCAGGGCGACGAGATCTGCCCCTTGTGCCAGGAGGAATGGGGCCACTTTCCGTTCCACGAACCGGTCCAGCTGCCGTGCTGCAACAAGTTCGTCGGGCGCAGGTGTATGAAGCAGTTTCTGGCGTCCAAGCCGATTCGGCCGGCAGGCGGCAACTATATGAGGCGGGAGAAATGGGTGGAAGAGTTCAGGTGCGCGCTGTGCCGCGAGGGCGTGGGGCACCACTTCTCACCGCATTTCTACGGGCAGTTGCTGGGCGATCCTCCCAAAGATATCAGAGACTTCAGCTTCTATGACGATTATGAAGGGTTTCCGAAGCCGTCAGAGTACTGGCGATAAGTTGGAACCGTGGAACGTCGTGTTGTATCATTCAACACCCTTGGCCGACTAAGCGAGGAAGGTATGCAACAGAAATAGAAATATGTAAGGCATAGATCCAAGCCGACCGGTCGGCCGTCTTGATTGATAATGCGGAGACGAAGATGTCGTGGGGTTGATTACAGAAACCGAAAGGTGAGGTTAGATTAGAACATTCGACCGCTCGTGTTGGATCCCCCTTTGTTCGTCGTGGCAGTTAACGTCGTCGTCGTTGGCGTCGGAGTCCCAGAGAGATGCAGAAGAAAGAAAGAAAGAAAGAAAAAAAAAAAGAAGAAGAAAAGGCCGAGAGTGACATTGGTAGGAACAAACGCAGACAATAAGAAGAGAGAGATGTTTGTAGCAAACAAGAACGGAGGAACAGCCTGACCGGTAGAGGCAGAAAAAAAAAAGCAATTGCGCTTTCTGGAAATATCTCTTCACTCATTCCTTACTGGTTCCTTTGACCTTTTCCTTCTTTGCCGCACGTCGTCTACAACATCACCACCAGTCAAACCGCCTGTGAAAGCTGTCAACCACGAGGGGGCTTTCTGCATATCGGCCTTCCGTCCGCAATTTCAGCTGTATGTATCACCAGTGCCTACCTAGGTGGTCACAGACGTGCATTGAAAGCATGACTTGGCTTCTCCCTTGGATCAAAAAGTGCAGCTACACTGACTGACTTCTTCACCAGGACGGATTCCGATCATTACACAGTTGCAGTGTCCTTCTAGGTGATGCTCCGATGCATTCTGCTCGCCCATGCCTCGATATAATGCATGAATCGCTGAGGTCGTAACTCCAACACCCTCTCACCGAGGCTCAACTGGCATCGTCGGCAAGGCAGATGGTTGGTTTGTTGGGATAGACAAATGCAAGAAGAAGCCGCTTCATCGAGCTGAGTTTACCTTTGCAGCTACCGCCTTACTCAGTACATAAACTACTCTGTAACAGGAGGACATCGAAGTAAGCAAGCCCACACAATTAAGGGAGCGAGATCTGGATGGATCTAGGCCCAACATGGTCTGGTGCAATTCACGACATGGCGCAAATCCTTGCCCGGAACCTCTGCAGGTGCAGGCCCAAACGGCCCCCTGACACCCACCCTAGGACCCTTTAGCCATTGCGCTGCCTCGCACCCCGGCTGAAGCCAGAGGCGAGAAAAAGCTCCCTTGCCCACGGGAAATTCCATCTCGTGCATCTCTCCCGAAGAGACCACATATCCCAATCGCAATTTTGTGGGAGAAATTTTTCGATTCTTGTCCGTCACAGACAAGGTGGAACTTAGTGGGCGGGACGTTGTCAATTCGATTAAGCACATTGCCTCGAATTCCTTGGGCATAGAAGAGCGAAAAGGTAAGTGGTCAACGCGCCCTGCTGTTATGTTGTTGCTTCGCTGGCACATGTTCCCCACGTCGCTACAAAGAAAGCTCCAAGCTAATTATAACACCTGGCATCCCCAGACTCACGGTTTGACTTCGACACTCCCTCATCCTTTGGCCATCTCGCGCCGCCCTCCCTCCGTCCACATCAGGCATCAACTGGACTCACCGCCGCCGCCATGAAGTTCAGCAACATTCTGTCCCTCGGCCTGTTGGTCATGTCGCCCCTGGCCGCGGCTTGGAGCAAGGAAGGTGAGCACGCCACCAGACGCATGTGCAACCTGACCGCGCAACGTCAGCTAACAAAGGTGATGATCAGATCGCGAGATTTTCCGCATCCGCGATGAGATCAGGGCCCACGAGGCAAACCCCGACCAGACATTCTACGACCTTTTGGGCGTGAAGAACAGCGCCAGCATCGACGAGATCACCAAGGCCTACCGCAAGATCTCTCGCACCCTCCATCCTGACAAGGTCCGCCAGCAGATCATCGCCGAGCGCACCAAGGCCAAAAAGAAGGGGAACAAGGAGCCCGGTGTCAACGTGCAGAAACCCCCCACTCAGAAAGAGATCAAGGCTGCCGTCAAGATCGCCTCGGAACGCCAGGCTCGTCTGGGTCTTGTGCGCAAACTCCTTAGCGGCCCTGAACGCGACCGCTACGACCACTTCTTGAAAAATGGCTTCCCGGCTTGGAAGGGCACCAACTACTATTACAACCGCTACCGTCCCGGCCTGGGTACCGTGCTCTTCGGCGTCTTCCTCATGGGTGCCGGCGCGTTCCACTACATCGCTCTGTACATGTCTTGGAAGCGCCAGAAGGACTTTGTCGAGCGTTACATCAAGTTTGCGCGCAACGCTGCGTGGGGCGACAACCTCAGCATCCCCGGCATCGATTCGACACCGGCGCCTGCCCCTGCCCCGGCGGCCGACGACGAGGAGGGTCCCCAGCAGCCGATGAACCGCAAGCAGCGCCGTATGCAGGAGCAGGTCGCCCGGAGAGAGGCCGCCAAAGAGCGCGGAGGCCGGTCCCGCAAGCCTGCCGCCGCCGGCAGCGGCACCGCCACTCCCCGTGAGGCACCCACCGCCCAGAGTGGCCCTACCGGCTCCAAGAAGCGCGTTGTGGCCGAGAACGGCAAGATTCTGGTGGTCGATTCGCTCGGCGATGTCTACCTCGAGGAGCAGGACGAGGATGGCAACACGGAGCAGTACCTTCTTGATGTAAGCGCTCAACAACACCAACACACCCCGGCCTATAACACAATCTTGCCAGCCGATACTAACTGGAATGAATTAGCCCAATGAACTGCCTCAACCCACCATCCGCGACACCGCGCTCGTCCGTCTCCCCATCTGGGCCTACAACCGCACCGTCGGCCGCGCTCTCGGCCAGAACAACGTTGACTTGAAGATCGACGCTGAGGACCTGGACTCTGACGATGGCGAGGCCCAACACACCCCCAGCTCCGACTCGGCCGCCGACGACTTTGAGCTCCTCGAGAAGTCGACTGATTCCTTGGGCAAGGCCAAGGCTTCTGGCGCACACACTGGCGGCAGGTCCAACAAGCGCAAGAACAAGAAGCGTTGAGAGGAGAACGGGCTGAGGGATGCCAAATAGCTGCCCGTCCACACCCTTTTCTAATTTGTTTTCGTTGCTGTGACGTGACGGGTTGTGTGGCGTTGATAGCCTGAGCTGCTTGTCTCAGCCTCGAGATCAGAGGGCTGCGTGCTGCACCATGAGGCTGCGGTCGCTCTCGCAATGCATGTAGCTTAAGCACGAATGCAGAACAAAAAAATCGAGTACAGAAGAAGGCCCGACTTAATTCCCGAAATAGTGGTGATGGCATCAGTGCGCTGCATGTGCATTAATTAAGGTTTGTCCAAAGGGAACGTGGAAGAAGGGTTTAATCATCCGAGATGCTTCTCTGTCGCGTCTGACATCTGCGAGACAAAGGCAGGCAGGCAGGTAGGTAGGTCTCTGCGAGAAGGAATGGGTAATGAATGAGAGCCTATAAATAGGCATTTTCTGGCACTGTGCCAGAGGATGGGACTTTCCCTTCTGCATCATCACTCGCTCAGTCCAAGCAAATACACACACACACGGGCTGCCCGCCCTTGTTGGCACCGATTTGGAGACTGTTATCCTGTCTCGAGCGATTCCGTTTCCCGTCAGATTGCTGTGCCGCCCCTGCGCGGATGGTGCGTTAGGTCGTTTGTTGTCCCCCTCTGCATCTCGCAACTCTGTTTCGTCCGATGCTTCGAATGCAACGTCAAACGAGGTGACATTATGACGGCTAACCTCGACAAACACCACAGCGAGTTGCGTTTACACTTCACCATTCTCACGTCATGCTATCGACATGCTATCGACATGCTTGCTTCCTCGTTTATAAAAAGGCATGCTTCCCACCTCCTCCCCGGCTACGCTGAAACAAGAGAAACTCAACGCCAAAACGGGCCATCCGTTCCCGGGCTTGTTATCAAAGGAAACAGAACTGCCAGCGGAATATCGAGTGTTCCACTCCCCCCTTTGTTCCTCTCCCACCTACCGCGACCTGAGATAGATAGGTGCTCGAGCGCTCCACCGCACGGCGACGCACTGCTCGAGCCCTGAGCCGGTTAACAGGTTCCAAGTTCGCGTCCCCGTCATCCTCCCCGGTGATTTGTTCGCATTCCCTAGCGTCTGTTCGCCGAAGACACCATCGCAACCGCTAAGCGAATTGCACTACCTCAATCGAGACTCTGCCACATGTTTTTCTCTCGCCATCCTCATCGGGGAGGGGTCGCTCGCGTTTGCGGGATCGGTCGTCTCGTATTCACGCGTGCCCGACTGATCCCAAGGTTTCCTTTCTGCCTTTGCACTATTCCCCACGTACGGGAACTTCTAGCAATGTGCTCACCCGGCGTCCCTGCTATTCCGTACCTACCTACCTACTTACCTGCGCACAAGATCCGTTCTCGATTCACACCACCATGAGCCGATCCCGAGTGCCTTGCCTCGAGAGGGTCAGAGATTCGACTCGAGCCATGCTGAACCGCTGTCTAGTGGAGACGGTTCTGCCCGCTACTAAAGGGCCAAACTAACACGGTCAGGCCACCCGGCTCTGGACACCCGTGACACTAACTGAGGCTATTCTTACTGCTTGACTGTGCACACACATCGAAATAGTATACTTACCCCTAAACCAAACGCCACTCCGTCCGACGTCGTGATATGTATACCGAGCGACCCTCCTGGACCCTGACGGGTCTTTGTCTCCCTGTCGTTTGCTCTCTTCCCGCTCTGTCGAACAATCTCTACGTCAATCCAACGGCACCGTTGTCATGATGTCCAGGTAACCCGAAGTAGAACACGAACTCTTGAGGAATCGCTTGTGGGTGCCTGTACTATCGTGCATATAATGGAGGATCGCAGCGGGCTGGTGCTGGGTGTGGCTGTCTTATTCTTTGCCTTATCTTGGATCGCCGTCGGCCTGCGCATCTACTGCTGTGGATGGATTATACGCTCTTTCAGGGTCGATGACAAGCTCATGGTTGGTCTCATGGTAAGTGGCAAGCTCATCCGGAAACTGAGGCACAACGTCGACTAACAGCAAAGTTAGTTCGTTTATACCGCCTACCTTATCACACTGTTTCAAGGCGTTCGTTACGGTACTGGTCGACACAGAGTCGACCTCAGCCAGGAAGACAACCGCAATGCGCTCATGGTATGGCCTCGATGCCGCCTTTACATCCATGCCCAGCCAAACGTTACTCTGACTAACAATGCCCCCATAGTTCTGGTACATCTGCGAACTACTCTACATCATCTCTACATGTCTTCTCAAGATCTCCGTCGGTTACTTCCTCCTGCGGGTCTCCATCCGCCGCGTCCACATATGGATTATCCGTCTCCTTATGCTCGGCACCATACTTTTCGGTACCGCGTTCTTCTTCCTGGTCATGTTCCAGTGCACGCCCATACCAACCTTCTGGGAGCAGTCACCTCGCGTGCCGGACAAGTGCCTTAGCAATAGCGTCGTCTTCATCACCACATACACAGCATCAATCATCAACTGCCTTGCTGACTGGGCTTTTGCGATCCTCCCGCTCTTCATCCTCTGGTCACTCTCACTACCCAAATGGACCCGGATTCTTGCCGTCGCCATCCTGTGCTTTGCCGCCATCGGCCCTGTTGCGACCATCATCCAATCGGTCTACATACCGACCCTCCTCGACGGCGACGATTTTCTATGGTCCACGACCGACCTCGCCCTTTGGAGTACCGTCGAGCCCGGCATCGGCATCACGGCCGCGTCCATCGCCACCCTACGCCCCCTGTGGCAACTATTGGGGAACCGTCCCGTTTCGGGTCCCCAAACGCCTCGTTCCGTAGCCTGGCGAGAGCATTTCCAGGCGAAGCCGGGCTACGTTCGGAGCGACGGGTCCGATCCGCGTCAAGATCCCCTAGAACCTATGCCAAACTATGTTTCTCACGACGAGTATGAGGCAGAGACGGGTTTCATGTTCCAGTCGGAGTTGCCGCCCGTCCACATTTCGCAGAACCGCTTCAGCTTGTCGACGACCTCGCACCGGAGCCGCCGGAGCCGCTCGAGCAGGTATTTCGAGACAGCTCCACCCGCGGAAGATGAAAGTAGCGAAGGCCACAGGCGGAGCGCTGAAAACGTACCGAACGATGATGTGGAATCATTGGTCACGTCCCGCGAGGACGGCGATGGCGCTCAATGGCTGTGCCCCCCCCGTTCCCACGACGTATGTTTGACAACCTCCCCGTCTCCCTGCTGAGGTAGCAGTCGCAAGAATTTTCTCATTCGGTGCTGACCCATTCTCACAGAGATACGAGGACTACGACTTTGAGACCGAAGACGGGTTCAACCTGACGCTGATGGCTACAACTCAGGGCGCCCCGACCATCAACTGGTCCAGTCCGCGCGTGTCGACCATCTCCATGGGTTTCGCCCCGTCCCGTCGCAATTCGGCGCAATCCGCCGCTCCGTCATGGGGCCTCAGCAAGTGCAACGGCACGAGCAGGATCAGCAGGATGAGCGGCTCGGTTGCCAATCACCGTAGCAGCTTTGGGACGAGCAAAGTGAGCTGGCGCAGCAATACGTTACACAAAAACGGCAGCATCAGGGCCAGCAGCATCGGGGCCAGTAAGCTCAGGGCCAGTAGGCTCAGCAGCGTCATCAACGCCAACCAGGCCACTGACGGCCGCGCCAACACGGACAGCTACGCCGGGACACTGGCCATCAGCAGGGACCCGAGCCCGAACCCGAGCCGGCGCGGCAGCAGCGTCAGCGGCAGCGAGAGCAAGTCCGACCGGCAAGACTCGCGAGGCCGGACGCCGCCGCGGGCGAGCGGCCACTACGCCCTGGGGTCCCAGTTCCTGGCGCCGCCGGCGGTAGACTTCCAGATGCCGAGCCCCCCTCCCAGCGTGTGGCGGGGCAGCGTCACCGCCGGGGACGCGACCGACTCGGCGCAGTGGCTCTCATCCAAGATGGTGGACCACCTCGAGCACCCGGATCCCATGTAGCAGTAGCAGGCGGGCACTGCTATTCGAGAGGCCTCGCAAAGCGTACGGGGACCAAGTATAAAGGCGCTGCGGTCGGGGCCCTGGGACTACCATCACAAATTTTCCCCCGGGGGCAGACGAGTTCCGTCCGAGACTCGAGCCGGCGCTTAGTCTTGTGTATCATCAACTTGATCTTCCATCCATACCAGCCGGCGGTCATTTGAAAAATGGATAAGACTAAAAAATACAAAAGAAGAGAAAAAGTAAGGGGTGAGGAAATATATCAGGCGTACAGGCGGTGGCGTACAGGTGCCACTCGATGAAAGCTTCAGTGATGACAATAGCAAAACGAGGGGGGGGCGAGGGGCCGGGCGGCAAGTGAATCATAGACCAGAGTTGCATATCATGAGTACAGCAATAATAATACCGCTGCACTATTTTTTATTTTTATTTTTGTTCCGTTTCTTCTTCTTCAATCTTTCCGGTAGAGCAATGAAGATGACTGTGGTGGTGATGTCGGCGCCTTAGGGGCGTCTGGAACGGGGTGGGAAAAGGGGCATACAGACGCCCACAACTCTTTGTATATCCTCGAATTTGTGTTTTGTGCCAACTCCACGGAAGCATCGATATCAATTACTCCCTTAAAGGGAAACTGACTGTCTGTCCGAGCAATGCCAGTCAAGTCGGTGCTCTTCCCGTCGCGTCACGGCTCCCGAGCGTTATCCGCCTAATGCATCTTGGCGAAGCCTCGACGGACGTGGAGGAAGCTCCCCCAACGGACGGCACAATTGCATCGTAACCAAGTAGAAAAGATTTCCCCGAAGGCGGGAAGGAAGGGAGCCGGTTCGAGCAAATAAACACCCGAGGCCGCGCTGCCCGGCATCCGTGATCACTACTAGCGGAACGCCTTTTGTTTGTCTGTTTTGTTTCGTAGTTCTGTTCATTCCTCATGTGTGACTAGTGGTATCTGGCCAATTCCTTATCCATAACCTTCTTAACAAAAGAAACCGTTCTCCAACTAAAGGCAGCCAGCCCGCTATTGCCTTGGTCTCCTCTCCACCCGTGTGCCCATCCGACATGCAGTCCAACCCGCGAGAGAAACGTATCTGTTGCTATGCTGAAAAGTGAATTTGGTGCGCGCAAAGTGTCCGTTTACAAAATTTCCATGGCCTCCATGTTACCTGCCTGGCCACCATAATGCTGGAAGGCGCCGTACTGATTCTCCATTTGCATCTGCATCTGAAGCGCCTGCTCCCGGGCCCAGTCATCGCCGAAGCCCTTGTAGACGGGGTCGGTGGCTGGCTTGTAACCGCTGCTGAGGACGGAACCACAATGAGAGTAGTTGCCGCTGGGGGGGCATCAACTTGCTCCCGCTCGTACTCGCGGCGCATCATCTCCTCGTAGCCGGACATCATGTAGGGTTCGACCTGGTGGGAGATGGAGTTTGCCAGCCAGCGGCTGTCGTCGGACTGAACCGGGGTGCCATCGAGGCTCATGACAGCGTTCTGCTGCTGCTGCTGCTTCTCCGCCTCCAGGCGCTCATACCGCAGCTTCGCCAGCTGCTCCTCCTGCTCCAGCGTGGTGCTCGTCCAGGCGAGTGAGGGGTTTTCTGTCCTCGAGGTAGGCGGCGCGGCACGCCAGATTTCGATCAGACGTAGTTGTTGGGGTTCTTCGGAGATTCGGAAGAGCTGGATTTGGGAGGGGGAGAGGACAGAAGGGTCAACGCCGTGCTGGCTGAGGACAATCTCGGGGGTCAACTGCTCGGTCTGAGGAGGTTCTGACGAGGGACGTTGAATAGGAACATTTTGAGATTGTGGCTGGCGAGCAATGTGCGCCGAGTGGGTGTAGTGCTGGGTGATGGAGTAGATGATGGGGGCCGGAGTTGGCGCGGCGTTGGTGGGGGCGGGGTCAGGGGTCTGCTTGAGCTCGGCTTCTGGCTTGGGCGACTGTACTTGGCTCTGCACCTCGGGGTTAAAGGTTAGATTGCGAGAGAAAAGGGCTGCAAGGTCATCGTGAGACTGCATTGTAGTGGCGTAGGAACTCATGGCCTAATAAAGTATGTTAGTCGTGGTCCTTGGCTGGTGGCTTGGTGTTGCGGCGATGTGGTGGGTTTTTCATCGCCGACAAAAGCCCGGCGGGGTCCCGAGGAGGACAAGTGATGACCTGCCGGTGCGTTCGAAAGTTGATCCAAGGGGATTACTTGCCTATGTGACGGATGGTTGTACGCGAGGCCAAAGCTGAAAGTGAAGGACCAAAAAGATAGTTCAAGAAGAAAAAAGTACGGTTCCCCCGTACAAGTGCTTGCTATAGAAGTGAATCTGGTCGTAGTGCAGAAGACAGTGGGGTGCTGTGCGTTGGGATCTTGTTCTTGGGGTTGTTTCTTGGTAACCGGGTTCGGGGGCTCGGACAGCGATAGAAAACAGAAGTGTTTCTTATATTGGCTACTCTATGTACTCTCGAGAGTTTGCTGTGTGAAAGCAGAAAATAAGAGAACAGAGACTCGAGTAGAAGAGGGAGAAGACGGAGAGAGGAAACGTCGAGGGTTAGTTAGCCAAAAGCGATGGATAGCAAGGGTCGGGAAGCGGCGGATCGGGTTCGACGCGATGGTCCCTTGGGCAGGAAGACAGCAGTAGTGGTGACAGGGTTTGGGGTTTGGGGTTTGTGTGGATGTGATGCCTGGTCAGCGGATGCAGTAGGACCAGATAGATGGGTTTAGTGGCGGGGTGAGGGAGAGCTATGCCGTCTTGCTTGCTTGCTTGCTTCTCGGCGGCAAGGTCGAAACGGGGGAAAGGTCTGGCAAACGGTCGAGGGCGTTTGCGTGTATTCGTAGAAGATTAATGGCTAGTCGTGATGGAATTTTTGGAGAGGAATCGTTCAAGGAGCGGATGTGCGTAGCGTGCGAATCTGGATTTTATATGACGGAAGGAGTCAGTGAAGTTCTGGCGGGTAGGGAAGAGGGGGGAGGGGAGGAAGGAGGGAGAGAAAGCGGCGGGAGGGGAAGGGAGGACCTGGCAGGGGGAAATTAGGAAGGAGGGGCAACTAGTGGGCAAGACCATGACGCAGACAGGGCAGTGTGACGCAGATTCACTCACCGGGCTGGCTGTAAACACTCACTGTATGTCCGTACTGCCGCTACCGGTGGGAAGGTGCGCTGCGCTTAGCTGAGTTGAACGTTTCATCAAGTAGGCAATTGTCTCTCGTCCCATCCCATCCCATTCCGTCCCATCCCATCCCATCCTATCTTATCCCCTACGCTACGCTTTTCGTCTCTGTCTGTACCTTCACATCACCACATCATCATCATCATCATCATCATCATCATCATCATCATCATCATCACCTCAAACATGGCGCCAACCACCGCTAGCCGGCCCAATCCAACCACCTGTCTCCATGCTCGCTTTCTTCCGTCGGGCCGGAATGTCTGCCTGAACCTGCAATAGACCCTTGCTTTCGAGGCGGTCTCGCCCAAACTACAGCTAATCATTCACCACTCAGGTACCAAAGATGGGGACGGTCCGACGCATAACGGATCGCCGGACGAGTCGTGAATTCGGTACCTGGCCTGGCATCAACATGCATGCAACCATAACACATCACACAGAGGACCAAGGGCATGGTCCGGCAGCAAGCCGGCAACTTTGAAACCTATGCACATCGTAGTACCTACTCTTTTCCCATATCCCGCACCAGCGCCCAATGGGTCGGTGATACACTCGGCCCACACAGCTTCTGGAAGCCCACCGAGCTATGGCATCTGTCTGTGCCTACCTCGCGTAGTAGGTCGTTTCCCGTGACACACTCGGGCCCATCTGTCGTCACCTGTCTGCGCATTTCAATACCCCGTGACACTTAGTCTATTTCGTTCAGAGGGAAATCCTTTAATCATGTCCTCTTGGACCTGTTGCTGAAGACATGCGATACACACACCCACTTGGAGAGCATCTAAGGCGAAGGCTATGGCTTTCTCAACAGTTTTCTTTGCCTAGCTTTGCTTCGTTCCGAAGCCGACTCTCGGGATGCTAGTCTAGTCGTTCGTGCTTCTTCGTACACCGCCCCTCCTCAAACCCCCGACCCAGCACATGTTTCGCCCTACCCATCCGGGCCTGGACTCTTGAGTATCGGTTAGGTGCTACCGATACGGGAGGTGTGATACGTACCCAGTAGTAACATGTCTGACGAAGCATCTCTTACAACATGCGGAAATCGTACTTCGGGATTCTTTGGTGGGAGAATATTCGTTTGAGACTTGCGTCGGCCGGCCAAACGAACCTCGGAACTTTGTGAGAATAAAAAAAAATCACAAAAGCGACTGTCTCCCCTCACGCGGAATCCTCCAACACCTATCTGGCAGCTGCAGCCCACTGCAGGTTCAAGTGCGGGATGGTGGGGCAAAACCCAGTCCAGTTGCCGTCGCCAGTCAGCGGGCGGCGGCCGATCAGCCACACCAGCTTAAGCCACATTTGCGCCAGTGGCTGATGCTCTCCGTCACTTCTCCTTCTCAGCACACACCTGCCCTTCTTGGGATCCACCCCCAGCTCTCACCGTCGGCCTGAGGCACCCTTACATCTAGCCTCGCTCGTCAACCTCGCGCAGCAACACGCAGCTCGGGTTGCCTGAAGCTCAGATCTCAAGCCTCCAGATTCCCCCAATCCCAAACCACGTCCCGCCATCGTCATCCACCACCAAAGCCTGCTTCCCGACAACAAGAAAACCTCCCACGACCCTGCACCTCATCACAAAACTGCCCGCCGCCGGCCGTGTTACGCCGTCTTTGCTAAATACAAACCGCCTATCCCAATACCCAAGCTCCCTCTAATTCACAATGGTAAGCTTTCCATTACCAGGTACCGGGGGGGAACCAACACCTCCTCGTCCTCCAATGACCGGGGTTCTTGGGAGCTCTCGCCGCGCCCGATCCTCGTCCTCTACAAAGCACGACAATTGCTAATGTGTTTGTGTCTTGCATGGAATAGACGTCGATAGGTACAGGCTATGACCTGAGCAACTCCATCTTCTCCCCCGACGGCCGCAACTTCCAGGTCGAGTACGCCGTCAAGGCCGTCGAGAATGGCGGTACATCCATCGGCATCCGCTGCAAGGAGGGTGTCGTTCTTGCTGTCGAAAAGGTCATTGCCTCGAAGCTATGGAAGCCTAATGCCAACAAGCGAATCGCCACCATTGACAGACATCTCGGCGTTGTAAGTCGGCCTCTCGTCCTTCCTTTCCCCCTCTTGCAGTCAACCACATACCCTCCCCACCCCTTCCCTCGCTTCTATATGTACTTAGGCTAGTTAGTGCACAAGCATCTCAACTTCTATACTCATCACTTTACTATACCATCTTGTTTCTGGCTATTAAACTCACACAAACAAGGTCTACTCAGGCATGGTCCCCGACGGCCGCCACTTCGTCGACCGCGCCCGCGAAGAAGCCCGCGGCTGGCGCGAGACCTTCAAGACCCCCATCTCCACCGCCGACCTCGCATCCCGCATGGGCGGCTACCTTCAAGCTTACACCCTCTACTCCTCCGTCCGTCCCTTCGGCATCACCGCCATCGTAGGTGGCTTTGATCCCTCAACCGAGTCCCCCGTCGACGGCGAGGTCGGCTCCGGCCCCAAGGTCGGCGCCGGCGGCAAGGACACTTCCAAGAAGCACGGCGGCCCCTTCCTCTACATGATTGAGCCCTCAGGCTCCTACTGGGGCTACTACGGCGCCGCCACCGGCAAGGGCCGCCAGGCCGCCAAGGCCGAGCTCGAGAAGCTTGACCTCGCCGAGGGCGGGCTCACCCTTAAGGACGCCGTCAAGGAGGCTGCCCGCATCATCTACGTTGCCCACGACGACAACAAAGACAAGGAGTTTGAGCTCGAGATGACCTGGATCAGCGACATCGACGGCCCCACCAAGGGCCGCCACGAGGAGGTGCCCAAGGACCTGCGTGAGGAGGCGGAGCGGTTAGCCAAGAAGGCGCTCGAGGGCGATGACGATGACGACGAGGACAAGAAGGAGGACGACAAGATGGAGGAGTAGGCGTTCCCCGTGATGACTGGTTGAGGATCGGGACTGCGGTCGGGCTGCTATTGGCAGCTGGGAAGACATAACGACAGAGAGACGAATGACAAGATGAAAAAAAAAAAATATCTGTCAAACACACGACGGAGTTCTGCTGCCAACGGGGGGTGGTATCTTCACGGCCTCTTTTGTGTACCTGTAAAAACAGCATGACGAGGGCCATGGCGGCGGGATCATAGACTAAATCAGACCAGATTTGGGCACGCGTCGGTCCCCAACATTTCCGTGCCACGTCGTCGTACCGGCTAGCCTAAACGATACGGACCTAATCCGTGCTAAAACGATGATTCTCACTTCACATAGGTAGGATCACATGGGTAGGACGGACAAAACTATGGCCGGCCAGTGTGCCCCTGCGAGCCATCCGGAGGGCGACAAGCAGAATCGAGTAAGGCACGGGAACGAAGGAGGGGGGGGAGGATCCCGTCTCCGTTGGCAGAAGTCTCCCTCCTCCCAAGAGAGAGGGACATGTCTTCTTGTTCAGGCCGGCTTTCGCGTTCTCTCTCTGTCTTCACCCCCCCGGTCTCTTTATCCTGTCCGTACTCTGGTAATCATACAGACGAGGGAAGACAGACAGTATTAGGCTTACGGTGCCGACACTCTCGCAAGAATAAATTTCACACAGCTTTGCACGCGTAATGGATCACGAGACCTTTGACATTAAGAGGGCATCGACGAAAGACACGCGTTGGCTGACAACAGTAAAGAATATCGGTTCTTAAATACGTTATTCATCTCATCAAACTTTCCACATGTCCCTTTCATCCCATCCCTGTGGGTGTTCTCGCTAAATATGTGGAATCATAAATCAAAACAAATCTATCGCGCTGTTCCCCAGGTTACCGTACCAATCAATCTAGGCCTTGACAATTCTGCAAACCAGGTCGGAGCCGTCGACCGAGTCGCCCTCCTTGACCTGGAGGGTCGACACCACTCCGTTGTGCGGCGCCGAGATGACCATTTCCTAAAGGGACCGAGTTAGCATAATGAAGAAAGAAAAAAAAAGATGATGAAAAAGGAGGGGGTAGGATGAATCGGGAGATATGGTGTGGAATGAGATAAAAAAAAGAAGTGAGACGGGATAACGGGACAAAAACATACCATCTTCATGGCGCTGAGAACAGCAATAGGGTCGCCCTTCTTAACGTCGGAACCATCCTTGACGCGGAGCTCGACCAGCACACCAGCCATAGGCGCGCCAACCTGGCTCGAGTCACTGGGATCGGCCTTGGCGCGGCTGACGTTCTCGACGGAGGCCTTGTTGTCATCAACGGTGACCTGGCGGACCTCACCGTTCATCTCGTAGAACACCTCACGTTGGCCGGTGTTCTCGCTGAGGGGGCCAATGGCCAGGAGCTTGAGGATGAGAACCTTGCCCTTCTCGAGCTCGACGTGGAACTCCTCGCCAATCTCGGGACGAGACAGGAAGTACTTGGTGGGAAGAACGGAGAGGTCACCGTACTTCTGGATGAACTTCTTGTAGTCCTCAAAGACCTTGGGGTACATGACGTAAGCGGCGACGTCGCACTCGGTGATGGGGCCGCCGAACTTCTTGTGCAGGTCGCGCTTGACCTTGGCGAAGTCGACGGGCTCGAGGAAGAGACCGGGGCGCTTTTCCAGCTTTCTGCGGTCACGGAGGGCGTTGGAGCGGAGGGGCTCGGGGAAACCGCCGTACGGCTGGCCCATCAGACCCTCAAGGAACTCCAGCACGGAGCCGGGGAAATCGAGCTCGCCGGCGCGGGCCTTGACGTCCTCAGCGGAGAGCTTGTTGGAGACCATGAACTGGGCAAGGTCACCAACGACCTTGGACGTGGGAGTGACCTTGACGATGTCGCCAAGAAGTTCGTTGGCGTGCTCGTAAGCCTTCTTGGTCTCGGCCCATTGGGTGCCGAGGCCGAGCTGGGAAGCCTGGAACATCATGTTGGTGAGCTGACCACCAGGGATCTCGTGCTCATACACCTCAGGGTCGGGACCGGCAAGGTGAGCCTCGAAGGGAGAGTAGAGCAGACGCAGCTGGGACCAGTAAGAGTCCAGAGCACGAACGTGGGCCGGGTTCAGGCCAGTGTCGTGGTCGCTGCCCTCGAGGGAAGCAATGATGGCGTTGATGCTGGGCTGGGAGGTCATGCCGGACAAGCTGTCAGTGGCAGCGTCGACGGCGTCGGCGCCGGCTTTGGCGCAAGCGACCATGGAGGCCACACCCGTACCGGCAGAGTCGTGGGTGTGAACATGGATGGGCAGGTCGGGGTACTTCTTGCGGATAGACCCGATAAGGAGCTCGGCTGCGTGGGGCTTGAGGACACCAGCCATGTCCTTGATGCCAAGCACGTGGATGTCGAGAGCCACAAGCTTGTCAACGAGATCGAGGTAGTACTGAAGGTTGTACTTCTTCTTGGGGTTCAACACTATGAATAGTTAGCAAAGGCACATGGCTCGAGGTGATTGTCTAAGAAAGGGGAAACTTGCTGTCTCCAGAGTAGCACACGGTTCCTTCCACGACGCCACCGGCCTTGTGAACGGCCTTGATACCGACCTCGAGTTGGTCGATGTCGTTGAGGGCGTCGAAAACGCGGAAGATATCAACACCATTCTTCTTGGCCTGCTCGACAAAGTGGTCGATGGCGTTGTCGGGAAGGGACGAGTACGCCACACCGTTGGCGCCACGCAGAAGCATCTGGAAGGGGATGTTGGGGACAGCCTTCCTCATGCGGCGGAGACGGTCCCAGGGGTCCTCGTAGAGGAAGCGGTAAGCAACGTCGAAGGTCGCGCCTCCCCAGCACTCCAAACTGTACAGGTTGTGCAGGCCGTGGCTAGTCTCCTTGGCAATGTTGAGCAGGTCGACCGTGCGCACACGGGTGGCCAGGAGAGATTGGTGAGCGTCACGCCAGGTGGTGTCCATGAGCAGGGTGCCCTTGTAGTCGCGGACGGCCTTGGCGAAGGCCTTGGGGCCCTGCTCAAGGATGATTTGCCTCCAGCCCTTGGTGCAGGTCTGGTTGACGTCGACCTTGGAGCCGTCGTCGTTGAAGAGCTCGGGGAGGATGATGTCGCCCTTGAACTTGGGCTCGCCGACCTGGCCCTTGATGCTGCTGCCGTTGACGGCGACGTCGCCGAGGTAGGCCAGAAGCTTCTGCGCACGGTTTTGACTGCCGATGAGGTCGAAGAGCTGCGGGGTGTCGTCGATGAAGGTGGTCCAGCAGTTGCCGTCAATGAAGGTGGGGTGGGTGAGCAGAGAGGCGAGGAAGGGAATGTTGGTCTTGACGCCGCGAATGCGGAATTCGACCAGGGCACGGAGAACCTTTCTCCGGGCAATCTCGTATGTCGAGCCGTGGCATGAGCATTTTACCAACATAGAATCATAGAAGGGAGTAATGACGGCACCGGCGAAACCGTTGCCACCGTCGAGACGGACACCGTTACCACCGGCGGAGCGGTAGACCTCGATCTTGCCGGTGTCGGGCTGGAAGTCCTTGGAGGGATCCTCGGTGGTGATTCTGCACTGAATGGCGAAACCTCTGGTTGAGATGCGGTCCTGCGTCAGGCCGAGCTGCTGCAGGGTGGCGCCGGCAGCGATCTGGATCTGGGCGGCGACGATATCAATACCCGTGATCTCCTCGGTGATGGTGTGCTCAACCTGGATACGGGGGTTGATCTCGATGAAGTAGTATCTGTTCTGCTGGTCGACCAGGAACTCGGCAGTACCGGCGTTGCGGTAGTTGACCGACTTGGCCAGCTTGACAGCGTCGTTGAGGATAGCATCACGGACCTCGGAGGGGAGGTCCTTTGCGGGGGCGATCTCAACGACCTTCTGGTGACGACGCTGGACGGAGCAGTCACGCTCGTACAGGTGGACAATGTTGCCGTGGTTATCACCGAGGAGCTGCACTTCAATGTGCTTGGGCTTGTCGAGGAATCTCTCGACGAAGACGGTTCCGTTGCCAAAGGCCGACTTGGCCTCGGAGGTGGCTCTCTCGAAAGCCTCCTTCAGGGTCTCCTGCTCGCGAACGACGCGCATACCGCGACCGCCACCGCCGTAGGCGGCCTTGATGATGATGGGGAACCCATATTTGTCGGTGAAGCCCTTGACCTCCTCGAAGGTGCCGACGGCGCCTTCGGTACCGGGGACGACGGGAACTCCGGCAGCGATGGCAAGCTTTCTGGCGGAGACCTTGTCACCGAGCGAGTCAATGACGTCTGCAGAGGGTCCGACGAACTAGCGGAGCATACCGAGTCAGTAGTGTTGACAAAATCTGGAGGGGGGGGGGGGGTTCGCGGGATGGAACTTACGATAAGGCCGGCCTTCTCGACGTTGCGAGCGAACTCTGCGTTTTCTGAGAGGAATCCATAACCTTTTGGCGGTGTGTTAGTGGGCGAGCCATAACGGCATCTAGAGACTAGGTGCAGTTGCTTACCAGGGTGGATCATTTGCGCGCCGTGCTCGACGGCAATCTTGATGATCTCGTCTCCAGCGAGATAAGCACCGACCGGGGTGTACTGGCCACGCTTGCCAATGACGTATGCCTCGTCGGCCTCTGCAAAAGACTGGTCAGAGAAGGGTAGACGGAGGAACTGTGATGCGCGCGGGCTTACTCTGTCTGTGCATGGAGAGACGGTCCTCATAACTACGGGTGTCAGCCTGCGGGTGTCTGGGCTGGGGCCAGCCTGTTTGATTTACCTGAAGACTGCGATGGTGTGCAGCGAGAGCTCGTGGGCCTAACGAGAGTCAGCGGTGGGAGCACCAGGGGGGGGGGGGGAACATGGGCCAACTCACTGTTCTGAAGATCTAGACGGGTAAGAGAGTAAGTATCACTGTTTCTAAAGCGATGAGAGGACGATTTTCGAGAGAACATACACGAATGGCTGGATGGCGGTTAGCTTGCCGTGAGTCAAGAGTTGGGTCGAATGGAGAGGGAAGCACTTACGGATTTCACCACGGTTGGCAACTGTAGAGATGAAAAGAAACCAGGTTAGCATAGCGCTTTGCGAAAAGGAGACAAGAAGCTGCGGAAGCCTCCGAGGGCGCGAAAGGATGGTTCGCACTAACCCAGAATTTTCTTCAGGTGCATGATGCTCGAGTTGGCACGGATGTGGTGAATGGTCTGGGGGTCCTTCTGGACCTCCTCAACGTCGCCCTCCTCGAAGACATCGTTGTAGGTAACCGCCGTTTGAGCCATGTTGGGCAGTTGTGAATGTGGGAGGGTTTTGGGGGGGGAGGAGAGAAGAAAGTCGACGGAAAGTGAAAGATCGGAGCTTCAGCAGCCGGTAGTATTTGTAGGTAGTGTATGGGGCCGAGCAGCAGCGGGAGAAAGCTGTTGAGGTCTCAGCTGCGAGACAGTTTGCGTCGGCTGTTCGGCTGGCGGGGATGGTTCGGTGGTTTTTTGGGACCGAATTGGTTTGGGACTGGTCTGGGTTGATGGGGGGTCCCGGGTTAGTTCTCAAGCTGCTCGAATCCCAAGCTTTACGCCGGTCTAGTACAGGGCCAATTCGGAGGTGCTGCTGCGTTTTGACTTTACTGCCGCCCGTCTTCCGAGTTGCAGATCAAAGGGGAGGGGAAGAGGGGGGAGGAGAGGAGGAGCGTACCAGTTGTTGCGGCGGCTGTAGCTAGGTAAGGTAGCTTAGCTAGCTGCTCTGCTGGATGAAAGGAGCTTTCGGCTTCGATGACAGGCGGAGCACAGCTCTTCTCTATTACACCGGTCCGACCGAGAGGCAGGAAAGTGGACGATGGTGGGGAGGAGGCGGGGTGGGAAGGACGGCGGTGGTGAGTGGGTGTGGATATCTAAAGTGGTATTGAAACACAAAACAACGAAGCAGTAGCGAAGCAGCTGACAGCAACAGGAGGATGGGAGGGAGGAGGACAGGCAGAGGAAGAGAGCAGAAGAGCAGGGACGGGATGAACCCAAGGCTCTAGGGATGAGGGGATTTATGCTATTTGCGAAGTATCTGGACTGGTCATGACCAAAGGCAAAATGTGGGTTGCTTGGTCTACCTAGCACCATCCTTCTTCTTCTCCCCCCTTCCCCGTTCAACTCGTCTATCCTTGGGTCTCAAGGATAACAGTCACAGGATGACAGGGCATGGTAGGTAGGTATTCTTCATCTGAGCATACAAGGTGGTGGTCCCTCCTTCCTCGCAGTCACACAGTTCAGACTACTACGTCCGGAGCTGGTGCTGTCGGCAGATTGACCGACCTCTCCACGGAAGGTTTGCTTGCTGCACTGTCGAAGCGGGGCGACCCCTCGTCGTGGGACCTTGTCCCCAGCTCGCTGGCGCAAAAGTACAAAACATCAAGGCAAGTCGCCAAGGGTCGACTTGTACCTAGGTACTTGGGTTTCGGAGAGAGATGCAGCGAGCTGTGCTGCGCGACTGTCTTCACTGGTGTAGGTAAGTATCACGTACGAGGTAGGTGAAAGCCAGATGAGGTGGGGGGCATGGGGGAAAGGATGGAGGGGGAGGGGGAGGGGGAGGGGGAGGGGGTGAATGTTGGAGGCAGAAGCGGTACCGAGGTACAAGGTACAAGGTACAAGACACAGGGAAAGGGAACCTCCTCCTCCTCCCTCCTTCCTCCTTCCTCCTCCCCTGTTAGAGTTAGGGAGCTGCCCTGGACTGGAACGGGAGCTTAGGCCACTATGCGATACCTACACCTAGTAGGTAAGTTGCTGCACCACTCGGCGGCAAGAGAAGGAAAATACCGAGTGGGAAAGAACCAGCAGTCTCTCTCTCTCTCTCTCTCTCTCTCCCCCCCCCCCCCCCCCCCCTCAACCTATCTATCAACCTATCTATCAACTTTCCCCCAAAGAATCAACACGCGCCCGTACGTCCATCATTCAACACACCAGCCGAGCGATCGGTACTAGAAACGGCTGGTGTCGGCACTCGGCATTTGACTTTGACACTCATATGCCTCCCAACCCTCGACAACAGGGCATACCTCGTATGGACATGGCTGATCACACACCTGTCACTGCCAATCTGCCGTTGCGGCAGTCTACTGTCTCGTCGCCAGTCTTGGCATCCAGATACTGCACAGCGACCCATACCAAGAAAAGCTAGAGAGGCATAACGGTGAAGACCATGGGCGAGGGAGCCGGTCGTCGACCCGCCCAGTCAAGGATCGAGGTACAGCAATAACAACACTCGAGTTGGTATCCGCATTTTGTTGCGCAGGGTCCTGTACGTGCTCTCGTAACGTCCATGTGGAAGTCATGGATGCAACCTGAGATGCTGAGACATCTTGGCTTTGCAATGCCCCGAGAAAAAAACCAGAGAGAGGCCGAGACTGGGGGGCTGGGACTTGGGAATAGGACTAGCACCAGGACCGCCCCCACCGCCCGCCCACTCCGACCAAGATCTGTTTTCACGCGCCGCCATACCTACCGTACCGCCGTACCATGGGAAGTCCGTACATGCCTCCGCCTCCGTCTTTCTTCTTCTTCTTTTTCTTCTTTCTTCTTTTTTTTATCGCTGGGCGCGATGGGGGGGGGGAGGGGTCCACGTTACGTTGAGCGGCGGAACGCTCTGACCCCCCTTGACCCCAGCCTGCCTCCTGAGACTGTTGGCGAGCATGCCTAGAAGATCTGCCATCAACGGAAACAACCTCCCAAGGTTCCCAGAGAAACACTGTTATCTTTAGAACATCGACGTCGTCGTCGCCGCCGTCAAACAACGACGGTACCACAACGGTCCTAAAATACCCCACGAAGACGGGGGAATGAGACGTGGCGCTTGTCTATCCCATCCCCCTCTCCCCCAAAACGCTGGACAAAACAGGAGAAGAACAGATCCAACATAGAAATAAAGGGTTTTGGCGGCGTTGCAAAACGCCGCTAAGACTGAAAGGAATTGACCAACCAGAGTCTGCCGATACGATGCCAAGTCATCCAAAGATGGAAGACAATCACCATCTGCAAATGCTCCTTACGAGACCAGAGGGGCTTGGCGCCAGTGTCAATACTCTGAGCCTTTCACGGCCGCCCGAAACAGACTGTCTGGGAGCGTCCCGAATTGCCACCATTACCGATAACGCGGCTTTGCTGCCGCCGCCGGCCCGTGTTGCTTCGGACCTCCGCTTCGCCAATCTTCTGCCGCGCCTCTCATCTGCAACATCAGCTGCTGCAGACATTTCTTGCACCGCGGTCCAGATCATCGCAAAATGCGAGAATGCGGGGTAACTTCCACAGCGCTTCAAATCGTCGTAGTCCCCCCCCCCCCCTTTCAATGTTCCCAAAGCCTTTGCTGATGAGGGACGCAAGGAGGGGTGACGGAAAACCCCTTCGTCGACCTCGGCTTTCTGCATCCATGGGACATGTTGCAGCGGTTTGCCGGCTGCCCTTCAAGAAACTATCACAGCAGGTAAGCAGGCCTGGACCCGGCCTGCCACCCAAGCCAGCGAACCACAACCGCCCACACCTGGGCCACGCTGTTCGTAGAGTGGATGGACATCACCACATGTACAACAGCCATGAAGCTACACGGTAGAAGCACACCACCCCCGGACATCCAGGTTCCTCCCTCGTGAACAAAACCACGCATCCCCATATCACTCGAGCGTTATTTCCGGTCCACCGCCCCCAGGTCCCTCGGTGAATGCCTACAATGGATAGATCAAGCTGGGTTGGCGTTCACAACGTCTGACCAAGATTGGGCAACGATAGGGAGATGCGACGGAGCAGATGGACTTGGTGCAGCTTGTCGCATCGCCCACCCGAGTCTTGAGTCGTTACACCGCCAAGGTGCCATTCTGCATCTCACTTGTGCTGCAAGTCCACGGGCGACTCGACTCGGCCATATTGACCCCCGCAACTTAATCCGCTTCTTGGCCCCCCATCTGGCATCAAGACCGTGTCTCCCCGTTTCCTCTCTCAATTTGCAGTCCCATACCACATCGCACCGGCATTCGAGCGGCGTTGGGAGCGATAAACAGGAACGGAACCCCAAATTAACATCAAAACCAAACCCACCGTGATGGTGACTCTTATTCCAGATCGGGATACTCCGACGTCGGCTCTTCCGGCATCCGGCGCGTAGAGTTATCTACAGTGCATCTCGGCCGGTGGTTGTTGATGGTAATAGAAATTAGCGATGGCCTCGCCTGGCGCAACCGGCCACTAGAGCCTGCCTGTGTGACTCTTCCTCGGTCGGCGGGTATCGTAGGCTATTTGAGGCTTACGCGGTCTTAGTATCCGCCCTGCACCCCACGATTAAATATTAATGACGCTTGGCTCCAGCACATGCGCGGTCCCATGGAATGAAGATGGATCAGCACTCGGCCGTTCGGCGAGATCTCAGGTGCCAACGACGTGGTGAGAGTGGAGGGGGAGGGGATCGGTGCTTCGCAGTTTCGAAGAAGAGCCACAGGGAGAGAGAAAGCTTTGAATGTCACGATGGTCCACACCCTCCTCCTCTCCCTGGCCGGCCTAATGCCGGATGACCGATGTCATTGCACGTCTGCTGCCCGCGGCACGGTCGACATGAGACGACACGCTGTTCCTTGACTCATCAAATTTAGCTCGACCTCCTGTCTCCGGCCCCGGCCCTTGAAACAAGGCAGGATTCGCCCGAAATAGGAAGGCTCCGCTCCGCTCCGTCGGTGGTTATGTCTGTCACTGAGGATCCAGCAGCAACTTGAGCAATGCCGCCAGTCTAGAACGCTTGACCCTCCCATTCTCTCCCACAGCCAAGAACATTCCTTTTAACTTTCCACGATTCAGAGTTGTCACACTTGCCAGATTCCAGAAATAGTTCGCTGTTCTATTATACGATGCTACGGGCCATAACCAAGAGGCCCCGTCCTTGGAACGTTTCCCCGCCGGGGGATCGGGGGTCGTTTCCGGAAAGCAACAAAACAACAATGTAAGGTGATGATGGTACAGAAACCTCCTCGCTACCGTCCCGCCGCGGCTAGGCATTGCGGCGGTGCGTATGCCATACTATGCAGAGTCGGCGACGAGCATTTCCTCCTGTCACGCCTTCATCACAGCCATGGGACTCGTAACAAAGCCCTCGGCCTCCTCAGCCACAGTCCACCACGACCCTGGCAATTCTGTCGGTGGCGAGGGACAGTACCATCCCACGCCAGACCACCACTTGTCCGCCTTGTGTCTTCCACACTCGCCCCGACCAGCTTCTTTCACTCCCACACCTCGGATGGGAAGATGGAATTATTTGCCGACGGCCTGCTTGACCTTGGACTCAACCTTGGCCTCGATGGCCTCGGCCTTCTTCTGGACGCCCTCGAAGGCCTCCTTTGTGGCGGAAGCCTCCTTGCCTCCCCAGTAGTTGTACTGCATGTAACGGTATCCCTGGGTAAGCTGGGCGCCCTCGTTGACAAAGTGGCAGAGGAAGAGGAGGTAGTTCTTGGGCTGGACGGCAAGGGCGTAGCGCATGAAGGTGGCCGAGTAGATGCAGAGGGCACCCGTCATCTGACCGGAAATCCTACACGAAAAGAAAAAAGGGTTGACGTATCAGTCATATTGGTCTTATCTCGTTCCGAGCCCTCGCCGCGGTGGCGGAGGAAAGGGTGGCATGGACGTACAGATCGGGGGACTTTTGGGTATCCATGACGGCGGCCAAGGGAATACCAAAGTTAGATACAGGGCCCCAGAAGTCTGTGGTGCGCGGAAGTGGTTAGCCTTGCTATCTTTTTTTTTTTTCGGAGTCGCGGTTGAGGGTATCGCGAGAGGCCGGCACCGGAGCGTCGCATCCGCAAGGGCCGGTGGCACGTGGATGTCGAGCAGCGCTCTGGCTCCCGAACAGCAAATTCGAGAAGAAAAGGCCGACGCGACGTCTATCCAGGGCTTTAGGAGACTCATCGCCGTCGGCGAGAGCTTCCATCGAAGGTTCTCTCTCCCCAAGGATCTCGGATAATCCCCGCTAGCTCCCGAACGCGGAGCGCGAATAGGATCAAACAAAAAAAATATATCTCGGATGGGGCGGGCGGGCACGTACGAGTAGAGCAGACGTAGTCCGTCACAGGGTTGGACCTGATCTTTGCGTTGATAGCCTTGACAATAGCAGCCATTTCGAATTGCGGTTTGGAGGAGAAGGTGGGCGGGCAAGGGTGACGGGGTCAATTGGCGAAGGGCGGCGGCGGATTTGGGGGGGAGTTTGTGATTTCGTATTTTGTTGAGAGAGCGACAAGAGAGGTTCGAAGGGGTGACCCAAGCTCTGCCGTGCGGCGCTCCGAAATTTCGCGGACGGACTGTTGCTGGGCTGCTGGGCGCCGCTACAGTGGGCGCGTCCACGTACGAATATGCCCCGGGAATAAAATCGAGTGGGTGGGGACGAGATTTCCGTGAGGAAATTGAGGGTCGTGATTGGACGAACTGGTTGCAGCTGCTGCTCAGATCACGTGACTGCGTTTTGTCCAACGGGCGTGTGGTTGAGTGTATGTGTGTGTGCGTGTGTGACGACGCTTGGCTTACAGCGGGGGATCTCAAGCATTGAGGATGCGACTTTGGTTTTCCTGCTTGGACCTGATGTGTATGAGGAAGATGAAAAGGGTTGAATTAGATGGTCGTGGTGAATTGGCACGTAGGGGAAGAGTGACGGTTCTCCTGACTAATACTGAAATATGCTGTTCTGTTCTTGCACGCACGTTGATCCTCATCTTCCGAGAAGCTACCGCTCAGCCTCCGGCACTTACCCCGTATCCGGCCCTGGTACCTTGCCTTTGCGCCGTATTCGGCCCCGGCACCCTACCTCTGCGCGCGCTTTCCCACCATGGGAATATCGCTCATAAGAGCACCCTCCAACTCACTCTACACCCATTGTATCTACACCTCGACCTCTTGAGCATTTCTCTATCTAGCAAAATATCCAAAGTGTCAGGGATGGGCTGGCATCGTCGTTACCTATCGCGATCAATCCGGTTGAGGCCGAATGGGCTGGCGTCACTGTTGCTCATTGTTACTAATGTATACTATGCCCTTCCATATTATGGTTGTCGGGATAGCATTCTATCGGTTTTATTAATTTGGATGGACAAAATATGTTTTGGACGCTGCCGTCGCAATAGATTGTACTAAGACGTTGCACTCCAATGCTGGCAGGTGACATCATCTGGCTGTCAGAGCTCCTCGTCTCAACTCACCTCGCACCACCACTTAATCCCAACGTCAACTTTCGGGAGCCACTTACATCTTACAGCTCTACTACACGTTACTCTGCGATTGATCCTTGACGCAATACACTACTTGAACTCCGTTTTTGCGCTATTTAACCAGACTCCCAGCACATACACCATCCGCTGCTCTCTCTCTGTCTCTCTCTCCGCGCACAACCTAGCGATGACATCTGAATCCGGTCCTGCCGCAATGTCTGCAGCAACCAAGGATGTTCTTAGCCGCGTGCAGCGGATGATCCCGCCCATGCTCGAGAAGTTCCACAAAGGTGAGCCCGTCCGTCTCTCCGGTCGTCAAGAGGACCAAGGGCGTGTGCGCTTACACTCTCATCATCCTCCCAGGGCAACTGGGCCGCGTCGGCGTCCTCGGCGGCAGCGTCGATTACACCGGAGCGCCCTACTTCTCGGCCATGGCTAGCGCCAGACTCGGCTGCGACATGGTAGGTTCACAAGCCCCCCAACCTCTCACCCTTGAAATATGACCTTGGATACGGAAGTGCTGAGAGAGCGCGCGCGCTCGCGCCTAGTCCCACGTCATCTGCACGCCCGGTGCCGCTTCGGTGATCAAGACGTACTCGCCCAACCTCATGGTGCACCCCCTCATGCGGCAGACGCCGTCAGACGCGGCACCCGACGGCTCCCGGGACGCCCACGCAGACGCGGGGGCAGTCGCAGGCCCCATCATCGACATGCTGGCCCGCCTGCACGTGCTCGTCATCGGGCCCGGCCTCGGCCGCGACCCGCTGATGCAGGACACGGTGGCGCGGGTGATCCGCGCAGCGCGCGAGCGGTCGCTGCCGCTCGTCCTGGACGCCGACGCGCTGCTTGTGGTCCAGAAGGACCCGGCGTTGGTCCGCGGGTACGGGCTGGCGGTGCTGACGCCCAACGTCGTCGAGTTCTCGCGGCTGTGCAGGGCGCTGGGCGTCGACGAGGCCGAGGCCAAGGACAGCGCCGCGGCGGGGTCTGGGGGAGGAGAGGGGGAGGAGGCGAAGGAGACGGCCAAGGTGGAGGCGCTCGCCAACGCGCTGGAGGGCGTGACTGTCGTGCAAAAAGGCGGCAAGGACTTCATCTCGAACGGGAAGGACACGCTGGTCGTCGACCTGGAGGGCGGGCTGAAGCGGAGCGGCGGGCAGGGCGACACGCTCACGGGGTCGATCGCCACGTTCCTGGGGTGGAGGAACGCCTATCTCGAAGGCCTGTGGGACACGGGCGACGACAAGATGGCGGAGGACGAGCTGGTCAGGCTAGCCGCTTTTGGCGGCAGTGCCATCACGAGGGTAAGTCTGCCTAGGGCTACATTATCTTTTTTATTCCGGTTTTCATGTTATAGCCCTCCCCCCCTTTCTTTTCTCTCCTTTTGAGGTCCTTTTGAGGTGCTGACTTTGAATCTAGGAGTGCTCCAGACGGGCCTTCCTGAAGAAGGGCCGCAGCTTGCAGGCAAGCGACCTCACGGACGAGGTCCACGGGTCGTTCATGACCCTGTTTGGCGAGGTTGACGGAAAGGCGGGCGCCACCAAGCTATAAAGGTACAAATGTCAAGCTCGGGACAGGTCGCACATATAAATTGTGTCAATAGGGCTAGGAGCGCCGCAAAAGCGGACGTCAAGAAGAAGAGACGTCGACTTAATGAAAAGAACATGACACAGCGACCCATGATGGTTCTTGATCTGGGCAGTTTCTCTTTCCCTGAGGCAGGTTCATTAAGCGGACAAAACTTGAGATGAAAGCATCAGTGTTTCTCGTCTGAGTTCCACTAACTCAGACTAAAACTGACTAATGACAACATGTCTGCTAAAACCACCTAGGAATACTAGCAGTTATATACGCCTTTGTTGACAGGCAGGGTGCTGGGGCTGGATACAGGGTAAGTGCCGGAGGCTAAGCGGTAGCTTCTCGGAAGGTGCAGATCACTCTGCTAAAGCTATAGGAAGGGGGTATCTTGATTGACCTCTTTAAGGCTAAGCTCCTTTGTGCGAGCGCTATTTGCAATAGGATCTCTACAGGCTGTACTTAGGGCGTTGTAATCTGCTAACTAGGTAGTACCCTAGGGGTTCTTAACAGTATGGTTCTTAACAGTATAAGAAGGTATCATAAGATGTGTGTGCGCGTCTTTATGTGTGTTACAAATGTTAAGCTTAGGACAGGCTGCACATGTAAAGTGTTAGGGTATTGTAGTTTGTATGTATCTTAATTGATCTATGTAAGTATGTGTGTGTGTGTGTGTGTGTGAGGCGCGGTCTCAAGTAGTAGCCTCCTGAAAAAATAGTGCTATCACCATCATGTCCTTGTTGGCATGTGTAGTGACTCATTTTTCGCCCGTATCTCATGTATATTCTCTCCCGTCATCGCCCTTTCCATCACCGTGCCCCGGCGTCAAATGTAGCGATCCCAATCATTGTCGTGCCCTGTGGTCTAAGATCAATATCCCCATCAGCCGCTTGGTGTCGCTTGGAGTAGTGTAGTTAATGAAATAGCAATACGTAAATGAAATGTGTAGAAGAAATGTGCGAAAGCGATATGGGAAATCGAACCATTGCAATGAACTGTCATCTAAATGCCAGTGTCAACCGTGGTCGGCTGTGTGCAGTTGTCGTCTGCGGTCGTTTTGCCGTGAAGGCGGACGTCGTATCCCCTAGGGTCATAAAATTTTGGCACTAGAGTGGTTCGTCGGTTAGACCATCTAGCTTTCATCTCTCGGATGATGTTGGTGAAGATAGTCTGTCGTTCGTCGTGAGATGCGTCTGAAGCCGTAAGATGTTTGGCGTAGCTATACAGGTCTACCCATTTCTCGTCAGCGAGTCGCTGGAGCAGCAGGTTGTATCTCATTTTGCTGTCGAAAGATTTTGTGTCGGTGTATTGCGAGACCCAATCAATGAGCTTTTGCTGCTCGTCTGAGAGCTTGGGCTCGTCGTCGACAGTCGTGGGCTGTCTCTTGATTGTGGTCGGCGTGAGGAGGTTGCATTGGGTGCTGGCGTTACACATTTGGACTGTCTTCTTGTTCTTCTCCGGCTTCTCTAGTTCTACTGGCTTCTCGAGTCGGCCAAATCCAACTAGTAGTTTGTCGACTTTAGGTTGACCGATGTATCCGGTGTCCCTCAGTGTGGTAAGCAGCTTGACGTATGGTGCGGTAGCACTGCTTGGCCAGCTTGTGGGTGGTTTTATATCGTAGATAAGCATTGCAGTGCACGCCTGGATGAAGTCGGGCGTCATCGGCGGGTTTCCCTCAACTACCTTGCGAAAGGCGCGACAAGCCGAGTAAGACGAGAGATCATTGCCTAGCTGAGACGCCGTCCGTTTCATCAGCAGGGTTCAGAGGATCTCACATTTCTCTCTGTCGTTAAAGACAGCGTCCCTGTCATTGTTGTAAATACTAAGCGTGCAGCTAAGGGCTTGTGTCTGCTTGCGTGAGAGGTTGTACGTCTTGGGAATGGGATACTTCCAAGATGAGGTATTGGTCCATCGGAAGTCTCTGTCGCCAAATTCAAAAGAACATGACACAGTGACCAATGATGGTTCTTGATCTGGGCAGTTTCTCTTTCCAGGAGGCGGGTTCGTTAAGCAGACGAAGCATGAGATGAATACATCAGTGTTCTCGTCTGAGTTCTACAAACTTAGACTAAAACTAACTAACGACAACATGTCTATTAAAATCACCTAGGAAGACTAGCAGTTATATACGCCTTTGTTATTTGAGGGGGTTGTTGAAGTGTGTGCAGGGGATTTTGGCTTGTAGGCAACCGTTGTCAGGCGACTGATCGTACATCTGTGGTAGACTGAAGTCAAGCAAAGCTCCCTGTGAAGCAAGAAGATTGTTGACCTGGCTGACATTGTCGTCGCATGTCGTGTTGTATATAAACTTTCTGTCATTGTGACGCCAGATTGGGGTTCTTTCAGGTACAGAGATAACGGGAATGTAGCGGCGCTGGTAGATGGAGGAGGTGGAGTTCGAGCTCAAATGGGCGTCGGTCAGACTGATCGTCTGTGTAATCGCCGAAGAAGCCAGAGCGATCGAAGCCTGGGTTCACCAATGGGGAAGGTATTATAAGGGTAGAGATGTGTGTGCGTGCGTCTTTATGTGTTTAATATAGATGAGATGGAAGGAGGGAAAGAAGAGATGAAGCCTAGCTTCAGCCGTCTTTTGTATTTCAACCTGCGAGAGGGTAGCAGTAGAATGCCAGAGCGATTTGGTCGGCAGCAAGTGGATTAAGCCTATTTCGGAATTCATTATGTTAGCACCAGCAGAAAATAGCCTAAGTAAAGTTAGGTATTATAGGCGTCTATTCGTGATAGTGGATTTATAGTGAAAAAGGCGTTTCTGTACGGGTTATAGACATAGGCGGTAGTGGCAGTGCCTTCCAAAATAGGCTTAACTTACTGGCCGCCGACCAAATTGCACTGGCATTCTACCGCTGCCCGCGAGAAGACGCCGATGTCGGTCAGTCAACACATTTCACGGGATCAATGAATGTACAGGAACCAGTTGGTGAAAGGACAAAAGGAATCGAGGGCGTTAATTGAGTCTTGAGCTCTATTTTACAAGTGGTTCGACTGGAGATCCTTCCCCTAGATCGCGTCCCCTGGTGCTTCCCTCGGACCGGCGCAAAACCCTCGAGATTTCCTCACGCCTCTAGGAAAACAAAAAACTTCGGTATAGACAGCTACATCAACCCCGAGCACTCCCAGTCGGACCATTTATTATGTCAGGTGAGACTGAAGATTTAACCCAGGAAGCTCTTGGTGAAGGTGGTGATGATGTCCTTGAGGCGGGCCTCGAGGTCCTTGCTGAGGGCACCCTCCTTGTCGATGGTGGCCATGACGTCAGCCTCGTTGGTGCGGAGGTGGCTAAGGAAGTCAGCCTCCCACTGGAGGATCTTGGCAACGGGGACGCTGTCGAGGTGACCGTTGACACCGGCGTAGATGAGGGGAACCATCTCGTTGACGGCCATGGGGGAGTACTGCTTCTGCTTGAGGAGCTCGGTCAACTGTAGATGTTGTTAGCATGACTCGTCGCCCACAAAATCAGCAATACCAATCAACTTACGCGTTCACCTCTGCTGAGGGTCTGCTTAGTGGAGGCGTCCAAGTCGGAACCGAACTGAGCGAAGGCAGCGACCTCACGGTACTGGGCCAAGAAGAGCTTCAAGGAACCAGCAACTTGCTTCATGGCCTTAACCTGGGCGGCGGAACCGACACGCGAGACAGAAAGACCGACGTTGATGGCGGGGCGGATACCCTTGTAGAAGAGCTCGGCCTCCAAGAAGATCTGACCGTCGGTAATGGAAATGACGTTGGTGGGAATGTAGGCAGAAACGTCACCACCCTGGGTCTCGATAATGGGCAGGGCAGTCATGGAACCACCGCCGAGCTTGTCGTTCATCTTGGCGGCACGCTCGAGGAGACGAGAGTGGAGGTAGAAAACGTCACCGGGGTAGGCCTCACGACCGGGGGGACGGCGAAGCAGCAGAGACATCTGACGGTAAGCGACGGCCTGCTTCGACAGATCGTCGTAGATGATCAGAGAGTGCTTTCCATTGTCACGAAACCATTCCCCAATTGAGGCTGAAGTTTCAGATGAATTAGCAAATTGTTGCAGGTAATCATCTAATGTTGTTGGACGAGGTGTAGGATGAAATGTAGGCATGTGTGTGGGATGAGATGTGGGCATGTTCCTTGAATACACACCGAACAACATGGGGGGGGGGGGGGGGGGGGGGGTGGGCAGGAAGGTGCGAAGGACAGATGGGAGGACACAGCAAAGCTATGGGTGGTCGTAGGGGGTCGTGGGAAGTGTTACTTACCACCGGTGAAGGGAGCGATGTACTGGAGGGGAGCGGCCTCGGAGGCGGTGGCGGCGACGACAATGGAGTACTTCATGGCGTCGTTCTCCTCGAGGGTCTTGACGAGCTGGGCGACAGTGGAACGCTTCTGGCCGACGGCGACGTAGACGCAGTAGAGCTTCTTGGTCTCGTCGTTGCCAGAGTTCCAACGCTTCTGGTTGAGGATGGCGTCGAGGGCGACGGCAGTCTTTCCGGTCTGACGGTCACCGATGATCAACTCACGCTGACCACGGCCGACGGGAACCATGGCGTCGACGGACTTGAGACCGGTCTGGACGGGCTGTCTGACGGACTGGCGAGGCAGAATGCCGGGGGCCTTGAGCTGGGCACGGCGCTTCTCCTTGGCGTTGATGGGGCCCTTGCCGTCAATGGGGTTACCGAGGGCGTCGATGACACGACCGAGCAGCTCGGGACCGACGGGAACGTCGACCTGTGGGGGGTTATTAGCCGGCGTTGACGACCACCGATGCGGGCCGTGGAAACCTACAATCTCTCCGGTACGCTTGACGGTCTCGCCCTCCCTGACCAAACGGTCAGAACCGAAAAGCACGACACCGACCTGGCCGGCCTCGAGGTTCATGCACATGCCCTTGACACCGGAGGCGAACCTGTAGGTTTGATGGTTAGATGCGATGCAATTTATGGGCGGAAGGATAAAGGGCGCGCATAACGTACTCGACGAGTTCCTCGGCCTGGACGTTGGCCATACCGTGAACACGGGCGATACCATCACTGTTGTCGAACCGTGGTCAGCAAAACTTTTTCCCATTGCCAATGAGACGACATGCAAGTCCCCCGTGCAAGCTGATGATGTTTTGAAGCTTTTCCAATGGGCGCTCGCGATGCCGAGATGTGCCGCCTAAACGTACCCGACGGAAAGGACGCGGCCGGTCTCGGCAAGACCAGCCTCCTCCTGAACACCACGAATCCTCTGCTCGAGGATGGAAGAAACCTCGGTCGGGGATGCCTTGGCGTCGGCGTATGAGCGAGTCTGGATCGACGTGGCGCTGTAGACGGCAGGTGCGGCATTTCGGATCTGAGGGTGGAAAAATCAGGTTAGCCGAAGGCCGAAAATGTTATGGGCGGCTCCCCCCCCCAAACATCAACGCAGGGAGCTCGATGAAAAGCTCTTCCACGACCCCAACGCGAGTTCCGCGAGGCCAAAAAAGCTGGAGCGTGCCTAATTGAGTATCGCGGAAGCGGGTGCCGATGTTTTTGGATGGAATTGACGTCGGATCGGGGATGGGGAGGTTGACGGAAGGTTGAGGTTGACTTACGGCAGCGACTCTGCCGGCAGCAGAGACGGCGCCGACGGCGCGCGTCGACTGTCGGAGGGCGTTGCGGAACATATTAAAGGATCTTGGACACTGTCTAGATCGAGGGAGAATCAATTGCAATAGATGCAATTGAGTGGAGGGGAGATTGGGGTTGATGAAGGTGCCTTTGAAGGAGTGCAAATCGAGTCTTTTTTGGAAGAAGGCCAGTGGAGGGAAAAGAGAGTGAAGAAGCGGTGGACCCGAAGCTGTGCTGACGGGCCAATCACGACGGGCCGTCGAGTTTTGCCTCAGTCCAACCCGACATCTCCCTAACAATTTCCGACACCGCAATGACGGATACGTGCACCTGTAACCCCGGGAAATGCTGCATTATTACATAATACAGGGGCATACGTCTATGGCATACCTACCTACCAAGGTATGTCGGGTTCTGCTGAATGCATCTAATCTCAACCGGTGGAAAAAAAATTGTGCCAAGCTGGCTTTCCGCCCGGGGCATTGAGTTTCGCGGCCAAGCGACACAACACATCGCGCATCGGTACAGATCGGGAGACACTTATCCCTCCCCCCATCGCCCCATTGTTTGTACTCCTCTGTGTCATGATGGCTTCAATTTGGCATGCAGGCATTCATCTTACAAATCTGCATGCATGAGCTATTGTCTTTGGCCTTAGCTTCCCGGCGTTCCGTCGACTCTCCTTTCCCCGGCCTTTGGGGTGCAAAGCTCTCCACCATGTTATTCCCACTCGCCCAAAGGAATGACAGAAGCCGACAAAGTCTGGTGCACACAGTGAGTGGCCTTTGCAGTCTCTGGCCAGCTGGGACCACCGAGACTGGCTGCCTCGGCGAAAACTGAAATCCGAGTCGCAGTTTTGGCAGCTTTTTCAGACAGCCTGCACCGTTGATAATGTAGAGTTATAGCCGAGCTTAGAAAGGATGCGCATAACTGCATGTCACGTGCTGTTAAACAGGTACCTACCTATTATAGGAAGGCTGCAGTACAACGAAACCTGCACCATTAGGTAGTCTGCTTTCTTTCTCCCTACCCTTCTTCAAGTTCTCGAGTCATCCACCTTCCCATCGCCTGACTAGGTGCGGTCGCTGTCTTGCCCTTCACAAAGAGCTAGGGCGTATACGCTGTCCTCATAGTAAGAGGTGACGACAGGCCACGACCCTACGTTGGCTCGGGCACAAACGAAGGCCTAGGTGTGACGACTCGCTCGAGTGACTGCGAAAAGCAGAGAAGTCTCCCAAAAGAAGTCAAATCCTCGCTGAGAAGGGCTATAGGATCAACTACGTCGGATAGCGGATCTCAAACAGTAAAGCTAACAGGTTGACTTTCATCCGAGCCCTCTATATCATCCGATTCGAATAGCTCGACTGTTGATGGAACTAGACAGCAAACCAAAGGTCCACGCAAGACCAGAGATAGGTAGGAAGGTATAGATGTGTGAGTAAGTTTGGACGCAGCCTTATTACGCCCAGCGTAAGAGAAGCACAATCAGTGCAAAAACATGCTCTTGATTGGGCTAAAGTACCTAGACTAGCTAAAACCACCAACGCCGTTTGATCGCTCTCAGGTCACGAGCCTGCCTCACAAAGTGAAAAAAGGAAAAAGAAATCATGTGCAGTCACGGCAGATAGTGAAATTTGTAGTAAGCCGGCATGGCGCCGGTCGGTCTCTGAGGCCGCGGCTCGACTGAATTTTTGCTCAAGTCAAGCGGTGTTGTCTGATGATAACAACTGCTGGAAAAGTACATGCCTTGTAAGCCATTTCCCATATTTTTTCGCCAACCGTTAACCCAAGCCGTCCCAGTGTCTTTTTTTCGTTCATCGCAGGCGGGTGTTATGCATTTATCGGACAATGCCGTCGAAGCGCTGCTTGAACCACTTGACGGTCTCGTCGCGCTTGATGCGGTGGCCGGAGCCGATGCGGCCCTTGCAGCGGCGGCGGGTACCGACACGCTCACCCTTGCGGGTCATGCAGACGTAGAAGTCCATGCCGTAGATACCGATGGAGGGGTCGTACTTGATACCGAGATCGATGTGCTCAGAGATACCGAAGCCGAAGTTGCCAGTCTCGGAGAAGTTGCGCTTGCGGAGCTCGTACTCCTTGACCTTGAGGCCACGCTCAAGAATCTCCTCAGCCTGTGTCGTCAAGTTAGCACCCCACCCCCTTGCGCGCACACCATGTGCAAAAAATTCATGTCCAATTCTGTCGTACCTTGGGGCCACGGACGGTGACGTGGACGGAGATCTTTTCGTTACGGCGGATACCGAAGGTACGGACGGTGTAGCGGGCCTTGCCTGAGGGGTTGGGTCAGTCAATTGACATCAGCGAGAAGGACTCTTTTTGGTGATGCCATACTGTAAACGGGGGTTTGACCAGAAAGCTGCTCCAACACCTTGGCGGCACGGGTCAGTCTGTCACCAGACTCTCCGACGGAGATGTTGAGGACGAGCTTCTGGATGTGAAGCTCGCGCATGGGGTTCTGGGTCTTCTCGGACGACATTTTGGCGGTTAGTACTTCGGCGGTACGGCTGGCTAGGCGTTGGGTGTCGATGGTCGCGGATTGTCAAAGTGAAAGATGCTGCATTGGTGAATTTCGTGCCTTGTATTTTTGGAAGGGTTTGCCAGCCCTCGCACCGCACGGGGGTGGGGGACGAAAAGCGCTAGTACCAGAACGGCTAGCGTATCCGCGACTCTGCAGCGCGCTCCCGCAGTTTATCCGGCATTGGCCTCAGCGTACTACTCAAGGCTGCGTTTCCGCCTTGGAAAATTGTCCATGAAGGAGGTATACCCACTCTGACCTTGTCTGAAGCTCTGCTACCGCAAAGCATCCAAGGTCTCGCCGGAGTCTCCCAGACTTCACAAGAAGCATAGCAATAATTTTTTGAAGAGCCAGAGCAGCTACGGAAGTAGCTACTCACAAACATCAGCCAAGATGTCGAACAAACAGGGCAAGATGGTGAGTAGCCTCAGACCTTCCTCGTAAAGCTTCAAGGTTGACAATATAGGCTGACACGATATGACTTCTCCCTAGGCCGGTTACGTACGTGCTCTCCTTTGATGCGCTCCCGACGGCTACGAATGACGGATGTGCCGAGCTTCTGCTAACATGGCTTCGCAGATCAACTACCGCATGAGGGTTACGTTGAACGATGGCCGCCAGATGACGGGACAGATGCTTGCTTTTGACAAGGTCCGCAACCCAATTCACCCCTCCAATCGCGTGTCAATGATGAGGCTGACCGTGTCTACAGCACATGAACCTCGTCCTTGCCGACACCGAAGAGTTCCGACGCGTCAAGATCAGACAGAACAAGCCTGCCGCGCCTGGAGCTAGCTCCGCCTCGGGCCAAACGATCGAGAAGGAGGAGAAGCGAACCCTCGGCTTGACGATCGTCCGTGGCGCGCACATTGTCTCTCTGTCAGTCGAGTCAGAGCCTCCGGCGGACCCCAGTGCGAGACTCGGAAAGAGTGCGCCGGGCGGAATCTCGTCGACGCTCACCGCCGGTCCTGGCGTTGCGCGGCCTGCTGGTCGCGGTGCTGCTCCCGCCCCCCCGTCTCTGGCCGTCAGTGCCCCCTGAACCCCCTTCATGGCGATACAGCTGCTGACATAGGATGTAGGGTCCTGCTGCCGGTGTTGGAGGCGCCGTCCCTCCCGGATTCCCTGGCGGCTTCCCCGGTGCCCCGCCTTTCGGCGGACGTGGAGGTATGCTCTCAAACCCCTTTGACCCCCGAACGCGATTCTCACACCTAGCAGCTCCTCCTCCAGGCTTCCCCGGCGGGCTGCCGCCCCCGGGCTTCCCGCAGAACGCCCCCTTCCTTCCTCCAGGCTTCAACCCCGGCCCTCCTGGTGGACCGCCTGGCTTCAACCCTCCCCCCGCAGATAGGCTAAGGACGGAAATGTCGATACCTCGCATGCTTTATAGTCGGAGGTTGGTTCACGGATACCATTGGCGTTTAGGGATGAATGTCAAGATTACGAAAATTCGGGCAGAACAGGCATGTATGTTGTTAGCCGGCCTCTTCTACCCCTGAACAAAACCAAAGGTCAGCTCGCCAACCTGTATTCGTTAGATTCGCGAAAATATAATGGCAGCATGAGTTTATTCCATAGTTCACAACAACACCATTACCAACAGCCGAGTTGATGATTGTAACCCACGTGAGGATGTCGTTCGATTGGCTAAAGGGAGAGGAAGTGGAACCAAGGTTGATACGGGATTTGCTACGTAAGCCCACAAGGGCTACATAAAACAACGATACTCCATATGCAGATAGAGATAGAACGAATCAACTACATACACGCCACACCATACCATAACAGTTGGTAGCACAACTGGAAAAAACGATCCGGGCCCACCAGAGTTTTATCTCGCCATTCAGAGGCAACGGAGATCGGAAAACGGAAAATCCGGGAAGAAGTGATCTACCACCTGCCCCCGCTTACACACACAGACGCAGCCAAGCTTAATGCTACTACCGTAGCCCGACAGCTGTCAAAGGAAGACCAGGAATTCGTTGACTTTGTTTGTCAGTACGCTGACGACGATTCTTTTCTTGACAAACTACGAATCCAGTAACTCCACCAACGTCTAGCCGCAAAGGAATGGGCAGACCTTTACCAATACATATCCCACCTTGCTGAAGCCGACCTCAATGACCGGATGACTATCCTTGCTAACACTATGCAAGAGATGACCGCACGACTGGCAAACCAGCTAAACACGCTAATGCCACAATACTACTCTGGTACAGGAGGTAGTCACAAGGAATGAGGCACACAAGGAATGAGGGACTGATGGATTCAGAACGAGGGACGAATGGATTTGCTGGGACCTTATATGGCTACACTTGGCGACGGACGGTTGATAGTGAGGTCACTATATTTTTGGAGGAGGCAGACTGTTACGTAAGCCCACAAGGGCTACATAAAGCAGCGATACTCCATATGCAGATAGAGATCGTCCTCTTCACACATCTTCAAAGTTCCTGGAACTCAGGCGAGAATACTGATGCTTTCATCTTATATTTTGTCCTCTTCACACGTCTTCTAAGTTCCTGGAACTCAGACGAGAATCCTGATGCTTTCATCTCATGTTTCGTCCGCTCAACAAACCCGCCTCTAGGAAAGAGAAACTGCCAGATCAAGAGCCATCATCACCTCGCCAACAATACCAAACAATATGGTGCATTGTCACTACAGACGCGCCAGAATGGTATGTCTGTCCAGTCTACAGGACAGTTCTTGGCGACGAAGCCCTTTTCAAGGAAACATGCTCCAGCACGTTGTTTCAATTCGCCCCCTCTCTCGACGACGTTCTCCAATCCCGCACACCTCCAACAGTTTCTTGGATCAAGGAGTTGCCAATTGAACCTGCATCTCACAAAGTTTGGGGTGTGTACGCTGTCCTCATAGTTAGAGGCAACGACAGGCCACGACTTTACATAGGTTCTGGCACAAATGAGTCTAGCGGCATAGCTTCCCGCCTACGAAATTACGATAGGCTAAGCAGTCTATCTAAAAATGTCACCAAATCCCTTGCAGAGGGGTACACAATTGACCACAAGGGGCTACTATGCTGGACACCAGTACCAGCGTTCAATAAACTCTTTACTATACGGACAAGAGTTCTCGCAGTTGAGGCAGTTCTGACTATACTCTTTCATGCGGGAAACTACACCAAAATGGATGTTCTCTGGGAAGACTTAATGCTATGGAATCGAAACCAAATGGCTTGGGATCTGCGCGTCTCCTGGTTTGATCTCTTGTCTCAACAATCCTCCTCAGTCAGTTTCCGTCCGAGTTCCTGGAATTCAGACGAGAATACTGATGCTTTCATCTCATATCTATACCTATGGAATCGAAACCAAATGGCTTAGGATCCGCTCTGTAGCCACACTGCTCTAATGGAGAGGCCACGTGGAGAACACAACATGACCGACGATTAGCTTAACGTATACAACAACGAGCGGCGACAACGAGCAAAGGAGGTTATGGCAAAGGCCGACGTCATACTATACTCCTTCATGCGGGGAACTACATAAAAATGGACGTTCTCTGGGAAGACTTAATGCTATGGAATCGAAACCAAATGGCTTGGGATCTGCGCGTCTCCTGGTTTGATCTCTTGTCTCGACAATCCTCCTCAGTCAGTTTCCGTCCGAGTTCCTGGAATTCAGACGAGAATACCGATGCTTTCATCTCATATTTCGTCCGCTCAACAAACCCGCCTCCGGGGAAGAGAAACTGCCCAGATCAAGAACCATCAAGGGTTGGTGGGGTGACTGTATGATGGCAACGCATCCTCGTTCACATCAGAAGTTTGCTGACCACTTGCAAGGACTTTTCGAGTGCGGTATGGATCATTACCTAGTCTCTGATGTCGACAATGTTGTTATATAGGGGGATGTCAGCGAGGACCTTCGGTTTCCCCGTCTATTTGATCAGACGACCTGTTTGACGCTGCTCATACTCGAGACCACTGCCAGACCGAAGAGTACCGACTCGAGGTGGCAATCGTCTTGACTCCGGCCTTGGGGACCAGCTCTTCGTCAAATACAGTGCCGAGGAGAACGAGTTGTTTTGCAAGTACCGAATCATTATGGTCGGTGTTTTCATGACGCGAGTTGGGGCCGGGATCCAGAAGGAGCACCTTCGGCATCTGCGCGACCTGGTGCCCCAGCCCGGCTTCCACTATGGTAATGGCATTCCCATCTACGGAATTGGGCTTTTCAGCCCGACCGAGGACTAGGTTCTTGCTGCTCTCGATGATTATCGGCCAGGAACCCCGTGGGACTGCCGGGAGGCAAGGCTTGTTGGAATCACACGACTTCAATGAAGTTTATGATAAAGCCTGTGTAGCTACTTCCACTGCAGCAAGGTTCGTGCGGACCAGGGAAAGATTCTAAGGGAGCGCAGTCGTTGCAAGAGAGCTTGGTACTGCGGAGTTGTAATTATCCAGTTCTTCATCTCCATGCTCAAGCTGACGACAACTCAGGACTGCCAGAAGGCCCATTGGAAGCTGTACAAGCCCATTCGCAATCCCCTTGACCAGCCCACGCGTCCATGCGCCGCCCTAAGTCTCTAAAATGATTTAGGGAGGACCGAACATCTTTTCTGTGGTGTTTTAGCTGCTTCTGAGGGCTTATGTTGTGTTGATTCCAAGGGGAATTGCCTGCACACAGAGACATGGAAGCCGGTAACATGTCGGGACCAACAGTTGACAAATGCCGTCAAGGATGATGATAAACGATATGTCATAGTTAGCCAAGTCCAACTGAATGAAATGAGGGAAATCCTGCACATTACTTTTCGACCTTTCCCTACGAAAGGGTGTATATAAGTGGCGTTAACACTGCTGTGCTGCCTCAATCCAGCTTCAAACCCGACGGTGGCGTACAGACAAATATCGGACTTTTAACAGGAAATGATAAACTTGAAGATCTATAGGACTAGACTCCATCACTTAATTAGGAGCTAGTAGCTTGCCCCTGTTGGCTCCCAACTAAATGACTATACTTCCGCCATAAGCAGTTGTATGCCGCCTCGGCTACCGGTCCCTGCTATCCCAAGCTAAGCATCTCACAAGTAGTGAACGCCACGTCCAAAATGCTCGTATTGAGGTCCTAGTATCGACCAGAGATGGTCAAAAAACGATAATATACCAGGAGCAACGTCCAGGGCCGCCGAGGACAAGGCTACAATCCACATGTCTGTGCAGAACGAACCGGGGAGGGCGGGCTGTGTTCCTGGCTGTTAGTTGCCGGGAACCGTCAATGCCGGGATGTCGGCTTCGGATTCCATCCTATCAGGATGGCAGTTGCGGTACCGAAGCGTTGGGTTCTGCTAGCGTGAATAGATGATTTCCAGACGTACAGCTACCCTGAATCTCGTCTGATTCTTGCGCCCCAACAAGGATCGCGTCTCCTGGTTGTGATGTGGGATGGCGTGTATGTAGTTGCTTACATTGCTTACATCGCTCCACCTAGTGCCTGCCGCTTGGCTCGCTAGCTAACGTTAGCCCATTGTTGGCTTACACAGCACGCGGTGTTCAAGTCGAATCCGTCGGTGATCGGAAACCACGGACGGTAGCCCGATAGTGACCCGCTTAGGTCCATCCACGCTACCGAGGCAGCCAAAGAACACAAGGCGCTTCCTTTCATCTCCCAATCTTCACATCACCACCGTTTCCCCTTCTGCATTGCCAGCGGAGCATACGGACAGGGCCCCCGGGCGGGACGCTTACCACGCCATCACAGGGTCGCGATGTCGAACTGTTTTCAACGTCGTTGACGCCTTTGTGACGGAATCTCCAGAGGGCCGTCTTGTATAATGTGGTTGTCCTTCGTGGAAAACACAACACTCGGCCTGGAGGCGCGACGACGGCTGACCTCCAGGTCGGAGGCGGGCGGGCGGGCTAAAACACTGAAATGAACGCGGGGCGGTACCCGGCGTTGGCCGGCATCAGATTACACGCCCATCAATGTCCGGCAAGGTCCGGCAAGGTCCCGCGATTTGAGAAGCCCCACTCCGTGGCATACCGGGCACCCTAGGATCCACGGCCACTTGATTGACGATGGCGGCGACGGTTCTCCCGGTCCGGTCTGCAAAACCGAGAACGACGCCAAATATGCACGGGCATAGGAGAGGAGGATGTGGGTGAAGGTCAGCGGCGGCTTCCGTTCTCAACTCAACATCTCCCTCCCCCCGTTGAAGATTGGTCGGCGGGCGGGAACGCCACCTTCTCGTCATCATCTCCCAACAGTCCGAGACTGCAAAGCACGCCTCTAGCCGCGATGCCGGCGTCGTCCCAGCGTCGTCGGACGCACGGGTCGTTACGGACCGTCGTCACTGGCGCTTACAGGCCGATCCTTTCAGCCCGGCGCCACGACCGCCGCCTCGGAGCTTTTCTTCCCACCCCCCCTTCGGTCGATCGGCGTTAGCCTCCAGGGCCCGGCGCTGCCCGCCAGAGGCCGAGTCAACTAGCCGCATCCCAACACATCCGGTTCGTCTCGCCGCTGGGTCGACCCTTCCAGCCCTACCCAGTACTATACAGATAACTATCCGTGTCATAATCACAACCTCATTGTCTTGGCATGGCAACCCAGCACCGCCCCTGCCACCGTCTAAATCCGACGCGCACGCGCGCGGACGTACAGGCCCCCCAAAGCCTCTTTGCCCCCCCCCCCCCCCCCCCCCCCCACCCGCTCAAAACGCCGCCAGTGCCGGCGCAATCACGCCTCGCCCGGCCCATGAGGTGGATGGCCTGATAAAGGGCACGCACAGACATGCTCGGAGCCGGGGGTGCTGAGTCGCATCTGAGTCCGAAGGACTGGGGGGATAGATGAGTAGGTAGTGACCAATGAAAGAGACCTGGTGATCGCCCGGAAGTCGAGCAATGTGGCTGTCGATCAATCTCACGCCGTTGTACTGAGCTTTTCCTACCCCCTCCCCTCTCCATCTCGGCCATCATGAGTTAGTCAAGCGACCAACACCGATCGATACGTAAAATGCCTCAGAAAACAAAATAAAACCCCTTCCAGTCCTGCATCGACGTCCAAGCACCGCGCCGCCACCGCCGCCGTTGACTGCTGGCCCCCTCCCGGCAGTGTCAATCAAAGGTAAAAAAGACCGGCGCCACCCCGTCCGACGGCCCCTTCAATGTCCAAGCGTGCAGCGAACAAGCGGGGAGACTCGGGGAGAGGGGGGCCCAGGCCAGGCTGTTCTGTTCCGTGGACGACGGGATGACCACACCAACCTGTGTGTGTCCCTTGGATCTGCTCCGTCCACTGCTGGTTGCTCGTAAGTGACGCAGAAATGAATAAATAAAAATAAGAGAGAGAGAGAGAGAGAGAGAGAGAGAGAGAGAGAGAGAGAGAGACTGTGTGTGTGTGTGAGTGAAAGGAAATAAAGAAAAAGAAAAAAAGAGAAACAAAGGCCAGCCAGAGAGTGTTACGACCTCATCCCCCGCCATGGAAATCCAAAACCTGCCTCGGCCTCTACGCTCCGGATCGTCTCCTCCCATCCCCCCTAAACGTAGGAAAAGAAGAAGAAGAGAGGTCGTCAACTCAGAACCTTGACGCGTAACGCACGTAAATGCAAGGCACACAGACACACGTTGCAACAACGGCTGGAAACGGTCAAGGGAAGACAGGAAAAGAAAGGAAGAAGAAGAAGAAACTCCCTCCCTCCCTCCTGCATACCTACTTACCTATGACGCGCCGCGCCGCGCCGCTGCTCTCTCTCTCTCTCCCTCTCCCTTCAGAACATTCCCATCTCGAGCGGTACTGCCCCCGCCGGAGTCTGATGCATCATGCGAGCTTCGAAGAAGTCCTCTGACCGAGGGAGTAGAAATGCAGCCAGCCCGTTTCCCAACGCACTTACACACACACTCACACACGCACACTTACTGAACCCCTAACCCGAGACCGTAAACAAGCCCCCCCCCCCCTTCCCACACACACGCATACACACGCCATTCCGACGCCGACTATGCACCGGCACCGTCCCCCGCCGCCGCCGTGCCGTCCTGCCCTGCCGCGGTAATCCCACCCTATCACGACCGGAGAGAAAAGAAGAAGCAACTTCACGAAGCCCCCCTGCCCCTGCAGTAACCCAATAGCGAGCTGTTGTTCCATCAAGAACGAGCAGCCACCCCCCATCCCCCCCCTTCACTAATCCATTGCTTCCCTCCCCTCCCCCACAAAGTCGCAATATCTGAGAGGCGGACGCAAAGATGCTCAAACTTGCTGCACGTCGTCGGGGTTTGGACCCCGTGTGTGTGCGTGCGTGCGTTTCGCAGACGCTGTGTATGTGTCCGTTGGATCCGTTGAGCACAGCCTAGCGTCTTCCCCGTGCAGTAGTCCTACTCTTAGTATCGCGTCGACGACATGTTCCCACGGTCTCTCGCGCGCGCGCGCCCCGACGGGGTTCCCGTAGTTGGAATCGTGTGCTCTCCCCTACCGACAATCAGATGGCCCTCGTCCCCCGAACCCTGCATTTGGCAGGTTCAAAGCACAGCATGACAACACCACTAAACGGGGCTCTCCCATCCTTCTCCGCCCTCCCTCGCCACACAACTCAAGAGGTTATCGTGGCGGGAAAGGCCTCAACAGGGTTCCCCGGTGTTTGGAAGCCTGGAAGCCTACAACCTCTCTCTCGCCCCCCCTTCCCTGTCAGTGGGATCGGTTCACCACGTCATGACAACCCGTCGTTGGGGCGACGAGGAAAAAAAAAAAGAAAAAAGGTTTACATGCACAATCATTACTCGAGGTGCCAACGCTGACTGATCTCACTCACCCTCCAAGCTCAACCAAGCAGCTTTGCTTGACTCATGACCGCCTGTTGTTTGCTCGGATGAACGAAGACTGCTAATCCCAAAGTTTGAGGGCCAAAGCAAAGTTTCCAAAGTATCGGACCAGTAAAAAATTAAAAAACCATAAAAAAAAAACATCACCATTGGACCCGTGAAGCCGAGGACTGCGTACACTCGGATGCTGTGGCGTGGCCAGATACATGGGATCGATTGGGAGAGGTGGATTGGAGCTTTCATGAGATTTTATTTTGATTATCATGTCCAATTGCTACGATGGAGTATGGCGACCCATGAGCCCCTTTGGTGCTGCTCATACCTGTCGAATCCGCCTCATCACAACTCTGAGAGTCTCCTCTCCCGCTATGTAAAGAACAGCCAGGAACCAACGGAAAGCGCCCGAGGCGTGTGAATGGTAACTAAGTGTGTCCTTTTGTGCCAAATGACAACGCTGTCCATGTGGTATCATATCAAAGAAAATGGATTGCAAAAGTGCCTAAATTCAATCCGACGAGACAGAGAAGGGGAGAAAAAAAAGAAAAAAAAAAGCAAGCAGGAGGGAAAGGGTCTCGGGGAGTGATGCGTCGTTTATCATTTCGAAATTGTCCGTTTCTTATCGCGTTTGACGTGAACCGAAAACGGTCGTTGCTCAGCCGTCTTGAAGAATGACACACGGTCCTTCTACGAAATCGTGGCATCTTCGTCAATGAGCGTCTGTAGGGTCATGGGGTCCCGAAGGCGTCGTGCCTTGTGGATGGCGACTAGGTAGTCAACAAGTCCCTCGGCATCCACGCGCAGTGCTTCGAGTTCTTGCTTGCTACACCCAACGGCACGAGAATCTTTGCTGGGGTAGCGATAGGCGGCGAAGACGATGCCGTGGTCATTCTGAGAGACATCCCTAGTGACTGGGCTGCGAGAGCCCGAAATGCTTCTGCGGCCTGTGTGGGTGTGGAAGGCGTGTCCGTAACCTCGCGCAAATTCACCGGCTTGCGCGTCGTCGCAGCGGTATTCCATCCATCCTTCCTGCTTCAAGATCTTGGACTGAACAGTTGCCGAGATGCGGAAAGGGCTTGTGAGGTTGGACAGTCCGTAGGCGGCAAGGAGGCGGCCGGTCATGCCCGGGGCCGAATCCACCATTGGCCCGTCCATGGGGCCAAGTAGCGAGGTCCTCATGCTGGTCGGTCTTGAAGAAGGAGCAGAGGAAGAAGCAGACGACGAAGAGAAGTCCATTGACAGGCGAGACGTGGGCGATGATGATTCCGAAGTACTCTCGGGCCACAGGTTCACAATGTAAACCAGGTCAAACTTGTGCTTGGCTGCGATCTGCGCGGCCTGAAGCGCGCCCTCCTTGGCAACGTCGTCGACGTGAATGGACGAGGTCCTTCGCTTGGTGCGAAAAGACGAGGACGTAGATGACGGGGTTGGCGGGGAAGGCGGGAAGCGCAGAGGCGCGGGTGCCACTATCGGCGAGTCCAGGGCGCCCTCGAGCTCGGGTTCCTCCTCGAGGATATCATCGTCGGAAAGGGTATAGAAATCTGTCACGTCTCCGCCTTTGAGGATCTGAGTTGCAGAGGTAATGGACCGCGGGGTTCTCGAGTGACCCTGAGAACGACGGATCGCCGCCGCCTTCTCCTCTCTCCTTCGTCGGATTGTGGCAGCGGTTGCCTTTCTCTTGGCCAGACTGAGGTCGGCAAAGTCTCTCGACTGGCCATCGCGTACGGGCTTCATTTCCGGTGATGATGCGGGGGTCGGCAGGTTTCTGCTGAGAGAAGAGGACGGGCGGCTCTGGGAGCCCTTTATACTCGAGTCATCCTCGTAATCCGAAGAGGGTGGGGTGTCGGATCTGGTGGGAGGTTGGATGACAGAGGAGCTGTGGCGGTGCTCGGGGAAAACCTTGTACGATGGGGGCAAAAGTCCGGGCGTGGACGCAGTACCGAATGGCGAAGCCGGGGAAAGGGATGAAGGGGGGCAAGGGAAGTCAAAGCCGCGCAGACTGGCGATCGGCTGACTCTCTCTTCGGTGGCTGAGTGACAAGGAGCGGACCGGGAGAGTGATGGCCGACATGCTGGAGGTGCTCAGGTGGGAGACGTGTATCGATACGCGCTCGGACGGAGATTCGGGCAGGCTTTGAGCACGCTTCTCGTTCTGGGCAGCAATGACGCGCTCCTCTCTGGCCTTCATGCGAGAGACGCGCGGGCGAATGAAGGACGGTTGAGGGAAGCTTTGGTCCAAAGAGGCGATTCGGGACCCAGTCGACTCGGGCATTGACGAGTTTGTCTCAATGGAGAAATCCCTCTTTCTGAAGAGCTTCTCCAGGCGATCAAAGTTGTTGGGCATTATGGGCGGGGCCGTTGACGGCTACTGGCGGGTTTGTCTGATGTTCAAAAAGGTTGGTAAGCTTTGGCGCTCGGATACGAGTCAAGAGAAGCAGGGCAGTGTGTACTCACCAATCCGCGTGTTTATTTGCAAGAGCGGAAACCGTGCGCAGGCAACGGCGGGATGAGAGAACAACAACAACAAGAAGAACAAGACTTGACGTTGCGTGAGGGGGAGGAGTTTTGTCTAGATGGAAACTGGGGAGGGAAGGTGCAGACAAGCAGGAAGAGGGAGAGGGAAATGCGTCTGCCTATGTGCTCGAGCGCTGACTGAAATAGGAGCAAGGTGACGGTTGTACAGGGACTCGGCGACCACGAAGAAAGGCAGGAGCAGCCGGGATGGAGGAGTGAATCGAGTCTCGGTCAACCGGCTGATTGAATGCAGAAAGCACCAAGTGCGACGTGAGAGCAGGGTCGCTGCAAGGCGAGGTGTCAGACACAGGGGAGGCTAGGTCTCTTTTTCCTGCGAAACAGCTGTCGGAGGCGAGCGAATGGACCGCGAGGAGAGGCTGGCCAAGAAGGAGCTGGGATGGTTGGGCGTAGGTCGTGATTCTGCGGTCGAGGTCGTACGGCACTTTCTCTTGAGGTGAGACAAGCACCTGGGCAGTGTGAGATGCGGCGCAATATATATGGCGAGTACCCTTAATTCGGAGTTGACAGAAGGGGGGGGGGGGGGGGTTGGTCGTAGGGGATTGGTTGGGTGATGTCTATATGGGAAACCCCGATATGGCGAGAGAGAAAAAGGAAGCGAGACACCCGGTAGGAATAAGAAAGGACGGCCGGCCGGAAAGGAGGTACAGCGGTGGTCGGTGTCGACTGCTCGGGTGAGGACTGGTTGTTGTTGTTGGATGAGAGGTGAAGGAAGCTAGAGGGGCCGATGGAGGGATTGAGAGTTTGGATGAAAAATTAAAGAGGGGAAAGAAAGCGACCGAAGATCAGCAGAGAGTCGCGAGAGAGGTAAGGGCAAGGTTAGATTAGAGGGAGTTGGAGGGAAAAGGAGGACACGGACTCGAGATGGGAAGACACGGGAGGGAAGAGGTGAAGGCTTTAAGATATGTTCGTGGCGTGTTGAAACACACAGACGGAGGTGGGACAAAGGCGAGGCAGGTACGGTAGGGTACTACTGTACTGTACTGTACTGTACTGTACTACTGTACCGTTTTCGAGCAGACCAAGGACGACGACTGGAGAATGTGACGGGTTGGGTTGCGTAGAGCGAGGATAGGGTAGGGTAGGGTAGGTGCGCTCAGATGCAGTTGCAGCAGGGCAGATGCAGATGCAGCCACCACCGGGTCAGAGAATCGGGTCGAGGGGCCAGATCCAGGTCCAGGTCCATGTCCATGCCGAGCTGCAGAGGCACCGGGGAAGCAAGATGTGGCTGGCGGGGGCTGACTTTGGGGGGGAGGGGGTGGGTGTCTCTCACTCTCACTCATTCTCTCACTCGTTCTCTGGGTGGGTTGGTTCTGTGGTCGACGAGACGAGGTTCTAGCTTGCGGACGTGGGAGTAGGAGTGGAAACAGTGGGAGCGGGAGTGGGTGAGGACGGGATGACATGTTCTTGATGCCAAGGGGGGGGGGGGGGAAGACGGAAAACACCAACAGCCGTGCAGGCGAGCTCTCCGATTCCGAGAGGACGATAGAGAGTGCAGCTTTTGCTTCAGGTAGCACATCCATGGCTGCAATGGCAACACTCGAGCATAGGTGGTATCGTCGGCTGTAGATACGATGCATAGGTAGTATTGTAGGTAGGTACGGAGTAGATACGAATGAATACACACCATCACCACCACCGACTGCGTCGTACAGGATAGGACAGGGCATAACATACAATGTAGTTAGATAGGTAGGCAGCTAGTGGGAAAAGAGGCTAGTCGAAGCCACGCAAAAGAAAAAGTAAAAGCATACCTATAGGTACGTACCCGGAAGTTCGCGTCGACCAGGTGCCGCCACATGCGTCTCGATGACCGGCCATCCCTGACGTTCGGAATGCTCGCAACCAGCAGACGCAGGCGCGTGGAGTCTAATGCTGTGGGCGGACGGGAGAGGCAATTGGAGGTGGGGGTGACGGGTGGGGTGGGGCCGTCCTGATGGAAATGGCTGACGGGGTAGGTGCGGTGCGGTGCGGTGCGGTGCGCCCCAGGACGGGGGGACACTGGATGCTGTACCAAGGTGCTGTACGAATACAAGGCGGTCGGTCCATTGAGGTAGGTAGGTAGGTAGGCACGAATACACGATAGTGGGATCGAATAGGTAGTCTAAGACGGTCGGAAAATGAACGCTGGACGCTGGGCATTTGGACATCGACATCGACGTTGATTATTGGATATTGGACATTGGAGCTGCCTCGGTAGTCAGTCAGTCAGCTCGAGGTCGGGACATGACCATTCGAGCGCCGTCTGCTTTCAGTGCATGTGGATGGGTGGGCACAGCTAGAAAGAGGGCAGGGGTTCTATGAGTGGGGATGCTCTCATGGCTCTCATGGCTGAACAGGGATGCTTTGCAGGCCTCTCGGGCGTTATTACTGGGTATGTTTCTTGAGGGGGTAAATTGGAACATGGGCTTTGACACAATTGTGAGGAACTAGCAGCACACGATGCATTCAATGCAAGTTGGGGAAAGGAAGAAGGAACACCTATCTCGTCTCGTACTTCCTTCCTGCCTGTCGTCATTACCCTTGCCGTTGGGCAGGCGTGGATTGGATGGCTCTATCCTTTTTCCTTCCAATCCTTCCTGTCCTTTCCCTGTCCTTCCCCTTCCCTACCCTTGCCGTGTTGTGTGTTGTACCGGTAGGGGGAGGAGGAGAGGGGAAGGTACGCGGTAGGTACTGCGGTTCCTGCTGCCGCACGGATACACACACACACCAAGGGTGCTTGCCCGGTTTCCCTGACAAAAATAAGCACCAGTAATAAACGGCACATGGAAGAGCAGGAATAACGCAATAATAAGCAGCCTCTAGACGATTTGTTAAATGACTCCCCGAACCCCCCAAGCAAGCCACTGGCTGATTTGCAGTGGCACGGAAGAAAAAAGGCACGAGCGCAACGACGACGACGACGACGACGACGACGACGACGACGACGACATCAACCCTGCTCTGCTCTGCCCTGCCCTACCCTGCCCTGCCCTGCAACCTCCTCCTACTTTGCTTGCCTGCTACTGGAGCAAGAGCAAGAGCTGGAGCAAGAGCTGGAGCAAGAGCAGGAGCAGGAGCAGGAGCAGGAGCAGGAGCAGGAGCCGGAGCGGGCCGCGACATACAGAAGCAGCAAGAGGTGCGCGCGCGGGGCGAGGATCCTTCTTGCCCCTTATGTATCAATCACCAAATGAGCCCGTCCATCAATCCTCTCGAGAGGTGAAACATTGCTTCTTCTCCATCTTTCTTCCCCTCCCCCTGCTTTTGGCCGGGCCCTCCCGTCAGGTGTGTTACGGTATTTCTTCCATCCTTTAGTCTTGCAGTCGCTTTCCAAACATATGCTCCTTCGAACCCTGACGACAGCCGTGCTTCTGATACACTACATACACCACACACCCTACACACACTACACCACACTACACTACAAGCGGCTGCTACTCGGACTAGCCCGTTTTGTTTCGTTTCTTCTTCGGTTCGGATAGGGATAGGTGTGTGTGTGAGCCCCACCACAGCTGCCGCCCGAAATTTACCGGGCATCCCAATATGACCGCTTCCAGCCTCACCTCTCTCAATTGCTTATCTAGGTATCTACCTACCTACCGCGTGTCTGGTAGGTAGGAGGCAGACGAGAAGGTAGACTGTGCAGCCACGTCTGTCGGTTCGGCCGGAAACCGTCGCAGAAAGGGGCATACCAATGGCCGGAATTCCTACTACGTAGGTTGCGATGCAGGTTCCCGGATGCCAACCTTTCGCTTCCGCTCTCGAGCCCCCTCCGAATCGAGTACAGTCTCGTCGAGCGGAGCGGTTCCGTCTAATGCCAGCCAATCATGCCCCCGTCGTTCTGCCTGGCTGCCTGCACTGCACTGCTCGTACTAGCCTATCTGCCTCCCTCCCTACCTATCCACCTATCTACCTAGCACCTTTTGGTGGAACATCCGTGCCGAATCTGCCTTAATTGCATACTACCCAAGGTACCGAGTATACACCTACGATTTAAGTATGGCAAGTACCTAGGTATAGTCATATACTTACGGAGTAGTGCGAACGGGATACTCTCGGTACGTGAAAGGACCCCCCCCCCTTCCCCCAGTAGGGTTTATGGTTTGCCTGTCAATCCTGTCAAGCCTGTCAGGCAGTGTGGGGCATGTCACCCACCCGCCACTCCTGAGCATCTAGTGTACGCAGTAGTGCACTTTCTCAACCCTCCCCCCCCCTCGTCATGTCGTGTTGAACCTTTTCGAAAACAGACTCGGAGTTATTACCGACCAGACGATCACCTCAACAATCTGTCATTTCTCACCAGTCCAAACACACACACACACACACACAACACCCAGCGGCACCCAGCGACACGGCGCATCAGGCCCAAGCAAATCACAAAAGACAAAAAAGCCTCCTCCTCCTTTTGTCTTTTTTTTTTCTTTCTTTTCGTATACGATACCCACCGTCACCTGACGTGTTTCGCCAGTGAGACTAACTAACTAGGTCGTCGATCAACGAACCATGGATCTCCCCCCATCATGTGCATACTGATATTGAGTGAGTAACGACGCCATGCACGACATCGTATACACGGGCCCTGGATGACAACTTTACTGTAAGTAGTACATCGCACACCACCTAGGACACCATAGTACATAGTATACTGACAGAGTGCTGTAGGTGACCAGGACCGACCCCCTGCCCCGGAGTAAGGCACGTTTCGAGGCCCTCCTTCGGCGCGCAGAATGCCCCTGTGCGCCTAATCCAACGTGACAGACAGCTTGATGATCGACCATGATTACCGCGAGAGCTTTGACTTATCCACCGCCCAACTATCAACGGCGACAGACACCCTACCCTGGACACTCCTCTCTCGCTTGCATGCATGCATCCGGGCTCGAGCGTGCGTCGACGTCTCCAGTGCTGCTGTCTGTCGCTTTGTTGACATGACATTTGCTTGCGACCGCTACCTGCCGCCGAACCGGTTTCCTCCCGTCTCCTCGTCTCTCGTCGCCGCTAATGCGAACGCACAAAACTCGTCAACATCAGATGACTTTTCCAAGACCTCACTACTGCAGCAGGCTGGCCCAATCACATTCATTACGCACCCCGCTCACATATACAGTACCATGGTTTTGGTATTGTATTGCCGTCGGTTCCAACACCTCTCTCTGCATTCGACGTCATATCAACAACATCATATTCCCCTCCTCTTTCGACATTCATCATTCCCCTTCGTAATGAACAGGCAAACAAACGGCCAACCTTTTGACCAGTGTTGATGTCTCCAACATTGACTTTATCTGCGGCTCGCCCCACAAAGTGCCCACCGGGGATGCCACCTCGGCTTGGAGCCATGGCTGGCCTCTTTTTAAATTTTTTTTTTTTCATGACCTTCTTGGGTTGCCAGCGGGTAAAGACGTAATTTGACCTCCCGGGCACCAATTTCTCCGACTGGTCCTTAAGGAGGGAGTAGTAGTGGTTGGACCCGACCCCCTGATCAAATAGTCGCCGAGTGCAATCTGCACCGTCTCCGCCTATATCCATCCAACCGAGCAGCATTGCGATAAATGTTTACACCATTGCCGAAAACAGTCGCAAGGTTTGCTCTCGGTTAACAAAGTCAGCCACCGATGGCTTAGGTACGGTACGGTATGGTATGGTACTATTACTCCGTACACAGGAACCGCTCCGGGCGCAGGGTCCAGACTTCAGACCCTACGGGCTTTGACCTGCCGGTCTCAATCAAGGTCCCCCCCCGTGACGGGGTTTTCTTCCTAGCCTTGCTTTGAAAAACCTCCGGCCTGTTGATCTCGCTTCTTGATTTTCCAACGTTCGCCCCGACTGAGCTAACTAGAACCCAAACGACAGGGCCCCGCTTGCAGGATAAATGGTGATAAGTAATCCACCTACTAATAAGCCTCACTTGTAGTTTACAAACGATGATGCCACAACCAAATCTCCACTACACCGCGCCGAGATGACTTTGCGCTCATCTCATGGCAACGAGAGCAACATCGTGGGCTTGGCTTCGCCGTCCGTCTGATCACTCAGGCCGACACGGGATTACCTACCTACCATTGCTGCAACGTCGGTTGCATAGTCCCCAGAGATGGCCAGATTTCCCACTCGACGACTGGACCCCCGACCATAGAATAAACGTGTCTGTTCGCGCGGACCGAGTTTCTGCTGAATCATCAACAACCCTGCCCGTTTTCGGCACAGACCTGCCGCCCGATGACTCTTGTACGGTACATGAGCTTCGGATGCTACGCTTCTGCATCCGTATGCAGTCGACGACAAGGCCCGCCCCGGTGCCTATGTCTTTGCCATTGCCATGGGAGACGCTGCACAGCTCCTCGAATCAAGACTTCTCCTCCTCTACCAAAGCGGCATGCCAAGCGATGGTGGTGTGTGTTTGTGTGTGTGTTTTTTCTTCTTCTTCTTTTTCGTCATCAATGCCTACTTCTGGGCCGCCCGCACTCTCTTTCCAGTGGGCGATGGGGGGGGCTATGGCAACACGTACTTGGGCCGAATCAGCGTTTTCAGGAGACGCTGCGCCACGGTCTCGACTTTTGATTCGCTTTTGTTTTCTTTTTGCTTTCCCACTCCAATCATCGTGCAGTCTACGATGTACACTAGGTACATCCCTCTGCAGGAACTTCCGCTTCCGTTTCCTTCAGAGGCCCGAGCTTGACCGGACTCCCCAGGTCTCCCCCAGATAAACTCCTCACGTAAGCGCTTTGAACGAGTCCCCTCAACTTCATCAGCAGCACCATCTCAAGAGGGGGACCGCCTTGGATCTTGGATGCGCATCTCTGTCGGATCTTGTGACTTACCAACAAGGCGTCACGCCCAAGGGAAACTATTCCGCATCCGGGATATTTGAGAAGCGAAATCTTATGACAACCAGCAGCTCAAACCCTCTGGGGCCGGGAAGGAACCGCTGGAGGAGACATTTCTTTCTACTGACTTTCTTTCCAGTATCCGCTCAAGAGCTTATTCCGGCGTCGATGGCAGCGGTGAAGAAGAAATGGAATCAAATCGGAAGCCACAATGGCCTGGTTTTGCGCGTCTCTATCTTTTATTTTACTTTTATTTTATTCTTTTTGCCGCATCCAAGTTATGTGCCAGCACTCCCCTGGTGTCCGCACGTAGGTGGACTGGGTCGATGCCAGAGATATCCCGGTTTCTGGTCTCTTTACGCGCATACTTGACACTTCAGTTGGAGGAGGCAACCGGCAGCCACGTGTACTTTGCCGTATATATTACAGCTCAAGTCATCTCGCTTTGATGTCCGCTTCTTGGTTATACACCGTCACAACTCCGTCGTCCAAGATTCCGGGGCAATCGCGGGCCCTTGCGGCCGCCAGCCCCTCGTATACTCTCTCCCTCTCGCTCTCCCTCTCTCTTGTGCGATGTGTGTCCAGAACACAATGGCCTAGTCGTGTGTTACCGAGTTGGGCGAGCTCGGTTCCTCCCCCAACGCCCACCTATCTAGCCCTTTTCATTCGACCTGACCTGGCGGCTGTAAGGGGAGCTGGGGGCGTCGTCTACACTTGCAGACGCCGCTAGCCGTGATTTACTATCGGGCAGCCACACCGGCCGTACGTCGTTATCGTCGTCTAGTACCCCCCCTGCCGGGTGAGCTTACACGCTTCCCTCCGTCGCCAACCACAGCCAGACGTGGCCTTCTTTTTTTTTTCTTCCTTTTTTTTTCTTCATCTCTCTCTTAGCATGTCCAACCTTTTTCTCCTCCGCTAGGTACGGTTGGTGATACGTTTTCAGCCCGTCATTTAGAATTTGTATTGCGGGGTTTGAATAACTGGACTCTCGACTCGCTCCCATCCCTCTCTCCCCTGGATGGGCGGCTACACTCGCTTCGTGATGGTGAAGCTCCCGCGCTTCGCTTGTAGCCTTTTCAGGTTCTGGCTGACCCAAGGGGGGGGGTCTTGTGGAGAGACACACCAAACCGGGTTGTTCGGGTCAGAAATCTTGGTTGCCTAAGGACGGTTTGATAAGCTTGATTGATGACGGCGATGATGAGGTTGTCGGCGCCGGCCCGTTCGAAGATGCAGATCCGACGACGCAAGGGGGTGCATGACACTGCTCGTCTAGGCCGCCGCCCTCATCCCCTTCAAACGCGGGACCATGGAGAAGAAGGGGGGAGAGGAGGAGCACTCTGTGTCGAGATTGGAGAGAATGTTGTCAGGCAACTAACACCGGAAAGCTCGCCATGCAGTTCCCGGTAAATGTAGGTACTGCGGCGCGGCGCGTATCTAGCCCGGCTGCATGCAGCCAGCCACCCAGCAGCCCCCCCCCCCCACGGGCGCAGCAGCAGCAGCAGCAGCAGGCACGCTGGGCCGCCGTCCACCCGATGCGGCCCGGGTGGTCTGGCTTCTGCTTCCGGAACTTGCACTTCACCGTTTGGGGGTAGGGGTTTGGGAAAAGCTTGCGGCTGCGCCCTTGAAAGGAGCTTTGCTGTAACGTAAATGACCGGCGGTAGCGGCCATGATTCACCTGCGGCCGGGTGGTGGTGCTTGTGGCTGTATCCATCCTTCCCCCCCCCCTACAAAGGTAAGCCTGCTTTTGTCCCAAAAAACGAGATCGATCGAGGAGGCATCTCGCTGCATCGAAATGCGGCCTACATGTGACTTGTCATCCCACGGAAAAAAAGAGAGCCCCCCCCCCCCCGACATATAGAGTCAGCCAGCCAGCGATGTAAGGGGGGGGCGGGAGGATCTCGGCATTTAGAAGGGGGTGGGGGGAGGAGGGTGGAATTTTTTTATTTTATTTTTTGGATTTGGATTTGAGCTTTTTGGTACGATGATCACAGGACCGAAAAGCCCATGGGGACGAGAGAGAGAAACCCACACACCCATTTTACCCCATATATCCCCGCGTTTCGACCTGATGAGAACAGGGTCAGGACTTTAAAAAAGCATTTGAATATAAGTAATAAGACGAAACCAGGAGAGAGGGGGGGGGGGAGCACGACGTCATGAAGTGAGGATACGGCGCTCGAGAAAGATAGGAAAACGCAAGGAAACCGGCTCTATCCTTTTTTTTTTCCACGCACGCGGAAGGGAGATGGTTTGTTTGGTTTCCAGCTCCTTTTTCGATGGCGGCGGGAGGGGGCGGGGAGTTCGAGCCCAGCTACTACCTACCTCTTCCTGTCTCAGTCTCCGAGACAAGGTTGTCTTGGGTCAAATTCCTTTATGTTTTTTTTTTGGTGGTCCTTACGAGGTTTTATTGAATGAAGGACCCGCCAGCTCCGCCGCCGCCGCCGCCGTTCAACGGCCTCCGGCGTTTGACGGAGAGACAGGACGAATCTGGCGAGGGTTGTGGGAGACGGGGGGGGGAGGGATATCTTTGGGCACCTTGCTTCGCCCTGATCCCGATGAAGGTTTTCGATGTAATGCAAGGGCGTATGGACGGCAAGGGTTGGGTTTTTCGGTCGCTTTTCTCCTTGGTGAGGTTCCACGTTTGGTCGGCCTGGGGGGGGGGGGGGGGGTTAGTCTCGACCTCATGCTTGGTTGGCCCCACGTTTTTATCTGAAGCGTTTTCAGGCGGGAGGTGATCCGAGTAAAAAAAAGGTGGAGAAATGTCTTTACTCCGGGGACTTTTGTTTCCTTCTGCCATCGTCATCGACGGGAAGAGGGAAAGGGGCCCTGTTCTACGTGGCATGCGTGCCGATCGTCTCGGAGGGGGGAGGGGTCGGAGGGGGCGGGCTCCGTGTTCTCCGGACTTTCACTTTTACCCCGGTTTGACCTTGAACCTGATACAAAGCTCGCTGTCGCGTACGCCCGAGTTCCCACTTCGCGCGCAGGACGGTCCCCGTGAGCCCGCCGGCGGCTTGTTTGCGGTTGTGGCTGCTCTGAAACCGGTGACGTACGTGAACCATGTACGCGGGGGGGGAGGTCTAGCATACACATTTCCAATAGCAGATTTCAGTCACCGTCCTGTCACGCGATGGCGGGGGTGGGGGAGAGGGGCTGGTTTCCTCGTGCGGGAGGCAGGTTGAGCAAGTCCCGACCACACCGGGCGAGGAAGACGCGTATGAGCCGGGGGGGGGTAGGGGGGGTGAGGAGTGCCCGAACCGCGCGAGACCCTCGGCCTGGGCCATGGAGCAGGCTGGGGTATTCGTTCTGCACAGTGATAGAAAGGCCATGATGTGGAGGTTGCTTCGAGGTCGGGGGTTCGACCGAGATGTTAAGCCTTCTTGAAGTCTGGGCGGCAGCAGGTGTAATGTGTCCTGCTGCTCCACTTGATGGTAATAGGCTGACGGTATGTAGCCTTGTCGTTTGTACTGACGGCACATTGATGAAGGGCCCGGTAGATAAGTATGTCATGGCATGTCTGTCCTGCTCAGGTCTGGGAGCTCATGGGAAGCCGGACTGAGTCTTGGTTCAGAAAACGACCCCTTTATTAAGTTCATGGCATCGTTGAAAACATAAACTGCCCATCAGTCGAAAATTGTTTCTAGCATTTCCAAGTTGGTGAAACGACCTTCCTCCGTCTTCCCATGTCCTCTTATGGGTCTAGCAAGATGAGCTGAGTGAGTGATACGTATGTCTGCTAAGGCGCAACCTGTGACAGTGACGGCGTTTGCTGGAGCAAGGTCTGAGAAACCAAGGAGTAAATGATCCAAAAATGGGTTTTTTATTTAATTACATGCAACACCAAAATCGCTGATGGTACTGTACTTTCGTTCTCTTCGACGAAAAAGCGAAACCCCTCGCTCCAGCTTGAATATCTCTGGTCCTCCCCATGCCCAGGAAATCGTCCTAAGCCTGAGCCGTGTGTCCTCGAAAGAGGGATGTTGCGGCTTCCTGCTTCATCATGGACCGAAAGAACTTCAACCGAGGTTGACGTATTCTGCTTGTCCTGGACCATGAGCGTGGCGCGGGCTTTCTGAAGAAGCAAGATAACTGGGTAACCAAACAACGTTGAGGCTGATGATGATCTTTGACCACGCCGTCTTTGACTCGGACAAGAAGACAGTCCCTCCGTTTCGAAAACTCAAAACAGCCCGCCCACAAGGCGCGTTGCCGGGAATCTCCAGACTTTGCTTCTCGTTGTCAGTCTTGAGCAGTCTCAACAGCATACAGAGCGTCCGGCCACGTTTGGCGCCGCTCTGCCGCGGTCCCGGACTCGAGGTCTGGTACGTCACAGCTGGATGGGGTGGAAGGAAGTGGAGGAAAGGAATGAACAAGGGCGGTTTTGTTCCCAAGAGCGAGGTTCTGCTGGTTCTGCTCGGAGGGGGGGGAGAGGGTTGGGGATTCACGGGACAGACGGACGCGCACGAGGGTGTGGACCGGAGGAAGGAGTTTGCATTCATAGATCTTCACCCTCTTTTCGTGCATATCTTCACGAGCCTCCGAGCGCGCTTCCGAGGTTGGCTTAGGTCTTGGCTGGTAGCCTCAGCCCCGAACATCTTCGGGTTTATGTGCTCGGCCGTTGGGCGGCAGGAGAAATGCCTCCCTTTTGACAGCCCTATGAGGTGTCAAACGGGCCAGGTTGGTCTTGAGGAGGACTTGGAACACGAGGCTCGAAGTCTCTTGATTGTGTCACCGACGCTGGTTGGCCTGTATCACGAAATACAAGGTTCTTGGTGGCGATGTACCCGAAAATGCTCGCATGTCCTCGAGCCTCTACGGTTGAGGTACTGTAACCTTTTTTTGGTTGGAGCCATCTCCTGTCTCGACAGAGCATACTAGTTGCGTGGTACTTCGTGTGTGAATAAGCTGTCCTGATGGGCTAGGCTATGATTACGTTTTTACAGTACGAGTGCCGTGTGTTATTATCACCTGTACCGTTCGTGCTGCTGACATTGCTGCTGGATCCTTTCTCCTGTCGCGTCGAACCTTGGCTGGTGGAACGGAAAGGAGGAACGCTGATGCTACCTTGTCGACGCAGTGCTTCTGGAAATCGGAGGAGCTGGGGTCGTTGTGCGATATGTCGTGCGCTGACCGGTTCATCGGGTCGGTGGTTCCGAGAGGAGCACCCACGCCAGGAGGAGTGGATACCCGGGCCGGGTCATGTCCGGAGCGGGGCCCAGCGTGTCGCGCCGTCCCGGTCAACGGCATCTACAGGCCTAGATAACGCCACATGGGCCCAGTACCCATGGTACCTTCAATAACAAGTTGTATGCGTGCCGAGTTATGTATCACACCATAAATTGCTCCCAGAAAATAAGAAGAGCTTGTGGCCTCTAACTTGTCTGGCCAACAATGTGATATTGGTGTCTCCATACTATTTCGTAATGAAAGGATCATATATTCATCATGAATCAAAACTTGTGCAGCATTGCCACGTCTAGCCACCCGCAATCGTAACAAGAATCCCTACTAGACAAAATCTTGAATGATCGGAGCCTTCAAAGGAAGCTTTCTCATTCGAACCCCTCCCCTCCCAGCTCAACAATCAAGCACATCCTCCACCTCCCTGCAGTACAGGACGCCCTCCACCTCCGGCATCCCCTTCACCCCCCTCCTCACCCTCTCGATAGCGACCCTCAGCTCGCCCCACGTCCAGAAATCGTCCACCAGCCCGTGCGCCTCGGAAAACAGCTGCGGCAGCCGGAACTCGTCCTCCGCGGGGCCCAGCAGCCTCAGCACCCCGCCGTCTCCGGTCTCCTCCTCGGGCCGCGGGAGCGGTCTGAATTCGACAAAGACGAAGAGCCTCTCCATGTCGGTGAAGCACCCCGCGCACGCCCGGAGGGCCTCGGCGATCCGGCGCTCGTCCTGGAGGACGGACCAGTGGAGCCCGACGTTCCTGAAGCCGGGCTTCGTCGTCCAGGGGGAGTCCCAGGCCCCGAGACGGCTGCGGTACACGAGCGGCGGGAGGTAGACGATGTCGGAGGCCGGGACGTACGTCGGCGGCGACGGGCCGGACGGAACCGCCCCCTTTTGGACGTCGAGGGGGTGGGGGAAGGGGCGGAGAAGGGCCCGGACCGCGGCTCGGGACTCGGCACAGACGCCGAGACCGACGTGGCGCGCGTGGCGGCGGTCGCGGGCGGGCTGGACGAGGTGGGTGTCCTCCCTGTACTCGAAGACGCGGGGCACCGCGCCGAAGGCCTCCCAGACGAGGAGGCGGAGCTCGAGGGGGAGGGCCATGAAGGGGTGGCGGCGGCAGCCCGTCGGCGGCTCCTCCGAGGCCTCCTCCATTGGTGGCGACGCAGGCGGCATGAGACCGGTGGCGGTAGATATGGCGTGCGATGTTGATGACGAGTTGGCTCTTGTTTGAGGTTCTTTCGGTGTTTCTGCGTCAGGAAAGGGGGGAAAAGTTTAGTAGGCTGAAGGCCCATGAGGGGGTGTCCAGACAGCCCGACTCGAGAGATGGTCGTGGTGGCTGATGTGAGACAGGCGTTGCCCGTCCTGTCGTCGGCGACCTATCGTAGCTGAGCGGCTGAAATATGTGCAGATCGCGGGCGTAGGCACGCCTGTTTCCGTTCAATCGGCCGCAGCACTAGTTCTTGGGGAAGAGGGTTGTATCCGTATTGGCGATCGGGAATGCGATCTTGGACCTGGTTGATCATAACTGCCTGACTATATTCTGACGATCCCGGGGCAGAGAATTGTCCCGGACAATAAGCATCCTATGACATCCGCGGGGGGGGGGGAAGATCACAGGCATGTGGCATTAAAGCAAAAAGTAAGAACGGTGGCATTCGGTAGAATCTCACAATACAATGACGGCGCAAACCACGCGACAATCGGAAAACACGGGCTGGTCCCTGTTCACTAGGCGATCGGGCTCCTGCATCATTGGGGGGGGGGGCTTTGGGATGGGATGACGATCTGGGCGTTGGCTGGGCTGATTCGGCTGACTGACTGGCCGGGCACGCTGTTCATCTACATTCAGTTCCCCGATCTGACCGGAAACCACCAAAAAAAATAAGATAAAATAAAAAAGCCGAGCTAGCGTTGTGGCTTGATGAGACGGCGGGATTGGTCCGAAAGATCTGACAACCCTCCTTTCCGCGATGTTGTGTGATGTAAGGGCGGCCTGAACCTCGCGCCACGGGTTCAAGCATGTTCCCCACAAGCCCGCCCGCGCCTCGAATCGGGGTCCCGGTGTTCGGCGTCAGCGGATGCGCCGGTCGGCCTCATCGCGGCGTAATGGGGAATACTGTGGCACGTTGTCACGCGATGGGATCATGGAGTGAGGGCGGAGGCGAGGGGGGATCTGTCGATAATCTGCGTTGGGCGGCGTGATTGACTTAGGGACGACGAACATGCAGCTCGCGTTGCTTCGAATCTGGTATCGCATCATACCGCGGGAGACTTTCCTTCATTTGGCACCCTGTCTCCCTTCAAAGAGTGTCTGGGTATGTGGGGACACTGTGAAAGGCCCCTCGTCGTTACTCAGGGGGCGTGTCGCCGGGTCTTCCGAGCGGCGGGGGTTTATAGCTCCGAGAGCCGGTCCCGAACCCCGGGCTTTCGTCCCCACTCCCAGCGGTCGGGCGCCGGATGTTGTCGACCGCGGTGCGAAGCACGGCTTCACCGTCCAGCACGGAAACCAATGACCGCATCGTGCGTATCCGCAACTGATCGCCCGATTCAACCTACTCTACTAGTCCTACGGCATGGTGAACACGCTACATCGTATCCTCGCTTCACGCCAACAAGAACCTGTCGTTGAAAGTCACCAGATCCTCCTTCGAGTGTACCTTTTTCAATCAAATAGCAGCCTGGGCCGTCTAAACCCATTCTCGATCGGGGCAGATATGCAACTGCAATGAGAACAATGGGACTGGCTTCGGAGGCTGGCCCGGCGCACGATTAAAAAATGATGCATTATTATTCTACTTTGTAAAAAAACAGAAAAAACAAAACAAACAGCAAAAGCATAGGGAGATGGAAGCAGGAAGCGAACCCTTCCAAGTGTCTTTGGCACTCTACTGCAAGACGCCGGTCATACAGCCACCGTGTAACAGTCGGCATAACGTCCAGAAACCCACCCCCCCTTCCCCTTTTCCGTTAACCTGGCGCGCGCGGGTCTACCAGAGCTCGCACGTCGGCTGCTTCTGGGGGCAGTTGAAGGCGCTGCGGAAGTCCTTCGAGTTGTCCAGCGGCCCCTTGATGCGGGCGAAGCCGGGGGAGTGGACGTCGGTGCCGAGGAGGTAGACGTCGTACTCCTTGGAGGACGACTTGCTGCACCAGGACTGGGCCCAGCGGAGGAAGAAGAGCTGGTCGTGCGAGAACTTCTGCAGGCCCGGCAGGTCGGCGTCCTTGGCGTCCCTGGTGCCCTCCAGCTTCTTCCACGCCGCGTAGCTCGTCGAGACGCCGCCGGCGTCGGCGATGTTCTCGCCGAGGGTGAAGTTGCCGCGGACGGGCACCTGCGTGCCGTTGGGCGCCGTGACGGAGAACTTCTGGTACTGGTCGGCGAAGCACCTTGTGCGGTTGTTGAAGGCCTCGAGGCTCTTGTCGTCCCACCAGTTGACGAGGGAGCCGTTGGCGGCGTAGTTGTGGCCGTTGTTGTCGAAGCCGTGCGTGAGCTCGTGGCCGAGGATGGAGCCGAGGCCGCCGTAGTTGATGTACGAGGGGTACTCGACGTTGTAGATGGGCTGCTGCTGGATGCCGGCGCTGGCGACGATGTCGTTGTAGGCGGCGTAGTAGTACGCGTTGGTCGTCGACGGCGTCTGGAGCCACAGCCCCCTGTCGCTGGGCTTGCCGAGCTGCGCAAACACCTTCTTGCTGGCGAAGGCGGCGAAGGCGACGGCGTTGTCGAAGTAGCCGTCGCCGACCTTCAGGCCGGAGAAGTAGTCGGCGAGGCTGCGGGGGTCGGCCGTGTCGGGCGACATGTCCGGGTACCCGATCTTCCTCGTGATGGCCTTGACCTTCTCCTCGGCCGCCTTCTTGACCTCGGACGAGAGCCAGTCCTTGTCGTCGAGGCGGGAGATGAAGGCCTGCTGGATGGTGCCCATCATGTTCGTCGCGAGCTCGCGCGCCTCCTTCGAGTACGCCCTGTCGAGGTAGAACCGGCTGAGGATCCAGCCCGGGCCCTTGGGCACGCTGCTCCAGGGGACGCCGTCGTCGACGTGCTGGACGCACTCCTCCCACCTCGCCGCCCTGCCGACCCGCGCCGGGTCCACGGCGCGGAGCGTGGACTTGAAGTCGTTCAGCCGCCTCGTGGGCGGGGACTCGACGTACGGGGAAAATGCGGCGGCAGCCTTCCACACGAAGAAGCCCTGGACCGTCTCCACGGTGGTGTTGGCGAGGAGCTGCGAGAGGTTGCCAAAGTACGCGGGCGAGAAGTACAGCGCCTCGGGGTCGTAGTCCATGGGCATCAGGTTCTTGAGGACAAAGTCGTGGTTGAGCTCGGGCGCCACTCTGGTGACCTCCTCCAACTTGAACCTCTTGCTCGGTGACTTTGAAAGAAACGCAACCCGTTAGTTTTGAGAAACGAGCTTAGGGACCGTGCTGGTGGGTTGTGTTTCCGGTCGTGGAAGAGGGCAGATCATAAAATGGGGGCAGCAAGACTCACGAAGTCATCGTCGCCTTGGCGACTGTCGTCTGTGGAGGACAGGTCGGACGCTTCCCTCTCAAACTTGATAATGTCGACTGCGAGTCTCTGGGCATCACTGGGAGTGGGCTTGTTGGGATGCACCTCTTGGAGGATCCCCGCCACAACACGCACATACTCTTCGACCGTGTCATTGTTGCGCGATTGCGATCTGGAGATCAAAGGACTGCCGCCGGGGATGACCGAGAGGATCGTTTTGTTCTATTGTTCCGTCAGGCTCGGTGCTCGGAAGGTATGGAGGTTCGGGGAGGAGGGGGGGGGGGGAAGGGGGTGGAGGCCGCGTTGACGAGACATTGATGAGGGCCGGCGGCAAACGAGGAAAGGACTCACGGGATTCAGGTCTTCAAAGGCGACATCGATGCTCTCAAAAGTCGAGAGGCCATGCTGACTAAAGAGCAGCAGGGCCTTCCCCATGTTCTCGGCATCACCCTTTGACACCTTGCGTGCCTTGTCCTCCGTCGTGTTGGCGACGGGGAACGCCGCGGCGACGCGGTCGATGAGGCTGATCAGCGGGCGCAGGCCCGCCGCTTCGACGGCGGTGTTGTTCAGGCAGGCGTTGTACGTGGTGACGATGAGGTTGAAATTGTCTTGGTCGATGCTGACCTGCTCCTTGGACAGGGACGCCGTCAGGAACCCGGCGTCGGGCCCGGTGGGGTACGGACTCTCCAGGATGTCCTTGAGCATGAAGGAAACGGTCTTGCTGACCTCGCCCAATGCGGAGGCCCTGCCCTGACCAGCGCCCGGGGCGTGCTTCGAGTTCCAGCCTGCGCATGCCACTGCCAAAAAAGGGTTGTCAGTGGACGGAGATTCATGGCATTTTGACTTTCCACCCCTGTTTCCGGGGGACTGCGGATTTGAAAAACATGGAAAAGAGTTGCGAAATAGGCATCGGAAGCTTGGACGCGGGGAGATGGGGGGAGAGGAATGTAGAGACGGATGTCATGCGGGCAGGTGACGGGTTGGGGAAGCATGAAGGTGGGGTGGTGGTGCTTGAGTCCGTTCGACGTACGCTGGTCAAAGTCTGTGCACGGATCGATGTTTGTGTAGTTAGGCGCAAGACTGAGGAGAATATCGGATGCGATCTCGATACATGCTGGCGTGGTGCAGATGCTGCCGGCGTCGCCGTTGGGGCCCGCGGGAGCCATTGTGTTAAGATGGAACGAGTCGAAGAGACGGAGATAGAGAGAGAGAGAGAGAGAGAGAAAGAGAGAGAGACAGAGAGAGGGAAGTCGGCGATTGTTGTCGTCCGTCAGGGTTTGGGTTGCTCTTTATATATATGTTGATGAGTATAGATGATCCAGACCCCCCCCACCCGCGCATAAGCAGTCTAGTACAGTTCACCTGGTATATAAATATCACAATATGTAAACATCTGATATGCTATATTACGGCAGGCACGGAGGCCACTACACGTAGCTTCCTCTCCATGATACTCCCTACTCCCTACCTACCTACCTACCTACCTCAACAATCTAGCCAACTACACATACAAACATCATGACATGATACGTGGCATCTCTAACCTATGCAACAACCCAATCTCTTAATACGGTATAGAACATTTAATAACGTAGAGTAGCTGAGTTAGACTTTGCTTTCGAGTACGGCGTAAACGACCTGGAGGCGCCAGAACGTTAGCGACCTGGGTTGTGGCTTGACGTACCGGCGATGATGGCACTGTTGAATCTACCGTCATAACCTTTAGGATGGCGGGGTGACTGAAGTGTCAGCCATATTGAACTCTGCCTTGGAGGTCATCGAAACCCTTGCGCTTTGAGTCGCAGACGGTACCGGAGATGGCTTCACTTTCCAGCAACCTCTATCGCCGCAGCCAGATATACATAAGGATGACGCCGGTCTCTGATCTCTTCCCTCCCAGTTAAATCTCACGTCGCATTGATCTTTATTGAAGTCATGCAACGGAGGTGCTGTTCGCTGGTGAATTGGTAGACCCAAGCGAAAGTGCTGGACAGAAACTCCGAAGATACGATACGACGCCATAGGCCCCTTTAGCTGTGCATATTCAACAGAACAAGCAGGACGCCAAGATCACCAAGACGAGCCTGTCCGAGTTCGCGGTGATCGATGTTATGCAAACGGGGAAAAGCAACGAGAGGTTGGTCCGGTCTTTGGGGATCGTCATGCTTTGCCGTGACACGAGTCCGTACGTGCCCGTACCTTCTGCTCCAGGCTGAGAGGTGAAGAGTGCCCAGTCCTCCCCCCTTGGTGGGATGTCCATTCGTTGCGTCTTGGCTAATCCTAAGCCAGCTTGGCACACAAGAAGAGCCTTGTGTGGTGACAAAGTCGATCGGGGATGTGGGTGCGGCCGGCAGAGGTTAGTGAGTAATTGCAGGGAGGGAACGGTGAGCCGCATAGCTGAGCAAGAATCGATAGTTCTGGCCGAGATTCTCAGCTGCAGGACGACATCTTATGCTCCCAAACGGTTTTCGAATATATCCAGCCCAAAGGAGGCAAAGGCAGGTGAGGCAGAGTATTGTGGCTGGGTTTCGGCTCAGAAGACGTTTGGCTCTTGTGAATGAATGTCCAAGTATGAAAATCATCATGGCTCGGTCGTGATGATGTATGTGTATGTATCACTCAGACGCATACACACACGTCAGCACACGTGTTGACCCAGTAGCCAGTAAGTTCTGGCCTTGGAACTTGACATCCAAGACATATTGGCTGAGGGATGGGGCGCGGCGTTAGACTAATCAGCCCTCCAGGGCATCCTGCCGCGGCCAGTTGCACCGCATTCCAACCCCGACTTTCCGTCTCAGGAGCTGAGTCTTATTAGTCACCTATTTCGAGTGTCGCTCACTGGTTGGAAAGCCTGGCAATTAGACTTTCCCATGCACCCTGCTTTTTCCCCGCAACGCGGATCGCTCCTCCATAACAGCTTTCAGGCGCGAACCTAATCTCCATGCCCAGGACATGCAGCCGCTGTGCGTCGTAGGGGCCCTGAAACTAGTGTAGGTATAGGAGCCTCGGCTGACCCGTCAGCGTAGGGTCAAGTGGGCTGTCGCATCCGCTTGGTCAATGTCGCGCTGTCTTGGTACCGGTTGAGCGACGGTATGAGTCCAGTCGGTTCAAAACAACGGCAGAGGGAGGGTATCATGCGAAGTTCGCTGCTCCAAGGGGGCGCGATAGATAACCTTAAATCCCCGGCGATGCCTGTCGCAGTTCGTTTCGCCTGGTTGACGAGAGGTGAACGGTCCGCGAGAGGCATGCCCTTCGGAGAGGACCTCGCGAAAACTGGCCCATCTGAAGGCTTCGAAAGTGATCAATGCTGTACATGGGCCTCACCGTCATCAATCACCGGCCACGGAGCGGTCCAGTATGTGGATACCTACGTCGTCGTCGTCGTCGTCGTCGTCGTCGTCTATGGGAGGGAGAACTGAGAGGGAGAGAGATGGAAGGAGACGGCAAAGAATCCAAAGATGATCACGTGTTGGTTTGCTTGATGACATAAGCATCGACTGCGGCGTGCACAGATCATGCAAGCAAGCTCGGTTAAATGCCGGAGACAGCCGCCGCAAGGTAAGCCCTGCACCGTCCTCGATCAAGATCAAGCCACGTTCGCATTTCGGTTTCATGCGCCACAATGACGTTGACGCCTACCGGTAGCTGTTTGGAGGGAGGCGACACGACATCCATCTCAAGCGCAAATCTGGGACCTGATCACGGGCAGGCTCCGTTCCTCCCTCCTCCCTTGCTTTGCGTCTTCTGTTATCACCATTTTGTCATCTTGAAAAGAAAAAGAAAAAAAACCTCGAACCTAGCATCCGTCACCCTAGCAGACTTCAAGATGGCGAACGCTGGTGCCCCTCCCGACTATTGTATGTGTCCCCACCCAGCAGCTACCACACCCCGCCGTCATAGCCCCCGAGATGCGACTAACATGGCGCCACAGACAAGATCCTCGAGATCGCGGAGACGGCCACAACGCAGCAAGTTCGTGATGCATACAAGAAGTAGGCGCCCGATCGAAGCTTGTTTCCAAACTTGAGAGTATACGGCGCTAATGCTTTTTTCGTGTAGGGCAGCCCTGAAGACACATCCGGACAGGGTCCCCGCCGACTCGCCCGAACGCGCGACCCGCACCCGCAAGTTCCAGCTTGTCAACGATGCCTACTACACGCTCTCCGACACGCAAAGACGGCGCGAGTACGACGCCCAGCGCAAACTGTTTGGCGCGTCGGCCGGCGCGACGTACGGCGACTTCTCCGACGACGACGACCCGGCCGAGGAGGTGCCGCCCCAGCAGACCGGTGGTGGCGGGAACTCGCAGAGCGCCTATTCGTGGGCGTGGAACTTCTTCACGGGCGGCAAGCAGAGCGAGGCGGAGCGCGAGAAGGCGGGCAACCAGCAGTTCGGCGACGTGTTCGAGGAGATGCTGCGCGAGGAGGGCATGGCCGAGGACGGCACGAACCGGCCGACGGGCTCCTTCTGGGGCACCATCGGCGGGCTGAGCGGCGGCGCGCTGGGATTCATCGTCGGTAACATGCCCGGCGCCGTCGCGGGGGCCGTCGCCGGCAACAGGCTCGGCGCCGTCCGAGACACGCGGGGCAAGAGCGTCTACGCCGTTTTCCAGGTCAGTGCGGGTCTGGCGGGCATGCATCTATCTCTGCGGGATAGATGTCAGTCAGCCCTACTCATTCGTATCCATGATGTTTTGTTGAAGATGTAAGAGCACGTATCGTTTGCTAACAAACAGTCCTGCAGGAGCTTCCTCAGCCGGACCGCGCAAGGTTGCTCACCCAGCTGGCTGCCAAGATCTTCAGCCACACGGTGGGAGTCTAAAGGGTATTAGTTAGGGTTGGTAGTTTCGGGGTTATTATACATACCACTCGGGCAGCTCGGAGTTTGGGACGGAATGGGACGCGCAGGTAGGAAGCTTCACGTAATCGGACGGGCACACACACATCAGTACTCTGGTAGAAATAAACTAGATAGCTCACTAAGCCCGCCTCCCTCAGATGTGAATCGTTTGAAAAGCTGGGTAGCATCCAGTGTGAGAAGAGAAGCATCAACCAGCAACTTGTTGACTCGGGTGCTACCTGACTCGGACCCGGCAGCGCCCACAGGACCGACTGACCGACCGGCTTAGGCAAGGTACCACCACCTAATCAACTACCGTAACTGTACGGCGGGTCACGAATGTAAAGCGGATCAACAACGCATATCAAAAACGATACGAAAAAGAAGACGGAGATGGCCAAAATTGCAAAAGATTCATGCGTCAAGGACAGGATTCGAACCTGCGCGACCGAAGCCACTGCCTAATCTGGAATCAAGGTTTGATAGCAGGGCAGCCCATTAACCACTCTGGCACCTTGACTAGTGACCGTTTTGTTGACATGCGAGGGCGGGGAAAGCTCCATATTCCCCGCCGCGACCCTCTGAGTCCCTGTCCCCCTCCCTGTGTCATCATCACTCCACCACATCTTACCTAGTCATGCCGCAGACCTTCATGGGTGAACGAACAAGCCGAGAAGCCCGTCGGGGACTCGTCGTATGTTCACGATGGGCTACTTGCACGAGACGGAAGCCCGCGTATTTCATTACTTAGTTTCTGTGTTTCCAAAGTCGAACAGCCGACTCCCCGGCGTCGTCATGTTGAGGCCGGCTGGTGCCAGGAGCGGCTTGCATGCAGCCTTTCCGCTCAGTCACTGCTCAGTCACTGCCCACGCTGGGCAAGCATACGATGCGCAATTCTAGGTAGTTCTCAGGTCGTCGCCTCCGCCAATCGGGGAAGCATGTCCGTTTCCGGAAGCAAAATGAGGAGCAAGGGTGGGGGGAGGACTGGCTGCACGTACCGGATGATCGAAAACAAGAACGTGGCAGCGGCCTTGAAGTTACTGCAAGTACACCACGAACTCGGAAAGCCGAGTTTGCCTAGTTGATGACTATTGGGAAATTGGCACCGCTGCTTGGCTGTGTTGTACAGTATCGCCGTGTCGAGTCTCGGAAGCAGAACCCTGGCACATGACCGAACCCAAGTCTCCCTGCCTTGACTCGATACTGCTCCTCCATGCAGCATGGAGGTGGACGGTGTGCCGCTCGTTCATCTCAAACAACGTTATACTTTATTAACATGGAAACAAAAGACAATGTTTCATCTCCGTCCCCCCCCCCCAGAAAAAACAAGGGGGGCGCTCTTCTATCACATCTACATCCTGCACTGAGTTTATACACGTAATGGAGGAGGCATATAACCCTCGTCCCCGACCGCCTAGGGCAGGACGTAGCCGCCGTCGATGATGACATCGCTTCCCGTCATGTAAGTGGAGGCGTCGCTGGCCAGGTAGAGGTACAGGCCCTTGATCTCCTTGGTGTGGCCCTGCCTGCCGAGGGCCGCCATGCGGTACGCCTCCTGCAGGGCCTGGGGCCCGGCGCCCATCTTGGTGTCGAAGAAGCCGGGCGAGACGACGTTGACGCGGGCGAAGCCGCGCCACTCGCGCGCCAGCGACTTGCCAAAGTGCGTGACGAACGCCTTGGTCGCGTTGTAGACGGGCTGGTCCACCGGCACGTTGACGATGTGGGCGCTCATGCTCGACGTGATGATGAGGTTGCCCGAGCCCTGGCGCTCAAAGACCTCGCCCGCGTACTTTGCGCAGTACACGATGCCGTCCACGTTGACCGACATCTGCTTCCGGTACTCGTCGAGCGTCTGCTCCAGGATGGGCTTCGAGATGGCCATGCCTTTTTTTGTTTTGGCTTGTTACCTCTTTTTATAGCTAACCGACCACACATGGACTGCGGGGAGAGAGAAAGAGAGGAAGAGAACCCACCGGCATTGGCGACGAAGACGTCAATCTTTCCAAAATCTCTGACGACCTTTGCCATGGCCTCCTGGACCTGCGTCGGATCGGATACTGCTCCCTCGCGGTCAGCATCGTGTCGCGCCAGGCGACAAGACAACTTGGACCTAGATGGTCCCGGGACCCTAGCTAGAAAACCTACCGTCGACCTTGTAAGCCAAAGTCTTTATGTTGTGCGTGCTTGCCAAATCCCGAGCTTTCCGGATCGCGACGTCGTTTCTATCCCGCCATTAGTCAGGGCCAACTCGGATTTGACGGAGGGACCTCGGCCGTCCCGTGATTAAGGGAATGGGGATGAGGCGGGGCCGGCCTACGAGTTGTACCACAGAGCAACGTTGCCCCCGGCTTCGGCCATGGCCTCGGAGACGGCGAAGCCAATGCCGTCCGCTGCGCCAGTGACCACGATGACCTTGGCGGCCACACGGAGCTGCTCTAGGACGTTGGACGGGGTATCGGGGAATGGGCGGGGGAAGCCCTCGCGGGGCTTCTGGCAGTCTTCCGTCGACATGGACATGTTGCCGGGCGTGTCTTTCCAATTCTGACCGAATCTGTGCAGGGTCTCAAGACGTGCAAGTTTATACGGAATCCATCTACCGTGACGGAGATAATGGCGAGAAGCAGAGGTCCCTTTATCGAGGGAAACCAGGACCCAACAGGTCTCCGCATCGGTGCGCAGTCGTCCGAAGGCGGGGGAGGGGGCGTTTCGCGGCCCACTGGGACTGGGTCATTGGGGCGGCAGTGGGCGGGCAGCGGGCCGCCGGCCGGAAGGAATCCCGGCCGGTGGTGTTTTCTCAAGAGTCCTTCACGTTATGTCTCCATCCAAACCCTCGTCGAGAATAGTTTTGAGTTATGTCAGAGTTGGCCTCAACACCATGCAGCAAGCAATCAAGGTGAATCTCACGCGTATGATGCAGGATTCTACGTTAGAGCCTTAACTCAAAACCACCAACCCGCAACTGATCTTGTGAGCCCCCGGCTTGCAGAGAAACCGAGGGTTGCAAGTTCCGACAAGGCTCACCAACAAGAACAGAAATGACAAAACATTGGTAATTCTCTCGTCCCGCCTCTCCTCGCCTCGCCTCGCCTCGCCACGCCAGCGAGCTTGGCAATGATTTCGAGTCAAGCTGAACGGGAGTGATGTTTCTCTGCTTAGAAACCAAACAAATGCCGTGTCGATCGCACACAATGACTAGGGAAGAGCGAGACAATCAGCATCTTCAAAGGAGGAGGGGCCGCTGATTCGCCGTTTTCTCACCATTTCCGCCTTCGCAGCAAGGATGAGGCCCGGCGAGGGCGTTTTGTTTCATGTTTCTGGATCGACGTGGAGGCGGGCGCGCCGGGTGAATCGCGACTCTATCCTCGACCGTTTGCTGGCCCCCCTTCGCTTCCCTCACGCCTTACTCGTCCAACCCCCCCAACGGCACGGCCATAGCCGCTCCAGAGGCCTTCTGGGCGGAGGGTTCAGATGAAACTCTTTTCGAGAAAACCTTCCTGACTAGGCCGCCCACCCACATTCCCCTTTCCCTCCGAGATGACTCTCAAACAACCACGAGAAAAGGCCGTCGTCGCTGCTTCGGAAGGGAACGCCGATGCCTCTTGTCCCCCCCACCCCCTTCCACGAAGACGCGGGGTCGCCCACGACCGAGTATAAAGCCGGACTAGCTTCACGTCAGTCAAACTCAACCGTTCTTCACACCTCTCTTGCAGTCTCTCCTCCTCCTCTCAAGCAAAAAAAGGCACATAAGCTTCGAGCGTACGTTCCGTGTAAGATGAAGTCCTCGATCCACTTCAAGGCGGCCTGCGCCGTCCTGGTCGCCTCGTTGCTCGGCAGCGTCCAGGGCTTTCCTCAGTCGACCCCTGTTCACGCAACAAAAGAGACTCCGGCCGAGGCTGCCAACAGGGTTCCGCTGGGCATGACCAAGGCCAAAGATGGCTCCTCCATCATCTTGGACACCACTGAGTCTGTGAAGTGAGTCTTTTCCGCCCTCCTCCTCCAGTCATGAGGCGCCCTCCCCCCACCCCCTCCCCCTAATGCCAGATTAGTTTTCGCGGGAAAGGCTGACAAGAACCAAAAAAAATCAGTGGCTTAAAGATACGCTTCCGCGTAAGCGGCCCCGCCGGCGAGTTCACCATGGCCAGCAAGGTCCCCGGCGGCGGCAAGACGACCGGCGCCCCGGGGAACCTGGGGCTCAACGTTATGCTCCACGGCGACGGCGGAGAGTCCTTCTTCCAGATGCCCAACCAGGGCGTGAAGAACGGCCTGGCCGGCGTGGCCGTCCTGGCGCCGGACGACAACCTCCGCTGGGGCGGCGGCATGGGTCTCGGCCGCGTCAACGGCGTCGCCCACGCAAAGGCCGTCAACGACCTCGTCATGCAGGTCCTGCCAAAGTACCTGGCCTTCAACTCCTCCAACGTCTACTTCACCGGCATCTCGGGCGGCTCCCTGCTGCTGTCGGGCTACTTCATGCCCGCCCACATCGGCAACTTCGCCGGCGGCGGCGTGTTCCTGGGCTGCGGCGGCATGGAGCCGCGCGTCGAGGTGTCGGAGGCGTCCGCGAGCGCCATCGCGAGCACGCCCATCCACTACCAGTCGACCCAGAAGGAGCAAATGGGCCTGACGATGTCGATCCCGGCCGCCATCAGGGCGTACAGGAAGATCGTCGAGGACAAGGGCCTCACGGCCGAGGAGATCGACAGGCTCCAGACGGCCGACAACACGCCCGACGGCGGCCACTGCGAGTTCGACGGGCGGGGGTACGACTCGGGCATCCAGCTGATGATGGACAACTACGCCGCCGTCATGCAGGGCGGGGACGGCGATGTCCCCGGCGTCGGGGACGTCCTCAAGGGCGTCGCCTCGCACGACCTGACGTACCCGGGGTCTAATGGGGGGGAATGATCTGTTTGAAAGGGCAGCTCCGGGACCTGCTTTTTGCTTTTATGACGAAAATTGGGGAAAGGAGGTGGGGGGCTTGGTAAAGTAGAAAGGGAAAAGCGTGTATAATTGAATCAAAAAGGTGTCTGTTTGCTCTTGATGGGATAATTCGTCCGGCCTTGAGGGGGGGGCGACTTTCTTGGTAGCCAGTCCCTATCGCTGTTTCTGGTGACACTCCGTGGTGAACGTTTTCATATCTGTGTAGTCGCTGACGTAGGATTACTATGTTACTATGTCAGCATAAGATGCATGGCTAGTTAGATAGCCTGCCGCCTCGAGACCTTACACCTGATGGACTCCAGGGATGTTTGGCAAGGCGGAACTAGACCAGGCATTTCCGCAGGAGTGTACGTTTACTGCTACCAGGTTCTTATCAGCTGTTTTTGCATCATATAAACGAATCGGGGAAGTTCCAAAAGGGTTGGTAATTCTAGAGGTTTGTTCGTCCGTTATTCTCCCCCCCTCCCCTTCTCTCTCTCTCTCTCTCTCTCTCTTCTCTTATTAAGCACATGTTCGACCGAAGTTGTAAAAGTTTACCGTCTTTTTGACATAGCTTATTTCCGTCGCAGCTGATGAACTGACACCCCCCCCGCATGTTGGGTTAACCCCTTTCCCCGTGTCGTGTTTGTACGTTTCTTGCTTCTTTGCTCCATATCATTCACTTAACAGCTGCTCGAGCCCGTCCGGAAGCGAAAGACGTTGACGGACCAATCTGCCTCCTGGAAGCACGTCGCGCCCAAGTTCGTCGCCGCGCCCAAGTTCGTCGCCGCGCCCAAGTTCGTCGCCGCGCCTCCGAAGCAGTTGGGCTTGCAGTCGGCGCAGATGTCCGGACACTGCGTCAAGAAGATTTTGAAAAGTCAGCACGACGGCGCTTAGCACAAACCCGGGGGAACACAACATAGCACCCGTACGCTGGCAGGTGTTGTTTGATTACATGACGAGCAAACTCCGGGCAGTGGAAGAAGCTAGAGTTAGTTTTGCCTACAGCCATCATGAGAAACGTGCATGCCGTCTCTTAACTAGCATGGGGAGACAATGGTGATATCATGACATTTGACTACATTACTACTACCCTGTCTTCTGTTTCACCGATAGTCATATACAACGTGAGCAAGTCATCAGGTCGCCGAGTCCTCGACCCATCGTTTCCTACGCCTGGAAACTCTTGATAGCCCGGGCGGCCTGCTTCGCTCCGGCAGAACCCTCCGTGTCGAGGACGGCAACGCTGAGCTCGGGCAGGCTGAAGGCGAAGACGCCGTCCTCGTTGGCCGTGACGGTGGTGGTGTTGCTGGCGACGACGTTGACGCCGGTGAGGGGGTCGTTGTACGCGAACGGGTCGCCGCCGGGGTTGGTCAGGACGGTCAGCGAGGCCGTCGTGCCGGCGGCGACGCCCTCGAAATGGACGTTGACGGGCACGTCGGCGCCGTCGGTGGTGTTGTAGACGGCGCCCTTCCAGATCAGGCTGCCCTTGGCCTCGTTCTTGCCGGCGACCCAGTAGGCGGGGCCGAACTCGCCGACGGTGGGCAGGGTCTCGGACAGGGGGTGGGCGGCGAAGAGCTCCCAGACGAACCAGCTGGTGGAGCGGGTGGTGATGGCCGGGTCGGCGGCGAACTGGACGATGGTGACGGCCCACTGCCAGCGGTTCATGTTGCGGAGGACGGGGGCGTAGAAGGTGCCGGGGATGCGGTCGGCGTTGCGCTCGTAGCCGATGAGGGAGACGGCCTCGCCGACGGTGCCGATCCACCAGGGGAAGGGCATCAGGTTGCCGTCCCAGCCGATGCCGCCGTTGGGGTGGGTGGCGGCGACCTCGCCGACGATGTGGCCGATGTCGTTGTCGAAGCGGTCGAACTCGTCGACGAGGGCGTCGGGGGTGCGGTACGGGTGGTAGTCGCCGATGGCCGGGGCGGGGATGTCGTAGCCGTCGGCGTCCGAGGTGGCGCCCGAGGAGATGACGGTGATGTCCGGGTACTTGGCCAGGATGGCCTCCATGAACATGGGGAAGCGGTACTCCTTGTACGACTCCCAACCGCCGGGGTAGCCGGCGAGCCAGTCCTCGTTGCCGACCTCGACGTACTCGAGCGTGAAGGGCTCCGGGTGGCCCAGCTCGGCGCGGCGGGCGCCCCACTTGGAGTCGGCGGGGCCGCGGATGAACTCGATCTGGTCGAGGGCGTCGTCGATGAAGGGCTGGAGGTCCTCCTTGGCGGTGACGTCGCCGTTGAGGGCGAGGCCGGCCCAGACGCCGATGACGACGTCCAGGTCCATGTCCTTGGCCCACTCGAGGTACTCGACGAGACCCAGGCCGTGCGTCTGCTGGTAACCCCAGACGCCCTGGAAACCGGGGCGGTCCTTCAGGGGCCCGAGGGTGTCCTTCCAGTCCCAATGGGTCTTGTTGTTCAGCCCCTCCAGCATGTTGCCGCCGGGGAAACGAAGCAAGCTCTGTTCTGGTGTTAGAAACAAGTCGTCCATCTACGTGACCCAGGGGGGAAGGGGGACTCTTACCGGATGTAGACCGGCCAAAGCCTCGGCAATGTCGATACGCAGACCGTTCTTCCGACCCTTGTAGGTGGGAGGGAACAGACTGATCAGGTTGAAATTCAACGAGCCGTTGGCAGTTCCCTGAGAGTGAGGGGTCAGTACATGCGGCATGACAAGGGGGGGGCATCCATACCGCAGGATCAAAGGTGATAGCAAAGGTGTTGTTGCTGTTAGGAGCATTCTTCTCCGGGACGAGCTCGACCTCGTGCTCAACCCACTCGTCGGCCTTGGCCTTGGACTGGATCTCGACGGAGCCGAAGACGTCGTCGGTCAGGGCGGACTGCAGGGAGGCGGTGAAGACACCGTCGTAGGCGCCCTTGACCCAGAAGGAACCGGTGTACTTCTGCACCTTGACGTCCATGCCCCAGTAGCCGTCGTTCTTGAGCCCGATGGCGCCGGAGCTGTTGCCGCCGGAGACCTGGACGGATACGGGAAGGGCGCTGGAGAGGGGCTGGGCGAGGTTCTTGAGGGCCAGCTTCGCGCCATTGACCGGGTGCCAGGCGGCAAGGGACACGGGGAACTCGTCGCTGTATTGGAAAGCTCTGTTACGGATCAGCTCGGCGTAGATGCCGCCGTCGCCGGAGTTGTTGATGTCCTGAACAAAAAAGAGGTATTAGATGAGAGCGAGCGGGCCACTCATGTGAGCAGACACGAGCTCAGCGAAGATGACGAACCTCGTGGAGAAATCCGTATTGGTGGCCACTGGTGGCATTGCCGCCGGAGGACTTGACGGCGATGTCGACGGCAGCAGCCGAAACCGCGTAGGTGGCGGCCAGGAGGGCCGACTTGAGTGACACCATGTTGCTTCCCGGTTGCCTGAGGGATCTGGGGTGGAGGGTTTGCAATGACGCGAGAGGTGTCGAGAGAGGGAGAGAGGAAACCAACAAATGCGCTGCGGAGGGGTGAAGGACTTTATAATCGTCTGAAGTTCAGCAGCTGCATGGCAAGACGATCCCAGTCAGACAGACTCAATGGGTTGGGGGAAGAGGTGCCATCATCGAGTAACGCCAATTGGACAATGCGACAGAGATCTAGGTCATCTGAAGGGGAGGGGGGGAGGGGTGAGAGGGAGAAACGCGGTCTCGTCCTTTTTTTTCGTGCGGGTAACTAGTCAATGGCACGCCATCCATTCATCTAGTTGAGGATGTTCATCTTCTTCCTATACCCGGTGACAGCCCCCCTCGGCAATCCCAAGCATGCTACTTCGCGCGAGTATCTTTGCCCAGACGGCGGAACACAAAACCTTTGTGGGCGTTTGTATGTCGGTGGCTTCAGGACCGAAGCCAAGGCTCCTCCAGGCGCGACTTCACACCCCTTCCACCCCCCCGCAAGACTCTGCAACTTTTTCTTCTACCACAGCTCTCGGCCTCGGTTGAAGTCCCGCGTTCTGCGTGTTCATGTATCCGTACGAGGTGGGAGACAAGGATCCTATCCCGGACGGGGGTCGGGATTGGACGGTTGAAATAAAGGGGCAGCGTTACATCGGCCGCCGGTTGATATCGAATAGCGTCTGTCGTCTGCGCGGGAACCATGAGTGGTTCGACTTGGGTTCTTCTGGAGATGTGGGGGAAACAGAGGTTGGGGAGGGGGGAGACAGGCCGGCAAGGGTTCAGGATGATGGGTGATGTGCTTCCGTGAGGGGGCGGGCCGGGGAGGAGAAGTTGAGAATGAGGGGAACTTGGAGAATGTCCCCGGGCTTGGTCTAGGATAATATCGTCCCGGGGGGTGTCCACCGACATCATCGTTTCCAACTCCGAATAGCCTGATGACGCCCTCCCATTCGAGCGCATCGAGAAGAGTGTCAAGGGCACACTTTACCGCCCACCCTTATGCTTACACACGTTGTCTCTGTCTCTCTTCTCTCTCTGTGTGTGTGTCTCTCTCTCTGTATGTGTGTCTCTCTCTCTGTGCGTATCTCTCTCTCTTTCTTCCTCGCCCATCTCCCTTGCGCTATAAGGGAAATGCGTCATGCATCATGGCTCAGCCAAAGCACACACACTCCTTGGGTTTGCTTGCTTACCTTCTCTTGGCCCTGAGTCGGTATGATACGATGGTTTCTTCCAAGACTTGGCTTGTTTTGTTTCCCATGACTCAACCCCCCGCAGCATCAGCAGCAAACAAGACTTGAGTTCTTCGGGGCCGGGCTGTGCCGCCTTTTCGATACGATGCGCTTGCGTCTCCATCGGTTGCGCCACCGTATCTGGGGCTCTGGTTCGGCTATCCGTATTTCGTACGACGCTGGTTCTTTTGTTCGCGCGCTGCTGCAAGGGCAAAGCGTAATCTCTCCTCTCGCACAGCCATTCTCTTTGTAACCGCGATTTGTGACCTTTTGACGTCATTTAGGCATAACTTACATGCTCTCTCTCTCTGTCTCTCTCTCTCTCGCTATCTTTCCAATTGCAATATAGATGCCACTTGACGGCATGATCTGATTTATCAGCAAGTCCGGATGGATTGCCGTGCTATGGGCCGTGCTATCACCAAGAGAACCCCACGCCTGCGCGCGAACATTCGATCAATGCATTCATACATTCTTGCTGCTTTTCTCGTTGTTATGGTATGATCACGGTAGGCGCTGTGAGCGGGAAGAATTTGGCCCGCTTAATATCAAGGCCCTGCCCTCTTGGTGGCGAGGAATTCACATGGGAATACTTACTTTGGTGATGTTCATTGGGTGACATTGAATCTAACTCTGAAGTGATAATTACCCACTATCCACCTCAAGGTCAAGCCTATAATTAGCTACGATTGCAATTTTCTGGGAACCGCTCCAATGTCTTACATCGAAATAAAACAGAAGGTGAATTTAGAGCCGAAAGGTCATTTCGCATGAGGAAACTGGAAGGCGATGTGAGTTCAGGTCACATACTTGAGAGGTAGCTCATTATGCGCCTCAGCCTCGTAAGATGATATTTGGTCTTCGTATTCCCTTAGACTACTACCCACTATATCAAATTTTGTTCCTATCGTATGCAATTCGACAAGTCTCTTCTCTGTTTGCTGAGACATTTACCGTGGATTTGACAACTCAATTTATTAATGAAATAACCAGACTTGACAGTCATCTTCGCTTCTCAACCTGCTGAAATGCCGAATCGACTTATTTTCAGGCGACAGTATGCGCGCTAATGGGGGAGAACAGAGCCTCGGCTACACTTACAGGACTCGACTATTCCATGTCGATGACCGGTCATCGTGAACACTATAAACGACTCACCCAAGTTAGGAGATGTATTCAACAGTAGGACACCCTTCTTGCAATATCATCAAAGGGACATACGACACTGCCAAGAGAGTGGTTGACCCCAAGTTTCGGGCTGGAGATGAGCTGTCAAGTTTTTTCTTGATGTCTGGAATATAAATCGAGCTACCGTTATTCCAGGATGGCCACTCATTCCTGCATTACACATAGTGAGATAGCATTGTAAGCTGTTGTTGCTGGCGAATTGTGTTACTGAAAACCCATGCCCAAGCTAAGAAGCTAAGCCAACGAGGCGCATGGAGTAAGCCACAGATAGTTAGCCCGGAGTCTGATCCGCCCAGGTGACCGGCCTCTGCTTTTGTGTTGAGGAGCTGAGACGCACGGCCAGCCTCCATCCCTCGTCCGGACAAGCGTGATTTACTCCCCAAGGGGGGCTGCTTACCGCATCTCCGGGCGAACCCAACAACAATCACAGAGCCTCCCTTCATCACATCATCACCGTCTGTGCACTGACCAGCAACCACGCACCCATTCCAAGTCGCCGCACGACTGCGAGCAGCGCGCGTCTGATATCGCAAACTCGAACAAGGCCACCGCGCGGTCGAGAGAGAGAGAGACAGAGTGTGTGTGTGAGAGAGAGAGTGAGAGAGATCGACACAATGTCCGTATCAGCCTACATCGCCTCTTTCGGCAGGGCACCGCCGGCCACATATGCGCTCGGCGCCGGCCTCGTCGTTACGTCATCCCTGCTCTTCGGCAACGTCGGGCTCAGCCTCGCCGGGCCTCTGCCCATCGTTAGGGACCAGCTGGGCACGAGCTCACTGAGCGCGAAGCAGAAAGTGAGAGTGTGGAGGCTCTTCTTTGACGGGGCTACGGTGAGTCTCACACGCCCGCCGGACTCGGGCGCTCGTCGCAGAGCGCTCTCATACCCTACTCAACCCCGAGAAGAAGAAAAGAAAAGAAAAAACATCGACTGACTTTAGGCGATCTCGGCGGTGGGGGGATCAGACATACGTGATCGTCGGTACCGGATTGACGGCGGCGTTGCACCTCGGGGCCTTCGCCTGGGGAGATTCGCCCGTTTCCCGGAGGCTCGCCATCATGTCCGCGCTCTGCAGTGTCGCCAGCCTGCCTTACACCGCCATGGTCATCATGCCGACCAACAAGGCTCTGATCACGCTGGACGACAAGGTCGCCCTCTCCGAGCTGGACAGGAGAAAGTCCGGGAAGTTGATTGAGAAATGGGGCCGCCTGCACAGGGTTCGGTATCTGATGTTTGGCGGCGCGTGGCTCTGCGGCCTTGCCGCTTTCACGGCTGCCTTCTCGGTGGAGGCGTAGGCTTTTACGGTCTGGGCTGTCTGGGCTGTATGTTGGGACTCGGCACGTTCCCGGCTTATGTTTGTATTGACTAGGTTGTGCTCGGTGTACTTTTATTCCGTAACGATATCTTACTCGACCGTTGACATAAACTTGGATTCACATGCTTGCCCGATTCGCTCGCAGAGCGAGACACGATCCCGGAATATCGCCTTGAAGATCAAGTCAGCTGACAGCGTTTATCCTTCGGGGTTTCCCAGACCGGCTGGAAAGATAGACAAGGGCGGCGCAACCTTGCCGAGAGTTCCGTGAGTTGCGGCTCGTCGGCAGATGCCGATAGACTCTCGAAAGCACGGCTCCTGGCGTTGGTTCTGACACCAAAACCGACACATCGTTGCGAAGAACGAATGGTGATATCATGAAACCTTGCGTCTCAACTTTAAAAAAGAAGCTTTTGGTACCTACCTTGGACTACAATGAAACGCAATTAGCATTCCGGACACGTGGGTTTGGAGTGCGGAAGCTGGGAAGGTTCCGGCGAGCTGGCACCTAGTTTCTCGGCACGCTCCGATCAGGGCCCCCCAAATAGCGAGAAAGGTTTGACGGGATCGGCAGGTAGAAAAAGAAAAATGACCGCTTGGCTTGGCGACAGTCTTATCAGATGAAATGGTTTGGCCAGTCCCAACCAAGCCTGCGTTTTCCTCGACGGCATAACGATAAATCTCGAGGTAAAGTTGTTTGTGGTTTTACGTATTTACGTTCGAATACGGTCTGGGGGCTTCCTGGTGACCATGTCCAGTTGAATACGACTTACTCGTGCTTGAATCATGGCTTTGGCCTAGAAGCTACCGTAGTAGAAGAGACAAGGCCCTTTCTGATTATCATGGCCCAAAGCACACATCATCGGTCAGCACTGCCATGGGAACCATACGGATAGCTCACGTGAGAGAGACTGCATTGACATTCAACTAAATGCAAGAATAATAATATTCATATTGGAGTAAGCCTGACATACCTTCCTAAGCTGAAGGCTGTTATCTGTGGCAATCCAGTGCGCCGCCACCCAGATCAACTCCAAATGAATTTAAACCTTGACCAGGATGTCGAGAAAGCTGGGCGCTTTATACAGACGTCCACCTAATCGACCACCTCATCCAATACTACTTGAATCCAGTGATACTGTTCCTAACCGCGGTAATAGGTCTGCCGTTTGCTCACTGCTTATTACATGTCATGAGCAGCAAGTGCCCCGGAGTCGTGGTATAAGACCCTATCCCGTCCGCCATCGAAGCTGTGTCGTGTATCCTCGTCGTGGAATCAGCTTCCCTCCTCTCGCCTCTTGTCACTCGAACCCTCATTGTTTTAAACCAGCAGAGGCACACCCTTAAAGGCTCTATAGACTCAGCACCGCAGCCGCAAGCACGGTCAGGAGGACGGCAAGTCTCAGGCTAGCGGCGGACACGCTCTCGGGGGCGGCGCTGGGCAAGCCGGTGTTGTTCTGGCTCTTCCTGAACAGCGGGTCCGTCGTGGCGTCCTTCTTCACCGGGGTCTGGCTGCCGGCGACGCAGAACTGCATGGGGTTGTTCCAGGTGGCGTCGACGACGCGCTTCCACGCGACCTCGGGCTGGAAGAGCGACTCGCGGGTGTGGAAGATGCGGCAGTTGGCCGGCTCCCAGAGGAACTGGAGCGGCGTACTGGCGTCGGACATGGAGAAGGCGTTCTTGGCGTTGATGGCGCCGGCGCTCTTGGGGGTCGTGGAGCGCTTGATGGCGTAGCCCTTGGCCAGCTCGCCGAGCTCGCCGCTCATGATCTCCTCCCGCTTTTCCTTAGGGGTGAGGGTGAGGATGGCCTTGGCGTCGGCCGTCATGTCGTTGAAGGAGAAGACCTGGGCGCCCTCGACGCCGGCGACGGACTGCATGATGCCGGTGGTGGGGCGGCCGCCGATGACGGTGGTCTTGACGCCCATCTGCAGGATCATGAGGTAGGAGAAGATGGTGCAGGTGGAGCCGCAGGTGCCGTCCGTGAAGATGACGACGTTCTCGGGGTCGAAGACGCGGCCGGGCGGGTTGGACCGGCTGCCGACGCCGGTGAGATTGAAGGACGGGTCCGTGTCATTGAGGGGCGCCTGCTGGTAGGCGGTAAAGCTGTCGCCGTTGAGGGTGACGGGCGCCAGGATCTGGTCAACCGTCGTGAAGGCCCTCTGGTCCGGGGTGAAGACGCCGCCGGGGATGAGGTTGCTGACGATGGAGCTGCCGCTCAGGTCGTCAATAGCATCCCGCTCCTCGGGCGACGTCGGGGTGAAGTTGGATGGAAGCCCGGCCGAGAGGCGGGCCAAGCTGACAAGGCCCTCCGCCAAGCGCATGTTGTTCGCCTGGAAACGGTTCACTTCGGGGAAAAGCTGGAACAAAGGGTGAGTCTGGGTCGCCAGAAAGAGGCAAGGATATCTTCCTTCCTTCTGGAACGTTTACATACCTGGGCGAACAGCTCGTAGCCGGCGATGACGAAGCCACCGCCGTTGGCCGCGACGTCAATCACGAGACGCTTCTTCCCCGCCTCCTTGCTCTTGGCCAGGAACTCAGCCACGGTGCTCTGGAAGTTGGTCAAGTACTCGACGGCGTCGATCGTCTCGGGGTCCGGAGACGCAAAGGATAGGACCGAGAGCACGGCGACGTCGTCGTAGCCGGTGCCGTTCAGGAAGTAGCCGGACGTGGTGTTGGCGCCGCTGTCGCGCACGATGGGGAAGGGGTAGCCCTCGATGGTCGGCGGGGGAGGCGGCAGATCGGGCTTAGTCGGCTTGGGATTCGTCTGGTTCGGCATGATGCCGGGCGGCGGCGCCGCCGGGGCCTTGGGCGCGTTGTCGGGGTCGCAGAAACGGCTGTAGTAGTCCTCGCCGCTGTTGATGCCGGTAAAGTTGGCCCCCGTCCGGATCAGCGCGAAGCTGTCCTCGGACCGCTCCTCGCCGTTGTCGTAGGTGAGGGTGACCTTGCTGCCCTGGAAGGCGAGGGAGGCGGCGACGACGAGGAAGCTCTGGTTGGACGCGTAGGACTTGAAGTTGGAGTTCCACTGCGAGTCGGGGTCCTGAAAGCCGCTGAACATCAGGTTGAGTTCGCCGATGGACGTGACGGCATCTTTGCCGTTGATCTTGACGATGGCCGGGGCGGAGGTGTCGTTGTTTATTTGCGCTGCGTCCAGAGGGATTAGCACATTGGCCGGAGGAGGGGGGCCGGGTACCACACTAGGGGAATTTGTTTCCCGTCAGGACTCACAGAGATGATACAGCTTGGGAACCTCGACACCGTCGCGGGAGACGGAGACGATGTCGCTGGCGAGGTTGTTGCGGAAGCTGAACCCCTTGAACACGTCGCCGCGGAAGGCAAAGTGGCCATCGTGGGCCGAGGCGATCAACTTGAAGATGGCAAGTTGGAAATCGTACTCGCTCTTGTATTGGCCGGCCTCGGCCTTGCGTCCGATGTCATCCAGGCCGCCCTCGATGTCGGTGGGCGGCAGCATGTATGACGCCGGCGGCGATTTGAGCCACGCCAGGGTCGACTGCCATTGAATGTAGGCCTTCAGACTCGTGATCAAATCCTTGGCCGGGCCGGGCTTATTCGGCACCGTCTGGAGGCAGTCGAACGCCAGCTGCGCCGGGACTTGGGGAGGTCCTGTTTGGACGAGTTAGCGAGCCAATCGATACACGTTCATGACGTTGAACGTTCTCGAGTGGGAGTGTGAATTAGTTCCACTAGTATCCCCCCTCTTCCCTTCTTGTCCTGTCCGAGACACACTTGTTCAACACGGCTTCTCCTAATCACATACCTTTCGGGTTAGCCTGAAGGAACTGTTGCACCTTGGGCTGGATCTGGGCGCAGGCATTGTTGGAGCCGCCAGGGGCCGTTGCGTTGGGTGATGTCGACGCCGTCGGTGTACCGGAAGCTGATGAGGTCCTTATCGGCGGGAATTGTTGAGGAGCCGGCACGGCTAACACGGCAGCGGCCGCGGCCAAGGGCCACAATGTGAGCCTCATCCTGTCCTTGCTGGCTTTCCTCTCACGATTTCTTTCCACAGGCTCTCTGCTCTTATATGCGGCCTCTTCCTCGCCTACGTTGGTTCTATTCCGAGAAGAGAAAAAAGAAAAAGAAAAAGAAAAAGAAGGAAAGGATCGGAATGAATCGGAATGAATAGATGGCGCAGCTATCTACGAGGCCAGCTCAGGCTCCCAAGAAAGAGAGAGAAACAAGGGAAAGGAAAGATGACGGGGCTTGTACGAAGATACATACGTCAAAGCCTGGGGGGAACACTCGAAAGCTCCCACAATGCGAGTGCGGGAGGGATCGACGAGCACATGGGGGTTTAAGAGCTGCATTGCCCTCGCCGGGTTGTCCTCTTGCTTCGTCGAGACCGAACGGTCCAAAGTTGGGTATTGCAAAACATGCTCGACTCTCGCATCGCCCTCGAGTTTCTTCCCCGTTCTTGGCGGTCGGCATCTCCTATGCTGGTCTGATGCTCCAACACACGCCCCCGGGGGGGGACGGGGGTGCGCTCACAAATCATGAAGCCATCTTGAAACACGACAACCTTCACAAGTACTCAGATAAGCACCCGCCTCCTGGACCCGCCGCTACTACATTTAAACTTTGTCTCCGTGCAAGGGGAACCCCCTTGACAGACGCCAAATCTGTGCCCGTCACACTCTCCGAACGGGCCTGGCACGTCTTGAACGGGCCTAGCACGTCTTGAATAGGCCTAGCGGGAGCCATCGAGGAGCATATCAAGAGCTTACAGAACCCGGTACGAGGTACGGATATATCCGTACTACTACACTACTCAGTACGTAGTAACAGCGGTCTTGGCGGTTGATTGGGATCCTGTTTCGGCGCATTCAGAAGGACTTCTTTGTCTGAAGATCTGAACAGGTCATCCTCAATAGCCAAGCCAACACACTCACACACACACACGCACATACTCTCTCTCTCTCGCGCACACACACACACACACACACACACACACACACACACACACACACATCTTCCGTCAGCGTGGTGCTCTAACCAACCATCTCCCGGTCTTGGGTTCGAAGATCTCGGCTAAGAAGCCGGCGACAGTCATTGCTTCTTGTGTTGTGGCCTCTCTCATCGCGCGGCTTTCCCCTCCCCTCCCCACCATCTTTCATCCCGCCAGAGCTTGGCCTCTGGCTAAATGTAGGAATTAGTCGTCCTTCCCCGCCGTAATGAAAGCTTCTTGCCGCCTCGCAGGCCCGGAGCCGAACCTTGGCTTGGCAGCCCTACGATGAGATGACAAACCAGCTGAGGAGCAGGGGAAATACCCGACCTCGCAACCATGGCTCGGTTCCCCACCTTTCGCTTTAACAGCCGTTATTGCCGACTATGGATGTAGAGAGTCCCCATTGCACCGCCAAACCTCGAGTATAAGTCAATAAGCGGAGTGGGGGCGTTTACTGCCCGCCATCCAGCCAGAGAGGGCTCTGCGAGGAAGCATGCTCGGAAGAGCGCACAGATGAGGGTCCCAATCAAAGCGGCCGCGAGAAATACCCCTTGTTGAAGCGTCGTGCCATTCTCGGCCAACAATTCTGGGTACTCTGGGCGTCTCTACCCAGCTGCCGCGGAAGTGACCTTGTCGCCCCCCCTGACTTCCCTCCCTGCTTGTGGTGTATGCTCAAGAGAAGCTTTCGAGAAAGAGTAAAAACAGCAAAAACTCTCGGCCTATAGTGCGTGTGCAAGGACAGGCTTGGTTGGGAGGCGCGAGGCGGCACGCGTGCCGGTCAGTGAGTGACCGCTCACTCAGCCAGCCCTCTTGGCTCATGAAGGGGAGCACTCGAGGCCTGTCTTTTTTTGTCTTCTAAACACGAAAGCGAGTCATTATACACAAGAGGTACTTCTGGAAGAGAAGAGAAGCGAGGGGGGGGAATAGCATCACACAGACGAGGGCTCCTCAATAGAGTAGCCGCTAAGCTGTCCGCTCACTCGATCTCGTGTCCGGGTATTTCAACATCCGCTCTTCTTCGTCCACATGCTGGCACAGGAGAAAGGGGGGGCAGTACAATGCGCCGTCGCTCCCGCGTCCGCAGACGGCAAAGAGCCAGCCCGCTCTTCAGCCGAACTCTCCTGCTGTGTCTTTGACATGGCCGCAGCGCGCCTTTCCCTGTCCATCATGCGCTCGCTCTTTCTCTCTTGCGCGTGCGCGCCTCCCGCATCCTCTCAGACGATGACCCCCAAGACGTCCATTCCCGCCACCCCCATGGCCAAACTCAATCCCACTCCCGCTGCGGCTCCTACCGGCCCGCCGGTACACCGGGCTGCGGCGGCGCCCGCTGTGCTAGAACTCTGAGCGACCCCACCAGTTGCCGTCTTGCCGGCCCCACCGCCTCTGCCGCCGCTCCCTAGACAGTCTGTCGTACACGGCAGCGCGGAGACGAACGGCGTCGGGGCTGCGGTCCCCGTCTGCGGCGTGCCCGTGATCGTGAAGACGGGGTCCTGCGAGACGGCCGTCACGTCGGGCACGACGTTTCGGGCGTCGACGTTGAGCACGGCGTCGATCATCTGGATCACGCCGTTCGCGACGAGGATGTTGGTCTGGATGACGCGCGCAGAGTCGACAAAGATTTCGTTGTTGGAGGGCGTCAGCGCGACGCTCTTCCCGGCGACCGCCGTGTCGAGCTCGGTCGCGTTGGCCAGCGACGAGGCCTGCGCGACGACCGAGGGCACCAGGTGGTACCGCAGCACGCGACGGAGCGCGTCCTTGCCCATGCCGGACAGCGCGCCGGCGACCTGCTGGAAGGCGGCGTTCCGCGGGGCGAAGATGGTGACGTCCTTCGTCTCGGCGAACTCGGCGACGAGGTCGGCCGTGTAGAGGGCGCCGAGGAAGGACGTGAACTCCCGGTAGGCGTCGCGGGCGGTCGTCTCGAGGCGCGCGGGCGTGACCATCAGGCTGTCGACCACCTGGATGAGCCCGCCGTCAAAGGGGATGTCGGCGGCGAGCGCAGTGGTGCGCGACGCCACGCCCGACGTCACGACGACGTCGCCGTTGGGCTGCTTGGTGACCAGGACCTGCTGGCCGTCCGTGACGTTGGAGAAGCGCGCGTCCGTGAGGAGGGTCGACTCGACGGACGAGTCGCCCGGCACCAGAGCATTAAAGGAGAGCCTGCCTTTGAGGACGCCGTATTGCAGCGCGAAGGGGATAGCGTCCTTGTCGGCGTCCCAGCCCTGCCACTTCAGGTATGCTGAGTCGCTCGGGGCGAGGATCTGGCGCTCGTGTCAGTGAAACCGCGGCGGTTTCCGGCATCGCCACTCGTCCCGTCCAGCTGGCGCCAAAGGTACGAACCGTGGAATGGAAAGGAGGGGGATGCGAACGGGATCAACGTACCGTGACACCCGATTTGGGCAGCCTCGAGAAGATATCTGTATGATCCTGTAGTCTCACTTGTCAGCTGCACCGAACGTGGATGAGATGTGTTAGTCTCGAGACCACAGGACGACGGGGGCCGAGACCCGATGGCTGCCGTGCGCATGCGATGCATACTTCTCAAACATATAGCCCACACCCCTCCCGTGCTCGGACGTGCGTACCTTGACTAGACCGCGGAACGTCGTTAGATTCGCCTGCTTGCCGAGGACCTCCTCGAGTCCGTGTGCCGCGGCGATAGACGCGCCCAACACCGCCGATGCCGCGGCGGCCAGGAATGTGCGCGTAGATGGCCTCATCTTGTTCACCTGTCGTGACGTTGCGCCCACCGCCAGCGAGAAGCTTGGAGAAGAAGATCTGAGGGCAAAATAGAAACCAGGCTGCTACGATGGAGTTTAGAGAGTGGCTCTTGCGATCAAAGCGACCCGCGGTACAATGGGCATCAACAGCAAATAAAAAGCAGACAAAGAACGCACCCCGCAAACAGCTGGCTTCAAGCAGTCGAGGGAGAGCACTCGGCGATGGACAAAAGAGGGAAGCAAAGCCGGTCCAGGCCAAGTCCTCGCGCGCGGCACAGGCGCCAGGGCGAGGGCGAGGGCGACTTCCTGAGAAGGCCACGCGATCCTACCCTTCACCCTTCCGTTCCATGCATGTCGGCATCATGGCGATTCGGGCCTGGAATTCGGGCCCCTAAACGAGCAGTAGAAACCCCCGGCGACTCTGGGGGGGGGGGGGGGGGGGGGTCGCGCCCAGCTTTATCCGGAAAGCATGCACACCCGCCGATACCCTCCCCCCTCCCTGGACAGGCAGCACGGCGTGGCAATGGTGGCCTGCATACGAAGGGTCCAATTTCGCAACGTTGGCCTGAAAGTTCGCAGTGCCCTCGGTCGACGAGATTGGGACATTCAGCACGGTGGCCGATCTGGGGTTACGTCCTTCTGCCTCTCATTTTCTTGCAAGGTCGCGAAGGACGGTGTTAAAGAGCAAGCCCCGGGGGGGGGGGGGCGCGGTGAGGGGTGAGGTGAAAGGAAACGGCCGAAAGAAGATGGAAACGGGTATCGGTGGCGCCATTCCCAGCGCTCGTCAGCTTTTAGCGGTGTGTGCCAGTGCCAGGGTAGACGGGCAGGGGCAGATAAGCCTATATACATACCTGCATGATCTGGCCAAGGCCAAGATGGTCTCTCTTTTTATATTACATTAAAGGGTAAAGACAGACTTAGACAGTCTATTGTAACAGTTATATAAGGAAATAGTGTATGATTATATACCTAAGTAAACTAAAAGGTACTAGAGCAGCAATTAATAGGCTTCTTAAAGTAAGTAATATACAATAAGAATAAATAAAGAAAGTAGCTAGATATCAAATTATTAAGTACAGCTATCAACAAAGTAATATGCAAGCTGCTAGATAGGATTCAGCAGAGTCGCGTAGTTAGACACCCCACAGATTTTGTCTCATACCTAGATAGTCACCTGCGACAAGATTTTCGTCCTAAATCCGTATTAAGTGTAGGGACTAATCTGTAGTCGCTTTAACCTGAGCCGAAGCTGAGCACAGGTGAGCAGATGGCGGGCTGGTTACCCTGAGCCTAGCCCTCGGCACTGTTTCGGTTTGTGGGTAAATTCGCCGTCCGCTCATATCTGCGATAGATTGATTGATTGATCTTAAACATATTAGGTAGATTCTTATATGGCCGCAGCATGTCAAACAGAACTTGTCATCGCCCCGCATTCCTCACGTGTCGCAGTTTGGCGATAGAATTCCTTTTCGGGCAAATCCGAAAATCATCACTATGTAAATTACTAATATAACCCCGGAAATCGCCGTTAAAGGAAGTATTGCAACTTCACACCCCCGCCCGAACTACCTAAGCAATCTGACTACACAACACGGATAAATTGCAATATAAACATGTTAAAGCAAAGGATTATGTTGATTTCATAGAAAACCCACAGTTTCACAACCTTAAACCTTATTCACACTAACTTAACTTTCAAACAATGAATATAAGAACTAGATCACAATCCATCACAGCTTCAATTCGTAGAAACATACTACATCGTGTCACTCTCCAAGTTAACATTGTTTAAAACCGGAATAATGTACTTGAGTCAGGTTTTTCTCTTTCTAGCTCTGGGCTTCCTGTCTATCACTGCTCAAGCTGAGAAGATAACTATTGGCTATCGCACAGCCTCCGAGGAAGAAGCCCTAGAAATCAACAAACGAAACAGGCCTTTTAGAGACCCAGGGTTTGATTGGGATTGGCTACCCTCCCAGATTGGCCGTGGCGTTTACTTGGGTGAGACCCTACCTATCACTACCCTCCTTGGACGTAACTAAACGGACCAAACTAATATAGGGCAAAAACCTGCTGGGTGGCTTGGCGATCCAACAAAGGTGAACTGGTTTTGCGTAATTAAAGCAGACGAGCACCGGTTGAAAGCAGCCCCTAAAATATGGATTCCACAATTTTATCAACGTAACGACCATTCTAAAAACTCAAAACCTAAAATGCTATGGGGTAAAAGAGAGGATAAAATTGCTCAGTATGTTAGGGCATCTAATCTAATACCCGAAGAGACACTGCGCTTCTCATATATTGCAGCCAGGGGGGAAGATTTGCAAATGCTTATCCCAACTAAGCTAGCGAATGCAGACTCGTTAGGCCTTTTTGGTAGGTGTTTTAAGAAGAGGGAAGAGTTGCTTGCCTATGAAAAAGACATTATCAACTGGCGTGCTTGGAACATTAAGGGTAACCCTGGAGAACCTGATAAAGCGTTTTGGAACCCAGGCACCAGTTATCCCTTTCATCAGTCAAGGAGCCAACAAGATGAAAAGGCAACATAGACTAGTAGCCAACTACCTTAGACAATATAAAGATCTTTAAGGCCTTGAATAATAAAGTTTCTCTAGTCAACAATTACGTAGATATTAATAGGTAAGGTTCTAGTAAGCAAGCCTTTTGTTCTTATATATAAAGTTGATGGTTTTGTTGCTCGTTAAAATGATGCAGTTATAATGGTGGTGGTGGCTGGGAAATTAGTGGGTGTGCCGAGACTTTTGGCACCTCACTGTACAACCCCTTCTGGATCCCGTGCTGGATCCTGTTCTGTAATGGGATTTCTGTTGTACAATGTTTGGCATTAGGACTTCCTCAGGAAATGACCCTGTCAACGCAGTGCCGCGTCCAAGCCCCAACGACGACCAACGGAAGGCATATGCTTATGTCGTTCTCGAGGTTTTTGCATTGCGGTGCAGTTGATCGTCGCTATGCAGCGTGCAACTATAAATCCTGGTGTTCCCACTTCCTGTTTCCTATGGGGCCAGCATCCCACACAGAAATATCCTCGTCTGCTCAACAAGCTATTTCTGTCTAAACTGCCTCCCTCCCGCTTGGCTGTGGTCATTCCTTTCTAAGGAAGCTACCCATTGACTGATCCTCTGACTAACTCGGCGATATTGGAGGTTGTGAATCTGTCGTTCTCGGGAGACATTGTCATATGCTCCTGACACGTCGAGCCGTAGGAGCGAGGCTACCTTGCCCTCGGACCATGCCTGGTCTAGCGAATGATTGGCGGCCCTTCTGATATGGACTAAGTCTGTTTCCAAGGGGTCCAAGGGGAGGGTTTTGCTCTTTTTGGCCACGTATAAACGTCCGCTGCAAAAGCGGCAAAATTCTGTGCATTTTTTATCTTGAGATTGTCGGAGATCGATTGACAGCTATTGATAAGCTTTAGTGCCTTTATACTTGACAAATCGTAGTAATTTGATATGGAGTTTATAGATTACTTACCAGTCAACAGAATAGCATGATGCAGACTCAATAGTTGGATGTTGGACGTCTATACAGTGACGGCCAAGCCCAGTAACTCTTGACATGTGCTGAAACTCGTGAATTAATGTCAAGCTCCTTATATATGCAACTTCGTTGTCAAGCTTGTTTTGGAGCCTCCATTGTTTGGATGCTTCTTCTATTCTTAGGCCGGTCGTTTGAGTAAAGAACTCAGGGTAAAAGGATACATAAGTCGGGCCAAAGTCGGGAACTCCAGAATTTGCCGTACGAGTTATAGCAAACATACGTTGTCCGTTGATTAAAACATCTTCAGGCTCACAAGCGTAAACCAGAGACTTCTTAGTAGCTGGAAATGGGACATCCCAGCCAACTTCCTCAAGCCTTAATGGTAGTGTGGGAGGGACTAAGTTTGTAGCGACTGATTGATAGTTGTGTTGAAAAATTGACAATCTTGTTTGCGGTGAGGCATTCCCTAATTACGTAAGTTAAAGACTTATTATTATGAGATTTATTCAAAAGGGAAGTTACCTTTTCCAAACCAAGTGACGTATGCTTTAGACTTCTCAGAACGTGAGAGTGACAATGCGGTTACTGCTTTCTTAACTATAACTTGAGCCTCGTTAATAGCTGCGAGTATGTCTGCTTTCTGGCCGCTTGTGCACTGATAACGACCTCTGTTTACCCAGAACACTTTATCAAACGTGTTCAGGTCGCGTGTCTCTATGTCAGCGTCACTTAGCGGTGTAGCTGAAATCAATAGGGGAAGAAAGAAAAGTAGAATAGCAAACATGTTGACGTATTGTTAAATTAATTGTAAAGACAAAGGTAACTAAAAAAAGCACATGATCTAGACTGGCTTTTCAAACTAAACCTAAGGGAATAGATACAGTGATCCGTATTCCTACCCATTTATAGCATAAGTATTATCTATAAGGTATATCCGGAATTATTTGAGATTTACTAGCCAGAAGGAAGAGGCTTTCCGTGAGGAGGGGGTGTTTAGCTTTGGCGAAGGCTGACTAACACCCCCGGGTAATTATATAGTAGGGCAGGCTTTTAGCAAGTCGATAGAGGGTCGCTAGTGGAGCACCCGGAGATTACCGATAGGTCTCTTATAGATATAGTTCTAGGCAGCACGTCACTAGCTTTGCATAGCATCAAGATTTATAATTGTAGTAATCAGCTTTATATTACTACTGCTATGTGGAACTCTTGTACACAGCAACCTGTCTTATAACAACAATATTGCCACCGACGCACTGGTTGGTACGCCAATCCTCTCAATGTTGAAATAGGCAATACTGCAATAGGCGGTTTACGCACTGGTGTCTTGGCGAAACAGGGCAAATAGTGGGTATTTGTTAGACGGATGCACTAGACATTTTCGGGATAGATCTCCCTACAAAAAATAGCCGAAATCAATGTTACGTGCATAAATCCGAAGAAAATACACTGGCATCAACCTTAGAGGGCAATGCAGTCATATAAATGTTTAAAAAAGATTTCGCCATCAAGGAACCCACTGTTAGCATTTGTTACAACTATGAAGGGTTTCGACCCAACTCACTATCATCACTTGCGGCAAGGCTCTTGAGCCAATCGGAAGCTCATCAACCCGTTCCTATTCAGCTCTGTCACAGTCAAGACAAGCCATCATCTCTTCCTTGAGGCCTCCAGTGAGCACACTGGATGCTGCTTGAAAAAACAGTAGGATAATATGGCAGACCTTCTTGTGGTGTCTAGTATTAGTAGGAGTAGTGGGTGTGGCGCAGTGCGTCGCGTGCAGTCAAGAACTGCAGCTAGACTTTCCCATGCCGTAGGGGCCATGTCAAACTGCCGCTCCGGGGCTGCGATGCCCGATATACAAGCAGCCGGCATCTCTAGACGCGGCCCGATGATCAGCCCTCTTCGAAGGGCGACCCCGGTCCGGTCCGTTGAATTAATCCCCTTGCTCCGCACCCGACCGGCCGGACTGTGGTGTGTCACACACAAGGGGAACCCCACTCGTTCTCGACCGCATCCTTGGCTAACCCCGCTCCTCGTGTATTTGTCAACGGCGCGATGTGGTGTCAATCATCGAAGATCAGGTCCCCTTTGCGCCGTCGCCCTTACGAGCATAAGCCATTTTCTTGCTCAACGGCTTGTCGGAAAACCCCACCGTCGTGATGGCTTCCTTCGATAACAGTCCAGAGGCCAGCTTCCGCGGCATGATCCGCGATCAAAACACTAAGAGATGGCAGGACTTAGAAAGCCGTCTTCAGCCAGCTGTTGTTGTCGATGGGGAGTCGCTACCGAGGGGTTGCTTCCGAGACCACCTATGTCGCGACCTTGCGGGAGACGGAGACACCAAAGAGGTGAAAATCGATGCGATGCTGCTTGATGCCGACACCCCAAGCATCGCCGCACGTCTCATCAACCGCGTCACTCCCGCGGCCTCCGAGCCGTTCGAATATCAGGAAATCGTCTTCGCCAACTTCGCAGGCAATCTTCTGTCCACTTGGCAAACCATCAGAGATGAAGACGGTTTCCGAAACCGAGTGCCGGTGGTGCCATCCACACCGTCCTCCTTCTCTGCGCTACCTAACAGAGAGAGATCCTCCTCGAAACCATCGGCTGAACTCAAGTCGTTCTACCAAAGCTACATTAAGAGCATAAATGAAAAGCCAATGAGTGAGGAATTCGACATCTTCTGCCAGCCGGTGCTGAAGCACAACGGCCGCGAGCTCACGATCGCCGAGTACATACCTCTGATCAGCGACAGCCAGGACGCCATCGAAGGACTCCACTTTGACATCCAAGACCTGTTTGCGGACGAAGAGACGCAGCAGATTGCGGCGAGGCTGGAGTTCACGGGGACGCCGGTCAAGGAGTGGGGAGGCGCGACGCCCAACGGCACCTCTGTCAGGTTCCACGAGCATGTCATCTATCAGCTTGAGCAGGGGAAGATATCGCGCGTGTGGTCGACCATAGAACTGGACCTGTATCGGAAGCAAATGGGAAAGGATGTTGCATAGGGAAAAGGCAAGGCAGCAAGCCGCCACTCCTCGGGCAGACAAGCTCTCATACGCTACAGAAAGCAGTCCGCTCCAAGCCTGATATATCAATCATGGTGTACACAGGAAATATGTCAGCCGAAAGTCAATCACACTTCTTCTTCAACAAGTTGAGGCATCCCTGCGAATTTTATTCGAGCCCGAAGTCAAACACCGGCTGTGAGCCTGTGACTGGTCTCCGGGATGGGGTTCGCGACAGAACTGTGTGGTATCTGGCTCGTATGAAGGGGGTTACTCAAGGAGCGAGGAACGAAATAATCTGTACCCGGAACCTTTTACGAGCACGTGGGATCACTGAAGATTCATTGAGTGTCATGATTTCAAGGAGGAGTGTCATTGCCGATAAACATCTGACGTAGTAAAAGTTAATCATAAATAACTCACTTTCTACTGGTTAAGATTCCGGATGGCCCAGTAAAATAAGATGAGCCTTTTCCCAAGAAGACCAGGAGGCAGAGCTGTCTTTGACAACGATACATCCAGTCGAACCCAGCATGCGCTACGCAACTATGTGTCGCATTGAGGACAAAATACTGTAATGAATGGACCTAGCTGCAAATGAGAGGTGAAATTTGACCAAGATACGCGTCAATACTGCATAATCTCTATCTAGAATTACATCACCGGCGAAGTATCTCAAAAGAAAACAGCCGGTTCTTTGAACATCAAGCAGTCAGGACTACACGATTCTTATCTGGCCCTCGTCCTCGACTGGACTGTTCATGAGGACATCTCATCTTTAGCATTACTGTCTCTCTCAAGATAGTTGTGTATAAACAAAATCGATAAAAGAAAAAAATAAAAGATAAAAACGCTGGCGCGCGGCCGTCACTGCTTACATGGTAGCGTTCACAGGGCCACTCCTGGCCTGGGCGGCGTCGAACAAGCTCTTGATGTCCACCTGCCACTGAGCGATGTCGGGCCGGATGACGCGGCGGTCGTACGTGAGCAGGCCGTTGACCTCGCCCTCGACATCGCTCGTCTGCGTCCAGACGCCGCCGCTGCACGCGTACATCTCCACCTGCTCACGGAACTCCCTGAGAAGCACTCGGCCACGGTAGTTGTAGGCCTCGAGGTTCTCGTTGATCTCGTAGGTCTGGTTGATGGTATCGATCGCCTGCTGCACGTTCCAGAGACTGCCAAGTCCGTTAGCGTGACCATTGAAGGAATCTTTACGGGAGGAAAGCTGTGCTCACTGCTCGATGGAGACGTTGTGCCCGATGCCACCGAATTCGCCTTGAAGCCCGATGCGCGACTTGTCATAAGGCGTCGAAGCGAGAGAATAAAACGGCGTGCCACACTGGGGATTGGCGTAGTGGTGATTGTCCGAGTAGTCGCCGAATCCATGATCGTACCAGCCGCTGTTGGCGTTGACGAGTCTCGTGGGGTCGATTTTGCGGACGACGTCTACGAGGCTCCCCTCTGGGTAGGGCGGGTTCCTGAGCTGGCCCCAGCCTTCGTTGAAGATGGTCCAGGTGACGATGCTGGTGTAGCTCTTGTGCTCTTGGATCATGATCTGCAGCTGGCGCTCGAACTCGGCCTGCTGCTCGGGGTTCGGCAGACGCGAAGAGTCGGCTGTGAGGCTTGGCATGTCCTGGATGACGAGGAGGCCGAGCGTGTCACAAGCGTGATAGAACAAGTCAGGCTCAACTTTGACCTAGGACAGTGTCAGAGAAAAACAACAATATTAGATTTCGGGAAAGAAAAGGGAGTTGAGAAGCGGCGTCTTACGTGCTTGCGAACCATATTCATGCCAAGGTTCTTGAGCACTTTCAGGTCATAAGTCATAGCCTCCACGCTCGGCGGCAGGTGAAGCCCGTCGGGCCAGTATCCCTGGTCGAGGGTTCCGAACATGAAGATGAACTCTCCATTCAGCAGAGGGCGCTTGATTCCATCAACCATGCCGGTAGAGATTGTGCGGAAGCCGGTGTAGCTCGAAACCTTGTCCCGGCCCATCGTCACCGTAATGTTGTACAGATTGGGGTTTGACGGCGACCAGACGTCAGGCGAAGGCACGGTGAAGTTGAAGGGGGTGTCGGAAGTTCCGTCGCTCTCCCCTATAGTCTGGCCATTCTTGTCAATGACAGCAATGTGCACTTGCGACGGCGGGCTGGAGTAGCTGTGAACAAGCACGTTGACTAGGCAATGTTAGATGCGGGGCGGCCGCTGCTGAGCTGCTCTCTGGCGTGGATGTGGGACATACCATTTCCTTGATGGTCAGCGGCCACGTCCAACTGGGTGATGCGGTTTTGAGGAGTGCTCTCCAGCCAGACCGTCTGCCAGATGCCGGAGCATGAACGGTAGAAAATGTGCGAAGGAGACCTAGTCTGTTTGCCGATTGGAATGACGTAGCCTTGCTCATCCGTGGGGTCAAAGACAAACACTAGCCTTGAAAGGGAGGGTTTTTTGTCAGTTTGCGGCCCGTTAGATTGAAGAATACAGATGATTCCACTCACAAAGTGTTGTTTCCGCCGGGTTTGAGGTACTTCGTCGCGTCGATCGTGAAGCGGAAGTATCCTCCGCGGTGGAACCCGGCCTTCTGGCCGTTGATGAACACGGTCGCCTCGTAGTCGACGGCCTCAAAGTTGATGAGCACCGACTGATTGCCCCAGTCTCTGGGCACTTGGAACGTCGTCGCCAGCCAAAAGTGCGTCACGCCGAGCTCCTGGAGCCCGGAGAGTCCGCTCTCAATGCACGACGGGATCAGGACCTCCCTGTCCAGCGTGCTGCCGGAAGGTGGGTGGTTGACATCATCACCTCCGCTCGCGGCCCGGTAGGTCCAGATGCCGTTCAGGTTCAGCCACTTCTCTCGGCGCAGCTGCGGTCGTGGGTGCTCCGGCCAAGGGTTTCTCCCGACCTTGGATGTCCAATCCGTGTCGAGAGGCGGGGTCTGGAGCTTGTAGGGCTCCGCGGACCCGGACGTCGCATCTGAGCCTCCTTCACTGGTTGTCGTCGCATTGAGAGTGTCTGTGGTGGCAGCAATGGAGAGCGCCGTCAGCGCAGACGAGAGAAGCGCCTGCGTGAGACGCATCTTGAAGAGTACTAGAGAGCGCCGAGATGATGTTCAGTGCCGGTTCCCCCAGAGCGATCAATTTTCCAAGATAGCCACGGAAATCGGGACAGGAGAATTAAAGAGAGAACGCGAGGTGCAGCACGAACGAGAGGGGTCACAGCGCAACGGGGGATGCTCCTGTTATACTCAAGGTTTGTTTGTTGAAAAGAAGGTCTGGGGTTATCCTTGGTTGGGACGGGCGTTGAGATTGCGCCGACTTGCAGACTCCATTAAATAAATTGACCGGTGCGCGCAAGCTTCACGAACAACATCGGATTACTTCCCTTCCTCTTCCCGGACATCTCGGCATTGACTCAAGCGAGCTGGATGCGGACTGGCTTCTCCAGGGAAACGACTCAAGGTTTTCCAAAGTTCCTCTCCTTCGCCGGGGTTCACTCACGGTGACGTGCCATGCAGAAAGGCATGCAATGTTGCATCCCGGTGAACCACTTCTCCACATAGCCAGAAACAGGCAGTCGCAATTCTCTGGTTTCCCATGTCTTGGCCGCTTGGCCTTTGAGTGGAAAAGGCGGGGGATTCGCTCAGGTGCCGGGCTGGTAGCATGCGAGTAACCACAACATCGAAATAAGCAACGGCTTAACCAGTTGTTGTACGCAGCACGTGGAGCGATTTGATGAGGTAGTACGGAACATGCTGCATGATGCGGTCATCTGGAGAGGGGGGGGAACGGGCTGGCCACAAGACCTTCACGTCGGTCGATATTGTCGTTTCTCGAGACCATGAGCCCGTCAGCTCGCTAGTAGGTCTGGCATCCTTGGCCGGCCACTCAAAGCGCGATGCGGAAAAGGAGAAGCGTTGCATCGGCCCGTTAAGGGTTGCAATGTCTGACCAACAGATCCAACCTCCCCCAACCCAAAGGGTTCCTCTTTGATGAGGCGTCGCCGCCATGGTGAGGTTCTCTACTATTATGCCCATGCTATTCTATTCATGGGACAAAGGAGTGATCGACAGGCCCATTCGATTTAGGGCAAGGCCAAAAGTAATCTGGGTTATGTCATGGCGAACTGCCACTGCAAGGCATCTCTCAAGCAGCCAGCGGGCCTCATGTTGTCTTTCCCACCTCGTATCGAACAATCGTGGAACCTCTCTGCATTCGAAATGTATCACGCCATGGAAACCCGCATCTCTCTGTCTCCTCCACTCCTCTTGGTTGCAGGGTGCGGCAGGTTTGTTGGCCATACCCGACTGGCTCCTCTGTCCTTTCTCGTCGCCGGCGGGAGGGGCTGAACCTTGTCTTTAATTCCCGGAGTGTGCATGCGGGGATGGGCTGCGAGAGATCGACGGGCAGTGTTTTTTTTTTTTTGGGTTCCCTCTACTGACTTGGCTAGACTGATTACCTAGTGCCTTTTCTCAACCGTACGTCCAGGTGACCTTTTTGTTTTCCAAGCGACCCAATGGTCTCTTTGAAGTTGAACCGATCATCGCGGTCCAGCGTCATTGTGTTTTTCACGTGGTGCATGTCTCGTGGCATGTTGTAGGCCTCTTTTGGCGATTCAGTTGGCCTCCCGGCGGGTTGTCTCGGATAGGAAGATATGCATAATGGTCATGAACTCTCGTAGATGAACCGTTGGAGCAATACCCTTGTACGATGCACCATCATCTCTTTCGTTATGCCACATCCCCGCTCGTATTGACGTGATAGCCCAACCTGGTAAATATGTCATTTTTCACCGCCGACATGGCTCAACGGACGAACATATGAGGAGGCTTCGATAAAGTTGTGTGAAGTCGAGGGGAGCCCAGATGAGGGCACACTGGACAGGCATGTATTTATAGGTTAATAAACCGTATAAATAGATGATGACACCAGGGCTCCCTCGATCTCACCTACATATTGAAAGTTGGGAAGACGGAAATACAGGCTTGCGACTAGTTGTACTGCAGTCTTGTTGTATTGAGAGATATCTGTCGCAGGAATCGCAATATTGCATACGTTGCAAGCCTAAAATGTCGTCACTTTGTAAAAAGAGTCCGAGTATGGAAAAAGTGAGTATGTTATATTACTCGAGCACTAAAGCTGATGCTAGAATGAATGCGGGACAGCCCCACGAGACACTCCGGACGGCGAAGAGTCCCGTTTTCTAATTTAACCTTTCGTCCCACCAATTCGTCTGAAATTCAGCTCCCAAAACGTGGGGATGAGGTGCATAAGCTTGCAGAAACCCGAAAGTTTCAAGATGCTAGGACCGGGAGCAAACCACGAAACACCAAACATGCTTCATGTTGACGAACAGGTTGGATGCTTTGGAAGAACTTCCATGGTTTGCATTAAAGGCATAGCCTGTTAACCTTTGTCCGGCTCAACAGGGTTTGAAGGGCTGGAATCATAGGGGCAGTCTCAAACGGCAGAGGAACCGTAGAATCGACGCACACCCTTAGCCAAGAAACAAAGAGATCAAGAGCTTATGGGCAGAAAGACTGTAGAATTCATGGAAGCGAAACCGATGCAAGAGAAACCGATGCAAGAGATTCATCTAATCAAGAACTTGTTAAAAATGTGTTGTTTTAAAAAAGCTTATTAGCCTCATTCCAATCTCCTACTTGAGGCCATTTACTGTGAACAGTCGATCTTTCATGACGGTCACTTTAGTAATCCGCTATGGGATCCTTAGCAATGATGATGAAACATTCTTCCAAAGGGGCACGTGAAGGTATGTGGATAAAACTGTAGTATGACCTAAAGCTAAGTCGGTGATTGAAGTCATGAAATAGCTGTTCTTGCTCATCAAGCAATACTTTGATTCTGACACTCCTACATGCTTTTGAACATCACATATTTAAGGAGTCAGCACGACGAACGCTGCACCATATTAATGCATATGTATCTAAGCTACCTGTCTCTGTGCACATGACAATAAGTCAACTGATGGAGTAACAATGTTCAGGTACAATACGCAGGAATGGATTTATGTAGATTCCACCGCTTGGTTTCGGAGCAGTTTGAAAAACATCTTACACTGTTCGCATTATTTTGGATCAGAGTAGGCAACTGTGTACATGACATATCAATCTGCAGAATTTGACACGTAGTAGACTTGCATTATATCAGACACGTACGTTTCCGGTATAACTAGAGCTAAAGCAAATCATACAGGCTTGTCATCGGTGGAACAAAAGTAAGATAAGCGAGGAACTCAACCTTCTCGCCGGGTCTTGAACTACGTTTCTTATAAACTAGGATGCAAACTTTACAGTTGAACTCCATAGACACAACTTGGGCAGCTGATGTGCGCTTATCAAGAACCAACTATACGATGCATGCCATAAAATCCACAATCCTATCGATGATAAAATCGTAATATTCTTGGATTCGATGCGGTTAACTGATGATTTCTAACAAGGTATACACCCCAGTCTGGCATCCGAACCAAGTATGTATTTGATCCTCTCCCGGAATCACACTCTTGATTCATTTCCGAACTAGAATCTACCGATCGGCGAATACCGCTATTATAGTCTATCATAGATGCAACCAAGCTCTCCGCCCTGCCATTTTGAGTTGGTTTCCTGGCTTCTGGCTTAAGAACACAAAAACAGATAGAACAACATGAGAAATGCAGGATGATTGAAGTTCTATACCATTCAATTAAGAAAAGTTTGGGTTGCTTTCCTCTTCTTTCTTGTGCAAGAAGTATCAGCATGTTTCATGATTCAAGTGGACAATCTGACAGGACTCCTACTTGTATCACATGTCCGGGCACGAAATGGTAACTAATATACTTTCTGGAGGATTTGGTTGTTGGGCAACATGTTCCACAAGTGAGTTGACATCCAAAAGGCCAACTGAGACTTGTTGTGATAATCCATGACGCGGGCGACAATGTGTACGACGAGCAGCTTTCTGTTATCGAACTAGGCCCGGTAATTACGGTCTAGTGAGCAGGATAAGCGGCTTGCAGGTAGGACAATGATACGCTATCTACACAGCAACGCTTATCGAGAATCAGGGGTGCCTGAGTTGCGACCTACCCCGCGGCTCTAATGGAACACGCTCGCAATTGCGTGCTGTCTGTCGTTCCAGTCCGGAACTGCCATTCTTCAAGGCATAGTCATCTCTATCTGTAGCGCCAGCCAATTGGGAGATCGGTGTTTCCAGGTCGCAATGAAGCAGCTGGGTGAGACGTACGGCAGGAGAGACAACAATGTCGACTACCACAATGAGACCAGTCGGCCGGTGGTGTACGATGATCTCGACCCGTTCGGCCACGAGGAGGATCATCAGGTGACTTGCTTCCACTGAGCTGCAGCCTGGTCAAAAACAGTCGTGCTGACCTCGTGATGCAGATCAAATACAAAACGATGTCGTGGAAGCTCGTAGCAGTGCTCATGATAGCGGAAATCGTGAGCAACGGCATGCTGTCTCTGCCTTCGTCCTTGGCTGTGGTCGGGATCGTCCCCGGCATGATCCTCATCATCTTCCTCGGCCTCTTCGCGACGTACACCTCTCGGCTGTTGATCCAGTTCAAGTTGAGACACCCGGAAGTCCACTCAATGGGGGACGCGGGGCAGATCCTCTTCGGCCGGGCTGGGAGAGAGCTCCTCGCCTTCGGGACGGTGGTCTTCGCCGTCTTCGCGACCGGCGGCCAGCTCCTGGCGGGACAGATAGCGTTGGCGACGCTCAGCGACAACAAACTCTGCTTGATGCTCTACACCGGCATCTTCGCGGTTCCGACGCTGCTCTTTAGCTTCCCGCGCACGATGGACCAGCTCTCGTGGCTCTGCGTCCCGTCCGTCGCCTCGATCCTCGTCGCGGGCATCGTGGGCATGGTCGGCGCGGGCGTGCACCCGGCCGCGGACCGGCAGGTCAGCGTCGCCGTCCGGTCCGACTTCTACACGGCCTTCATCGCCATCACGAACCCGGTCTTCGCGTACGCGGGCCACTTCATGTTCTTCATCCTCATGTCGGAGATGCGCCGCCCGCAGGACGCCATGAAGGCGGCCTACACCCTGCAGGGCTTCGCGACCACCTTTTACGCCGTGTTCGCCGTGGTGTGCTACGTCTACCTCGGGAACGAGGTCGCTTCGCCGGCGTTCAGCAGTCTGGAGCCCACGTGGGCCAAGGCGGCGTACGGCATCGCGATACCCAACTTCCTCCTCGCCGGATCGCTGTACGCGCACACGGCGGCGAAGCTGCTCTTCGTGCGCATATTCCGCAAGAGCCGCCACCTGCACAGCCATACTGCCGTGGGATGGGGCACGTGGGCGGTTCTGATCGTGCTGATGAACGCCGCGGCGTTCGTTCTCGCCGTGGGCGTGCCGATTTTCAACTACCTCATTGGCATCGCGGCAAGTCTATTCGCCGCGTGGTACACGTACGGTATCGCGGGCGCATTCTGGCTGCACGACAACTACTATGACTACGACGGGTGGAAGCAGTGGGCGCGCAAGTGGTTTCAGGCGCTGACGGCGGCTTTGACCTTTGCTGCCGGGGGCTTCATCTGTATAGCCGGGACATACGTCACGGTGAAGGGCATCGCAGAGGCGTATGAGTCTGGTGCTGTAGGAGAGCCTTTCAGTTGCTAGACCAAGAGGGACGATGCAAGCTCGTTTGGTGAGAGGGCGGGGAGCTGACAGGAAACCCTAGTGTCCTTTTTGGTTGGGTTTTACATGTACGGATACTCCAAAGGTATAATAAGGGACATTAATGAACAAGGGTGGACGTAGACAACTGGATCCCATCCCCAGGCCAGGCCAATGAATGAATACAGCTGAGGAGAGAGGTTTACTGTTGAATACCAATGCTGGCCATGACAGCTTCGTAAGGGTCTTCCGGTGACGTCAACCTCGGCGCGCTGGAAACCGAATTCGATCTGGTCTCCGCTCCCTCCAGAACTCCGGGTGTGTCTGTCGGTGTGGTGAACCGTTTGATTAACAGCTCAGGCGTCCACCGAATCAACCAACACAACACGAACACGCGAGCGACCACATGGGAACTGAGATCTGGCTAGCCAGGGACCAGAACACTTGTCTCGCATGGCTCCAATCCCCTGCGTTTCGACTGGCTCCTGTTTCTGGAATCTCGATGGAGCCCGGCTGTCATTAGACTCCCACACCCCCCTTTTTTGCTGTGCCCTACAACGCCACCCCAACGTCGCATCTGACCCATGGCGGCCGGGTCGAAAAGATTGGGCCCTACCGATGATGACGAGTGAAGTCATCACCGCCATACTGGACAAAGTGGGCACCCAATAGCCGCCGCGCGCCGGCTCGGTTCCTGGATGAATCCAGCAACGACCGGCGGCTGCCAAGACCCTTCCAGGTTTTAGCTCCGAACCCTTTCCCGTCGAGCCAGTGCCGGACCCCGTCGCTACTCCTTCGCTTCGGGAGCCATGGTGGCCTTGGATGGCTGGAAAAGAGACGCATGATAGTGTGGCGTTCTTGTTGAGGCTTCTAGTTCGTTCATATACACGCCTCTCACTCGACCCCTCCTCCTAGTCCGCTGGCATCTGTTTACCCCGTACCCATCGGTCTTGATGTTCCCAATCACTGAACTGGGCGTCCTTTCTTTTGTGTCCATTGTTGCATTCGAGTATGGGATGAATTCCACCCCCCGGGGTCTTCGAGTTGCTTGGATTGGCTTCAATGCTAGGCAAAATGTCGCCTCTGCCAGGGTTCTAATTTTCCAGATGAAGATGGGCAATGTGTCGTTCTTCATCTTCCTCTACCGGTAGTTTCTCTATGCTCGGCTTACTTCTGGTCCATCTCTCCCGGCCACTTCTCATACAGCGTTCATAATAAGCCTACAGCCCACTCTTCCGCGATCCCAGGAACGGCCCTGATCCGCTTCTTTCTGCCACTTTTACCAATCCCATCTCTATCCTCGCGATCATCCTCCCCGGGGGAAGTGACCTCACAGCTCTGCCACCCCGCTGCTTTGTGATTGCAGATGTGACAACCCACACCACCCATCTGCATGCGGCGACATCATAGTGTGCCGCAAGCCGTCCAACCGCCGTCTGCGCGTCAGAGGCTCCCCGTCGCCGGCTATCTCGTATCCCTGACTGCTGTTGCCGCGCTTTCACAATGTCCTTTGTTAATCTCTCGCGCCCCCCTCTCGACCATCGCTCACACAGCGATTCACATGCCCGGCCGAGGTTCAATACGCAAAACACATCCGACCGTCTAAGGGAGGGGTCCGGTCTCCGATCTCAACCGTTCTCAATGACGAGCAACATAAAAAAAGGCAGGAAATCGGTGTTCAAAGAGCTTGGGCTTGACGACAACTTTAGCGATGATTGCGCCTCATCCGCCACCGAACATTTTCAACATTCTCGCGAGCGGAAGGAAACCATGTCAATGGAAAGAGAGTTTGGACAAGTATCTGGGTTGGCGCCTAAGCACGGCGACGCCTTGAATGATGCCGACGATGACGGCGACGGCGACGACGACGACGACAACGATGGAGAGAGCAGGCATTCCGGCACCGAACAGCGCGAGGACCCCGGCGAGTCCGAATCTCGTCATCGGAACATAAATCAGTTTGCGAAGCACCCGTGGTACATCAAGTTGTCGCAGGGTTATCGGCGGCCGCGGATCAAGGCGGCTTCAAGTGCGCCACCTCCCACCGTCTCGAGCCTACAGCGGCTCGGCATGATCGCATTGCTCATCGCTGTCATCCTCCCGGCCTTTAGTTATAACAACGGTCGTCAGAAGATTGGGACTGGGGCGGACGCGGGCGTCATACGCCCAAGAGATACAACGCCGACAAACGTCTGCATGAGATGGGCGCAGCAAGGTTCGTGTTGTGTTTGGTCAGATTATTAACCCGACTAACACGGCACAGCGGCTCTCTTGAACGGAACTCTGTACATTTACGGTGGTCAGTCCAAAACCGTGGCATCACAGACCATCAACACGTGGAGTAAGCGTGCCGGAACCCCTGAAAGAAGAGGTGAAGCGAGACATTCTAACGCGTTTCACGCAGACAACGACTTCCTTACCCTCGACCTGACGAAATCGTGGGATACGAAGTCCCCTTCCCTAAAAGGGTTAACGATACCCAACGGACCACCCGCAGTCGCCAACGGTTTCTTGTGGCGAGATTACAATAACCTCTACCTCTATGGAGGCCAGTTTGCCGATAACGATGGCGCAGAAGGCGTCTACGCCACGGTGGCTCCGATGTCAATCTGGCGTTACTCCATCAAGGATCAATCCTGGCTCGAATTCAGAGACCCTCGCACCTCAGCCGGTAACTACTCGACCGCGGCCAACATGCCTGTCCAGCGCTCTGCAGAAGGCGCGGGCCTGTCAGTGCCTGAGCTTGGCCTGAGTTGGTATTTCGGGGGCCACCTCGACTGGCTCACAACCGAGGGCTGGTCGACCCAAACTCCTAGGGTATATCTAAAGAGCCTTCTGGAGTTCACCCACCCCGGCTACATGAACACCGGGGTCGACGCGCTGCGCGGTGCCGGGGCCGCCGACGGCGGCGTCTTCCGGAACATCACCGAGGGCGGCCTGCAGGAGACCGACGCCTTTCCCGAAAGGGCGGACGGCGTGCTGGTCTTCGTCCCCGGCTGGGGCGTCAGAGGCGTCTTGATTGGCATGGCCGGGGGATCGGACAAGACATTCGTCGACGATCTCGGGACCCTCGATGTCTACGACATTGCCACGTCGGAGTGGTACCACCAGCGGACCACCGGCGACAGGCCAACTGTGCGCGTCAACCCATGCGCCGCAATCGCTAGCGCCCCGGACGCTTCAAGCTTCCAGATCTATTTCTTTGGAGGCCAGAACCTCCAACCTTATGTGAGTCTTGTGTCATTTGAATAGGGTGTTCCTCGACGCTGATACTTTGCTCAGAGAAACCAAACCCAGTACAACGACATGTATATCCTTTCCATCCCCGCGTTTACCTGGATCAAGGTGGACGCAGGCGAGGGAGTTCCCGCCCCCCGAGCCGGGCACACGTGTACCATGCGCGACGGCCAGATTATCGTCGCGGGCGGGTACCTCGGCGAAGACTCTCAATGCGAATCCCCGGGTGTGTACGTATTTGACGCGAGCAACCTCGAGTGGACAAGCGGGTTCAAGGCTGGAGACCACCCAGCGGATCTTAACCCCGAAAACTCCGTTGCGGCCGGATCGTACGGTTACCAGGTCCCCGGCAAGGTGCAGAGCGTCATCGGCGGCAACTCCGAGGGCGGGGCCACCGCGACGACCCCGGCCGCCGGCCCTGCCACCGGCGGTCCGTTCGCAACCGGTAAGCCTCCGGTTTTCACAGTCACGCAGGGCGGCTCGACCGCCACGGTCACCTCTTTTGGTCCGACCAGCACCTCTGCTCCCGGCGAGAGTCCGGGAGGCAGCAGGGGCACCAACCCCGGCCTCATCGCGGCGGGCGTAATCGCCGGCGTCCTCGGGGCCCTCGCGCTGTATCTGGGTTTCTGCGCATGGCTGTACCGGCGTCAGGTCGCCGCCTACAAGCGGCACCTGTCCCAGGTCAATCGCTACTCGGGCGCCAGCCCCATGCAGTTCGGGGCCGCCGGCTTCTTCCCCGGTCGCGCCGAGAAGAGCAGTCGCAGGCACAACCGCGACAACAGTATCGTCAGCGAGGAGTCGTTCTCGTGGGTCGGCACCGGCGTGGAGCCCAAGTGGATGACGGACGATCCCACGCCGGGCTCCGGCTCCGGCGGCACCGCCAGCGGCGGTAGCGGGAGCGGGCCGAAGAGGAAGAGCGAGGATGCGAGGACGTTCAAGAGCGGCCCGAGCGGGAACGACCCGCGGACCAGCTCAAGCAGACACCCGAACACCGACAACGACAGCATCTCGAGCACGGAGCAGCTGCTCGACGGACAGGAGCCGAGTTTCTTCTCGGTCGTCATGGGCCCCAGACGTGCTCTGAGGGTTGTCAACAGCACCGAATAGATGGTAGTATGCGTACGAGAGTCCGGGTGGAGATCTGAGAGACGGAACACGAGTACACGAGAACACGACTTCCTATATATATACACGCCTGAGGGGAGTACCCGCAATCGCTAGATACCCTTCTTATTATGTACACATGTGGATATTTGAGCGATTTCTTTATTTATTTTTCTCGGACAAATACATCCTGATGTTCATATGCCTCTCTTGAGCTGTCTTGCACTATTGAATGATTGTCTCTTTGTCTTCCTCATTTGGCTAATTGTATCTTGCGCGCGGAACGTTACTACCATCCACGGCATGCAAATGCGACGCGACAATAGCGTGACGTGGACACCTCAAACGATTTGCCAATTGTCAATGGGAGGAAAGAGGGACGCATGGAATCGGGACGATACCAAGGACGGTTCCGTGAGGTACTCGTGAACAGTGACGGGTAAGACACGAGGGTCCGAGGATATCACTAAGGATGGCATTATTGGTCGAGTGCATGCCGACCAACGTGCCCTTTTAGGTATGGCAAAGGCACGGGCCGGTGACGCTAGCTTGTGATAATTGAATAATAGCTCCAAATCGAGGAATATCTACCTGTCGACCGAATCACAGAGTTCCCGCTCACATATCCCCACGATGTCAATGTGAACACAGCGCAAATTAGACTCGACCCCAACGCATTCTACGTGATATTTTGTCATTCAACGCTTGTTTATTCGTCGTATCGGGAAGGATCGGACGAGGCAGCTTGTGGGCAAACAGTCTGCAGATCAAGGTTTGCGCCGGATTCCAGACTGACCCTTACAAAAGTCCTTCCAACGACGATCCTGCGGGGCCCCGGGGGAGAGAGACGTTTGCACAGATCGATTACGGATACTACACAGAGTCGTGTTAATCTCGCGTTCAAAACTTTGATCTGAGTGCCAATGCTATTTATGGCGAACAATCCAGCGTGGCCGAGAAAACGTTCTCAAAGTCTCGGCTGCCAGACCGCCCAAGTCCGTCCGCATGCCTCTTGGCTGGCTGGGCTGATGACAGAAGGGGAGGGAAAAAGAGAGAGAGAGGCATTTCTTGTTAAAGTTGTCATGTTTTCTCGGCTCTTGACTCGCAGGCCCCCCCCGATCTGAAAAGCGACAAACCTTTTTACATTGCGATACTTGAAGCCACCCGCGTCCCTTTGGAGTGTTGCAGTATCAAGAAGCACGCCATTGGCCATCCCCGGGATCCCGAGTCAGCCTCGATGGTACTGCGCTGTCCACAGATGCCAAAGGAAGCAGCACCGGCAATGCCGATGGGCTTGTAGGGATGAACATCTTTGAGCAGAGGCTGCAGGGCACCCCCCCGGTGAGTTCGAGAGGCCCCCTGCCTCCTCGAAGCACGGAGCTGCTCTTGGTGTCACATTCGGCGAGATTGGCGGCTGTCTATTGGCACTACCGTCCAAGTCCCCGCGACTGGGCCTGCCTGTCGAGCACATGGTTTATTTGAGGCTAGAATCGCGGGCGGGTATCTCCACCGCCCAGCGGGCATACCGCAGTACTCTTGCGAAGATCGACATGCCGGCAGGCTCATTTCAGATGTCTCGCAATACAGCTGCTGTGGCACGTACTGCGGACAAACATGTTGAGATGATGTTGGGTATAAACACGCGCGGGGAACCTTCCCTCCCATCGTCGTGATGTTTAGTCCAACAGCCCAGTTCGACATCGCCAGCCTGTCTCTCGTTTACACCCAGGTCCCTCCTTGTAGTCGTTAGCCCGCCATGAAGTTCTCTGTCGGCTCCCTTGTGCTCTCCGCAGCATCAAGCTTGGCCCTCGCCCTGCCGATCGATGATGCCCAGGTGTACGACGCCGTCATCGTCGGAGGTGGTCCCGCCGGTCTCAGCGTCGCCAGCGCTCTCGGCCGCGTACGCCGCAACACCCTGCTCATTGACTCTGGCGAGTACCGCAATGCGCCTACGAGACACGTGCACGACGTGATCGGCTTTGATGGTATGTTGGATCGCAGCCCAGCCGCTTAGGTTCTCTGTGAGAAAAGGGTGCTCTAACACTTCCTCAGGCGTCACCCCGGCATGGTACCGGTTCTCGGCCCGCCAGCAGATTTCTCACTATGAGACCGTCACCATGACCAACGGCACAGTCACCAAGATCTCGGGTAACGACAAAGAGAACTTTGTTGTTTCGGCCAGCTACATCGATGGCTCGACCAAGGACATCCGTACGCGCAAGGTCGTCCTCGCCACCGGCCTGAAGGACGACCTCCCCGACACCCCTGGCCTCTGGGAGAACTGGGGCAAGGGCATCTACTGGGTATGTTCTCGCGGATCGATGGTCTTCCTCCCTTCACTGTACTAAGAAACCGCAGTGCCCTTGGTGCGACGGCCACGAGCACGCCGACCAGCCCCTCGGCCTGCTGTCCGCCGACTTCAACGACCTCCCGTCCCTCGTCCGCGAGATCGCGACGCTCAACACGGACGTCATCGCCTTCGCCAACGGCACCGACACGCCCGACGCCCGCAACAAGACGGAGGCCAAGAACCCCAAGTTCCAGGAGTACCTCGATCTGCACAAAGTCAAGATCGAGAACCGCACCATCGCCAAGATTACCCGCCTCCGGGACGGCGGCGACCCGCCCCACGACCCCTCGCTGCCGACGGCGCCCGAGAACGATCTCTTCTCGGTCAGCTTCGTCGAGGGCGGCGAGCCCGTCGAGCGCGCCGCCTTCCTCGTCAGCTACCCCGACGAGCAGCGCAGCACCATCGGCGCCGAGGCCGGCGTCCAGCTCTGGGGCGGCCGCCTGGCGGCCGACGTGTCCAAGGGCCTCTTGACCAACGTGCCGGGCATCTACGCCGTCGGCGACGCCAACTCGGACAACAGCACCAACGTGCCGCACGCGCTGTACACCGGCAAGCGCGCGGCCGTGTTCCTGCATGGTAAGTCCACGGCATCTTTGCCACCATCTTGAATCCGCCTTGGACAAACATTGGCTGACTTTTTTCTTTTTTCTCAGTGAAACTTGCAAAGGAGGACCAGGCCAAGGAGACTGGCGTGGACGTCGGGTCTCTGAAGAGAGAGGCGGAGTTGAGCGAACGCTCCGTCTGGGAGGTCGCCAACGGCCAGCCCGGCGACATTCTCTACGCTGGAGAGTACGACCAGTAATTCTTAATAATGTTGGGCTTCTAGGATACCTAAAAGTTTGCTTAGTTTAGCGCCTCACATTGGAGATGGCCAATGTCAAAACTTTTCTTTTTTGACAAAGTTTCGCTTTTAGGTTGTTCTTCGTTGCTCTCCCCTCCTCTTCGCTCAGGCCGCCTCGTCCTCGATCTCCAATTCGCCGACTTTGAATTTCTTGCCCTTCATGTCCGCGTAGTCCTTGTGGTCGTGGTAGTTCCTCACGCGCTCCCTCACGTACTGCAGCCCCCGCACCAGCTCGGCGTCCTCGGCGTCCTCGCGCACGAGGCCGAGCCTCTTCAGCAGCGGCGACGGCGCCGGCTTGATGTCAACGTCGTCGCCGGGCCGTACGAAGTAGAACAGGCCCTGGCGAAACAGGTGGGCCTGGTCCTCGGGCGGCCGCACGACGCGGTGCGTCGTGGACTTGAGGTAGCCCGCGGACCAGAAGTCGAGCGTGTCGCCGACGTTGCAGACGATGCCGTCGTCGACGGGCGGCACGTAGCGCCAGTCGCCCGCCGCCGTCTTGATCTGCAGGCCGGCAACGTCCTGGCTCCAGAGCAGCGTCAGGGAGCCGAAGTCGGTGTGGGCCCGCGACCAGGTGTTTGCGACCTTGAGGTCGTCGGCCAGCGGCCGCGGATGGTAGCCCATGTAGCGCAGGTGGTCCTCGCTGGGGGACTCGTAGGCGTGACGGGAGGAGAAGTAGTCCTCGGGGAGCTCGAGGATGGTTGAGAAAAGGGTGAAGACTTTGCTCGCCAGCTCGAGTGAGCGCTAATGGGGGCCACGTGAATATCAGGGGAGGGCAGCTCATTGCGGTCGGAAACGTACTCTCGAGAAGTCTTCAATTTCCTTGAGAAAAGGCTCAAAGAACGGGTGAAAAGGCTCGTTCTGGTAATGCGCGATGAACTTGGCAATGTTCACGGACTCCACGTTGTTAAGCACGTCGGTGCCCTGCATTTTCTTATCATGCGCCTTGGTGTATGTTGTCAGCATGAGACTAACAACATATCAAGATGCGACATGGCTGCAGTCAATCCTACCGGTCTGTACCCAAAGTAATTGCCTTTGGCAAAGTCACAGGTGTTACCTGGCCTTGCCTTGTCCTCTGTCTTGAGACTGAAGAACCCTTGCCCGATGTCATACTGTCGCTGCACTTCCTCTGGCGTGAAGCCAGTGTTTATGAGACTGAAGAAGCCCGTTTCGTGGACCTGGGATTCTCCTCAGCTCTGGGGCATTTCTGATGCAAAAAGAAAAAAAGAAAAAAAAAAAAGGAACAAAGGGAAAAAGGGAAAATGGGAAAATGGGAAGTTGGCTTACGGCTTGGCGGAGGTCTTCGGCCAACTGCTTCTTCCCGCCCGGCTGGTCGAATTTGCCAATGTCAATCACGGCGATATCTGCCCACGGAAGCTCGCATTTGGTCTTCGCCGGACGTTGCCATTTCGGCAACGGGGCTGTTTCTTGAGAAATGGCCGACGGCATGATATGTTTGGCGCCTTGTGATAGATAGTTTGAGGGGTACACTGAAGTGATGCTCAGCCGGCCTCTGGAAAGACATCGATAAAGTCCGCGTTGACTTTCATAAATACCCCCTCCGTCTGATGTCACTGCCTTGCCCCCCGTCATCTCCCCCGCGCCGGTACCATTCTGCCACACGGAGATCGATGGCCGGATTTCGAGCACGCCATCTACCGGCAGGATGAGGAACATGACCCTATGGCCGTGGTTGGCCGGCGCCTCCAACGTCCTACTTTGTAATTTCTTCCGCTGACGCTCGCCGCATATCGGGCACAGCATGGTTTATTTATCTTCGCTGGAGGTCTGCGAGTCCTGCGATCTCGCATCGAGTTTTACACGACGCAGAGCTCCCATCGTCGCTGGCAACGTCGCGGTGCCAGGCTCTTTGGGCAGTAATTGCAGTACACATCAGTTCCGTAGTAAAGTATTAATCGAGGCAGCTTATAATTACAATGAGGTCTTCCATCAATTATGTTGACATGTCGACAATCGCATGATCACAGAGTCGCTGCTGTTGACATCGTGACGATCAGTCGTACATGACCAACTTTGGTATCGACCCACGTCATATTCCCACTCGGAATCCTCGATTCCCAATGAAATAACGCATCTGTAGTGTAGGGGTTATCATCCCAGCCTTCCATTTCTATGTAAACGATAGCTGGGGACTCGAGTTCGAGTTTCGACAGATGCATATGCAAACGTTTATTTCACTTTTTACTCCTCGTTATATCTTCTTATTTTCCGTCCGTGAATATCCTCCTTTCTTTTTTCTCCTCGATTTCTTTTCTTTTCAAAATAAATTAATATAGTTGCTGGTCGGAACATGTCCAAAATTGCCAGCTCTCTCCCGTTCAAAAGGCCCCAAAACAATGATATGCCAAAAGATAACGGTAGTAGTTTGGCACTTTTCAGGTCACATCCACCGTTCGACTTGCATTGGCGATGCTGTGCACATGGCCCTGCAATAAGGCGTGCTTCTTGCAGCGCCATCTTGACCTTGAACCTGCATAATCGGCATTCAGAGATCTCCGGGGCTGAGATGCATGTCGATACAATTATGGGGCTCACTCATCTTGGAGATTTCCTCCTTCAACAACTACTTCATCTCAGTTGATGTTCTCATTCCCGGTGCAGCCCCGTGCACAAGTGCATTGACGTCTCAGAGCAGTGAGCCTACAACTCATCATCGTCGTCACTCAAGTCCGTCATAGGCCTTCAGACAGCGCCGACGCGCGGGATACCCCTGCCGGACGAAGAGAAGCCGCTGTTTAAAATGGCCCATCGCAAGGTCGACAAACGGTTGCTTTTGTGGTACTCTTTTGAACACCTCATTATGCGCATCCATGTTAGCAACATCAGTAACGCGGCCATCATCAACCTTGAACAAGGCACCGGCATCCGGAAACAGCTCGGGAATCTGTCTAGCTCGCAATGAGCCTGGACGTTAAGCATCTTCCATTACCCTTACATGTTCTTTGAGCCGCTCGCCACACTTGCATTGAAGAGATTCTCTCCCTCCGTTTGGATGAGTAGAACAACGATCACCTGGGTATGTGGAACTACTGACCATATATGGCGTTGCTACTGACCAATCGTCAAGGGAATCATATTCATGTGCCAAGGCGCAACCCAGAGCTATGCTGGCGTTCTTGCCTGCCGGTTCTTCCTAGGGCTCGCCGAAGCAGGCTCCTACCCGGGTGTTCTGTACCATCTCAGCTTCTGGTACCCTACCCATCAGCTGCCCCTAAGAATCGTAACCATGTTATATAATAGACACGAATGAAGCTGTTGCTGAGAGGTGCAGGGCTTCTTCTACGCTTGTGGGAAGTTTTCCGGCACGATTAGCGGCCTGCTCGGTGGGCGCACCAAAAACTATTGAAATAACGTTCGCTAATTCCTAGCAGCATATGCTATTTCATTTAAGAATGGCGTCGGGGGCCTGGCTGGCTGGAGATGGGTTAGTCGCTCTTCCAGCTTGCTTGCTTCAGGACCCGGCTGACTTTTACAAAGTTGTTCATTCTGGAAGGCATTCTTGCAATCTTGTGCGGCATCTACACGTTCTTCTTCCTGCCCAACTGCTAGTCTCGACGTCCTTGTCACGGAGGCCATAACTATGATGTGTGAAGCCGATGACCCAGTAGACCCCGAGACTGTCAAATTTCTCACAGAACCCGAAAGAGAGATCATCATACCTGATCTTCCAGAGCAAGCACCGACAATGAATGCCAAGACTTTCAACTTTCAGCAAATCGAGGAGCTCTTCCGCCACCCCACGTTCGTCCCATTTCTGATGATCTGGGTAACACACGGCATTGGGAGTTGGGGCATTTCCTTCGTTTTGCCGACAGTCATCTATGAGCTGGGGATCTCCAACACAGTAATCTCGCAAGTGATAACGATGGTGCATAGTCCAAACCGCCCAAAGGTCGCCCGAGGACGATCGCTGACCTTCAGTAGCCTCCTTTCACTCTCGTCTTCGTCATTCTTTTGTCACTCGCATTCCTCGTCCATACTCGGCGGCTGAGCCCGTGGGTTGCTGGGTTGTGCCTAGAGGCCGCCCAGATTGTCTTTTATGTGCTGCTTATTACGGTCAAGAACTCAGTTGCGAAGTATGCTTGCCGGATCTGACTATAATAGAGGCTAGCGGCTACCTTTCCCTGAGATACATCTTTGTCATGATTGCGACCGCCGCATCCCAAAGTTTCTTTGCCGTCATTTGGCCGGGTGAGAAACGCATGCCGGCATTGATGGGAGGAAACGACATCAGCTAACGTGCTGACACCGCAGAGCGTATTAGAGCTGCCAAGGGAACAACAAGCGCTGGCTTCGCTATTGGCATCACCAATGTAAGAAATCGAACGTTCCATCTGACAAGCAACGGTAGATGAAGAGGAAAACCTGACCGAAATCAATTTCTAGGCCTCAGGCCAACTTATGGGAATTGTAGTATGTTATTACCTTCTCTCCATGCCTTTCATACCGCTGATGAAGTGTAGGGCCCCCAGATATATCAACCTAAGTTCGGACCGACGTGTCGTGTGAGCTACTCTTGCTCTATTGGATTGCTGTGTGGCACCCTCTTGGCCATCTCCATCGCTTGGTCTTTTGTTGCCCGGCAGGATCGTGATGAGAACCTCCAGACAAGCGGGGCGGGAGGGTCAGACACAGAAACTAGAGTTTCCACAGAAGCAGAAGCACAGCAAGTCAAGACTTGACGGGGGTTCATAAACCATCGAGAAGGATACCGTGCGGAATGATTAGGACTTATCCGAGCTACAAACTTTACAGGAGCTTGCGTGGCTTGGGTTAATCTACTACAGCCTGGATATTGCTGTTCGGCGGAGCTAAAGGTAGTCTTGGGTGCTAGGCGCCGATGACGGCTTGTCCATCTCGCTGTCATCTGGCGGCGGCCAGTGCTCAGAAGGATCCGGCCGTGGCCTCAAGCATCGTTAAAGATGCTCTGGTCAAGAAAGCAGCCGAAATTCTCCACTTCCTCCTTCTGTGGTCGATGCCTCGCGGCCGATGTATCGTTATGGCGTGGACTCACTTGTAGCGCTTGAGGGACTGAACTAGATTTCCAAGGAAACAAAAGCGAACATGCCTCGAAATCCTGGCGGCTACGCCCTTAGATTTATTTACGATGCAGACTGCTGAAAAGGGCAAGCTTTTCGAAGGGATGTCTTTCTGTCAAGGAATGATACATTGGGGACAAGCACATCTTTGGTTTATTCTCTCTTTCCAGTATTACGCTATAGTTTATCTGACTGTTCCTACCAATAGATAGAAAGGTCATACTTCGGCACTGCTAATGTAATAGGCTGTAATACAGCTTCCGGCCTGATATCTATGTCTAGAAGAGCTAGGCTGTGCGACTAGAGCTTGACTGAGCTTATCTGTGCCCACCTCTAATCCCACATATCGCCCCAGAGTGCCACAAGTCGATGTTTCTGTTGCGTGTTAAGTTGTGCCCGTTCTGACAATGGCGTGCTGCCTCTTCTTATCTTTTTGATGTACTGCAACAACAGTGCAAAGCCTGGAGTATCACCTTTCGGGTGGGTCCTGACATGCTCATGTAGGCTTTTCAGTGCTCGTTCAAGGTGATAAAGTACGATGACTACTGTAAACCGCTACCTTGGATGCATCGTTGCATACCAGACTTCCTTCGCGTCCGGTAAAACCTCGTCGGAAGCGCATTTGAAATGGCTTTTCCTCGCCTAGGGCAGACATACCGGTCATGCCTCTTTCAAACCATAGTCGTCGGGCTCGTGGCCTTTTGCGAGCCGCGTACGCCGTGGGCGCGACGCACTGGCCGAAGCAAGAACCAGATGGTCCTGGGCTTCTCGCTGTAGGCCGTGACCATCCCCTTCACGCTTCTCGCCGTGTTCGGCGATTGGAACCAGGGCGGCGGGGACGAGGTTGGCAGCCCGGACGAGACAGACAGCGACCTGGAAAGAGTGGCCGTGCAGGGAAAGACGGATGCCGTTTGTGCTAGCATTTGAGCATTTAACAGTCTGTCACGGGAGGGTATTTTGGAGAAGGAAAAGCGTATTGATGGGTATAGTCGCTCTGAACCCCCCATAAGCGGTCTAGTGCAATTCACCCGGTATTACATATAATATCACAATACGTAAAAATCCCGATACGCAGCACTGCTGACCTGTGGCGCACCTCAATCTCTTAATTCGTTATAGGAAACCCGATAATGCAGAGCAACTACCAAATCTGACTTCACTTCAACCACGGCCTGAAAGTTTTGGCTGGCAGGCCGAAGTGAAAGTCGTCACCGGCAGAAACTCTACACACCCACCCAGCCACCATGCGAGGCCATAGGTCCAAAGGACCGGTGTATAGACAAGTTATCGAACATGCTTTGGGGTGCGCATATAATAAATGGCGGTTCCGCTGTTTCCTGAACTACAATGCAAAGCCGCAAATCTCGCAGCGTAGCTCGGATAGTTGACATGACGGAAGCGAGGACCAATACTCCGTTGTTGCTGCTTGAACAGTGTGTACCTCAAGAGTTTACTAGGATCCTTCGGCAAACAGGTATCAATGGGACGACCTGCACGGGAGTTTTGTCTTGAATGTATGCAATACTAAGCTCAGACTCTGAACCTTATGCAATAAGACCCGTCCCCGCCTTGTCCCCCGGGAGACCGTCTCGGTGCCGTTCGTTCAAGATGGATAGCCTGGCATTGCCAAGACAGTGTTTCCATTCGCCAGAAACATTCGGGAGGTTTCTCTGGGCAGGCGCCTCATAGGAACACTCTGCTACAAGTCTCCAAAACATAAAAGGCTATTCGTTGAACTCAGCAGAAGACTGCCTGAAGTTACTGGTGACCGGTATTTGATCGAGCATGGCAAGTCCTCCCCTCCTTTGTAGATGCCATTGGATTCAACGCACAACACTCACAACCGATTCCCGTTCGTCTAGTTAGGCATGAGGTGGTATGCTACTATGCTTAAGCCGATAATACGTAGGACATGTAACGGTGGTGTTCACGACCACAAATCAATTTCATACGGCAAATATACCGCCTCCCCGAAAGAAGGCATTCCACTGTTGCCATCGTACACGACCCAGGGGTGTGAAAGGGGCGAGGTGATGCAAAGGCGTGCGGCCAAGCGAAACGAACACCCGGACCACGTTGATCAAGTTGCAGGTTGTTGATGCCATGGTAAATATCATTGGCATCTTCATCAGAAATCGAATGCCTTGAACGGGTCTGTTAGAACGGTTCTGCCACAACGGAGCCGAACACTTTGTTTTGATTCTCAGTACCGGCACGTGATCAAGACGACCTCGGTCCAGTCCGTCAGTGTCTCGCACACCCCACACTTCGATGCACGCCATTAACGGCCAACTTTGTATCCCGCCCCCTCCCCCATTGGTCTCGTCATTATAGCATCATCCATAAACATCACACACACACGCTCACCACATCCCAGCGGAAAACTCACTCAAAGATCCATCCGTAACCGACTGTAACCCACAAGCGTCAACATCCACCATGGCTCAGGACCCCCCCGCCGAGATGCGCCGCTGGCAGGTGGCCAGCCCGGGTGCCTTAATCAAGGGCCTCACTCTCACCACCGGCCCCGCGCCCGCCGCCTCCGCCCTCAAGCCGGACCAGGTGCTCGTCCGCGTCGTCGCCGCCGGTATCAACCCGGTCGACTACAAGTTCCTGGAGCTCGGAGTCGTCGCCAGGGCCTCGATGTCCTTCCCCTGGACGCCCGGGCTGGACTACTCCGGCCACGCCGTCGCCGTCGGCTCCGCCGTCGTCGACGTCAAGCCCGGCGACGCTGTCTTCGGCCGCATCGACTTCGCGACCGCGCAGGGCACCCTGAGCGAGTACATCATCGCCGGCCGCGAAGGCGTCGCCGCCCTCCCCGGCGCCAAGGACGCCGACCTCGAGAAGGCCGCCGGCGTCGGCACGGCCGGCCTCACGGCCTACCAGACCATCGTGCCCTACGCCAAGGCCGGCGACGAGGTCTTCATCAACGGCGGCTCCGGCGGCTGCGGCACCTATGGCATCCAGATCGCAAAGGCCGTCGGCTGCCGCGTCACCGTCACGTGCTCCACGGCAAAGGTCGACCTGTGCCGCTCCCTCGGCGCCGACGATGTCATCGACTACCGCACCGCCGACGTCGTCGCTGCCCTGCGCGCGCGCGGCCGCGTCTTCGCCCTCATCGTCGACAACATCGGCAACGCACCGCGGAACCTGTACAAGGCGGCCGACGACCTCCTCCTGCCCGGCGGCCGCTACAAGTTCGTCGGCGGCAACCTCTCCCTCGCCCTCGTGCCCAGCCTGCTCCTGCCGGGCTTCCTCGGCGGCGCGAAGAACAAGTTCGAGGCCTTCGTCACCAAGAACTCGCACGACGACCTGGCGCAGATGGCCGCGTGGATGGCCGAGGGCAAGGTCCGGACCGTCGTCGACTCGACCTTTGAGTTTGAGGACGTCGTCAAGGCGTACGAGAAGCTCAAGGGGGGGTCCTCCACAGGCAAGATTCTGGTGCGTGTCGCGAAGAAGGCCTGATGACTGTCGCGGTTGAGTCGCGAGGGCGAAGTTCCTCGACCGATAGTGACGTTTGCCTCTGAATCTCCCTCGCGACGGTTGTTTTGAGCTCGTCACTCCTGGCCTGGCTGCCTGTCCTGTTATTGTTTCTTTCCCACGGTTGTATTGGAAGGGGGTGCATATCCAGGTGTCATGTAATGCTAGCAGACCAAAGACACATGAAAGCTGCAGGCAAAAAGCGAGGTGAGTCACACTTTAGGCACGCAGTGATGGCGCCGTCATTTCAATATCACAAGACACTGCTCCGAGACTTGGTTTGAAATAAAGTGTGCATTTGCGGGTATCTCTTCATGTTCACGGCAAACTGGCAGGGTGTGGTACATCGAATCGAGGCCATTGTGCATCGCAGCATGACGGGTGAAAGACCAATTTTCCATGTCAGCGTAGCAAGGCCGTTCACACAAACGGGATGGTACGAGACCGGTGCCTCAGCCAGACCTCTTCCGAGAATCTGGATCGGAGCAGGTGAAGGAGATCTTCGGCCTCGTCGGTCCGACCAAGTTTTGTGAGGTGGCTGACGGCATCCATGCCCATGTATATGACTCTTGTGGCCAGATGGTGGATGAAGACTGAACTGCTGAGGCGATCGTCTTGTAGGAATTTCAAGGCGCTTTCATGGTTGGGTTTGGTGGGATGGTGAAGCTCCAAATGTGCGCGGTCAAGTTGCATGGGCCGCCCGATGCGATTGGCAGTTCCCAAATACGACTCAAAAAGCGCAGCTGACGGCAGTGGCCTTTTCCATGCTTCGACGGTCGACCTCCAGGATAGCAGCCGCCAAGGATGCAGCAGGATCCCAGATTGCTGGGGGGCCGACTTCCATGTTGCATCCGCTCTGAGTAGCGCCGAAAAGGCCGTGTCGAGGTTCCTGTCCATCACGTCTGACTTGGACCATACCAGACTGGCGACCAGGGATCCCACGATCTTGCTGTTCTCCTCTGCCGGGCCTTCGCTCTGAACCAGTCGGTCTGCCCAAACCCATGCTACCTCCTCCAACCCTTCTGCCACCATGAATGGCACAAGCTCTTGGACGAACGATAAGTCTTCGAGGAAGTCAAGTGTCCGTTCCATGCCGGACGACCTGAGCCACTGAACGACCCGCGAGCCGGCTGCGGATGCCTTCATAGCGTCAGGAACCGAAATGGCGCTCGACTGGAGAATCTGCTGGCGCTTAGTCCGCAGACAACCGATTGCCGCCTTTCTTGTCATCATGCCCCGCGACACGGCCTCGTCAAAGACCTCCATTGGGTCTCGTGGGGTTGCGGATGACACGTTCTTGGGCTGGATGCCGTTCTTGAACAAGGGGTTGGAGAGGATGGCGCGCAAATGGCGGTCAGTCGGCCGGTGATGTGCGTTGTGAGAGGTGGAAGAGTGTTTGGAGGCGGAGGAGTCGGCATTTTCGGGAGTGTAACCATGCTCTTTGTCGAGATTGTGGCGGAAGGATGTCTTCAAGACGTCGAGGAGCCTCCTCGAATCTTTTGAGGAAAGAGGCAAGGGTTGGTGGATCGAGGGAATGGCATTCTTGATCGAGCTCAGAGGCTTGGTGGTGAACATGGCGGGAATGTGGGTGGGGTTCGAAATATCGAAAAAGAACAGCAGCACTGATGGCCTTTGGCTATCTCGCGCTAATATCCAAGAGACCCGGAGTGTGTTTGCTTGCCAGAGGCTTCGGAGGATGGAAGGGGGTTGTAACTATCTCGCCAACTAGGATGCGGTGGTGTGGTGATGTGCTGCTTTCAGACTGGCTGGGTACGCATTGTCACCGTGCCATGAAGTGATATTGCCCATCAAGCCCGGACTTGTCATGCCACCGATGGTCAGGTGACCTTGAGAATGCGGAGTTATCCCCTTACGCCTCAGGCTCTTAATGCTCATGATGGGCACGTGCCCTGGAGTGCGGGGGCTATTATTTCCGGGTCCTGCCGGGATCCGGAAAGGAGATTGTATTTTCCTCTGCCGAATGGAGCTGACTATGTGTAGGTACAAAGTACATGCATAAAGGCGCGGATTGGACGATTCCATTAGGGCGAAATGACGGTTTCGTGCTGCGTTCAGCCGGTGCAACATCAGACCTCCCATGTACTGACGACCTTAACGGACAAGGGTTGGTTTTGGGTGACGAATACAGCCTCGTGACCAGCTTAAGCATACCCTGCAGGCCAGCTTGGCCCCAGCACGTACGACACATGACGACCAGGGGAGCTCCGTCCAGAAATCCAAGACGCAGCCGAGGAGGGAAGCAAGGCGATGGCGCGATCCCTCACGGCAGCGCACAGCTACATAGTACGATGTAGACTATTATTACTTGGTTACTATTAAGTAGATAGTTTTACGACATGAAAGACAGCCGACTGCTCTGCCCTCAGTCAGTACAGGGACTGGACTGGAGGTGGTTTCTGACGCACAGGGCGGCTCAGCCTAGGATGCAGCTTGCCAAAACAAGTAAACACAGAGTTACAGTCGGAGTCGAACAATGGCATTCAGGCGCTCAATAGAATCGGCAGTAGTTTTATGGGAAAACGGGCAAAGTAGAGCGCTCCAACCAGCTTGCAACATTCTTCATGTCGACATTGTGCTACCTACAAAGTAGTGTATAATGGCCTCGCTGGCCTCGCTTGCTTAACTCATCGGTCTCCGCCAAATGAAAAGGACAGGCTCCAGATTTCTAGGGAGGAACACCAAGTCAGGTACCGGACAGAGAATAGAGGCAAGAACCTGCCTCGGGTAGTGCTACGGTACCTAGTATACCTCTTTGCCAGACGAACCTCATGCATAACGAAGCTCGCTTAGATACTTGGGGATACTTTGTCATCTAGCTTTGGACAGTGGCGAAGTGATGTACCTCTACATCCTCAGCCCAGCGATTGAGGCAGTGGATCTGCATGAGCCCGCTGGGAGCTGGCGACGCTAAGCCCAATCCGGACGAAAGGGGTCGTCATTCGCTGCAGGCGGGTTGCTCAGGCCCCAGAGACCTAAGTCTGACTGGACCTGACCATTGAGCGGATGGGCAGTCCGCTGCGCGACGCGAGGCAGCACAGGAAAGGAAAGAGAGAGGGGGGAAGAAAAAAAAAAAAGACGACAGGAGACCAACCAGTACTAAGGTACGGAGTACTTGTCTAAGTGCAAGAAGTGCCTAGGTACGTACCAGACCGTCTGACCTTGGCTCGCCTGCCTGGCAGCTCATTTATTGCTCGGTATCCGTACCTCACGTCATGTTCCTCGCCCTCACATCCATCACATCACATTTACTTACACGTACACAAGACGCTGACATCCCTACGTAGTCAAGACCAAGTCTAATTCAACGGGGAATCTCGAGGTCAGAGAAAGCGGTGTGTAGGATTGAAAACAAGCCAGAACAAAACAAAACAGAGATAAAAGAAATAAAAAAAGGGACAAACCCCCAGAAAAAAAAAACACATCCTCGCGATTTCGGTGCTGCTGCTGCTGCAACATGCATTGCTATGCTTCCCTCTCTCCACACTCACGGACCTTGACCCTTTGCGACCCAATTGACTGCTGCCACTGCGCTTATGCTTCTGCCACGCTGCCGCAAGTCCACAACCTCCAGCCTCCAACTGCCACCAACCAGAATCAAACCAGACCGATGCTTGCTTGTTCCTTACGTGTACTACACTCCACGTACCTTGGGTAGGAGGTAGGTGGTTTACAGCCAGCGCCCGTGCCCACTCAGTGCGTGCGTGCCTACCTACGTGTACCTAGAAACCAGAGGAGGGAGGTACTTGTGTTCCTAGCAGGGTGCTTGCTCTGGTGCATGTACCTGCCCACATTACCCAGGTGACCAGGTACCTGAGCAGCTACCAGCTGGACTAGGTTGGACTGGGTACCTGGGCAAAAAGGAAAAGGAAAAAAAAAAAAAACACCTCCCTTTGAACTTTTCCCCAGTTCCCTTTTGCTGCCTACCTACCTACCTACCTGCATTTGCATCCGTGTCCGTCTTTGCACAAACATTCCACCCCCATCCACCATCCACACACCTCCTTCTTCTCTCCCACCAACATCCTCCTCCTCCACCAAACCTCAACTTGTCTCGTCTCGTCTCGTCAGCCACGACCGCGACGACGTCGTTTCTCCTACCTTGCGGCACCCTTTTCTTTTCCTATTTTTTTTGTTCTCTTCCCCCTCACCATCCGCTCGAGTCCCGCAAAGACCAACCAAACCACCGCCCCCCACCAAAGCTGTCGTGTCGATACGGGACAGTCAAATAATTGATTCCTCCGTTTTTTCCCCCCATCGTGGAAAAAAAAAAAACCCCCCCAGCCCCCCATACAAAGAAACCCAGCAATGTCTGAGGTACAGACTCGGCCTGCCGCTTCGCGCGGCAGAGGTTCTGGACGCGGTGGCAGAGGTGGCTTCGCAAGCCGGGGCGGTCGCACGTCGGCCAGACCTAACGGCGACAAGTACGACTCCAAAATGGATGCCGACGACGCGACTTCCTTCGAGGACCAAGGCGAGCTCGGCGAGCTCAAGAAGCAGTACGGATCCAAGGCGCCCCTCATCAAGGAGCTCTTCCCCGATTGGTCAGAGCAGGATATCCTCTACGCTCTTCAAGAGACGGATGGTGACGAGAATCTTGCCGTTACTCGCATTGCTGAAGGTACGTCGCCGCACACACCTCACGCCTCATCCACCCGTGCTGCCTGCCATCGACTCTTTCCCGCGACAATTCCTTTCGGCCTCATTCGCCATCGCCCGCCCGCCCCGAACCCCTTAATGACCTTTCATCCGCACTCTGCTGACTTTCCCTCCCTTTTTTTCCAGGCACCATCTCTCAATGGGGTGAGGTGACGAAGAAGGCCCCCCGCTCCAAGGCTAAGGACTCGACGACCGCAGCTTCCAACATCGACTCATCCAGCGCCAGGCCTGCCCGTGGCGGACGCAACGTCGCCGACGCTGGTCGCGGCCGCGGCAGAAACGCCGACAGAGGAGGCCGCGGTGGTGGTCGGGGCAGAGCCTCAAACACAGCAGCCCCCAACGGCACCCGGCATGCCAAGGACACCGCTCAGCCGCTCTCCGTCCCCACCGAGGAGTCGAACGCATGGGATACCCCCAAGACAGACGTCAAGGACGCGCCTGCCGAGGACCCCTGGGCCCCCAAGGAGACCACCGAGAAGCCTGCAGCTCCCGCGACCGAAGCCCCCAAGCCTGCCGGTCCCGCTCCCAAGACGTGGGCTAGCATGCTCCGTCAAACCGCCGTCCCCAAGCCCGCTCCGAAGCCCCCCAAGCAAGAGCCCGCACCCAAGCCTGCCGAGCCCATCGAACCTCTGCCTCCTGTCGCTCCCGCCGCCGAACCTACACCCGAACCTGAGACCGAACCGGAGGCGCAGCCCGAGCCCACCCCCGAACTTCCCGCCGAGCCAGCTCATGAAGAACCAGCCCCTGCAGAAGTACCAACCGTCATCGAACCCGAAGTGGCTCTGCCGCCCTCCAAGGACCAACTTACTGAGACGAATCTTGAACAGGTTGTCGACGAATCGCATCCTCCCGCCACTGCTACTGTCGCGAGCACTGCCGCCGACTCCTGGGATCCTCGCCTCAATGCTGGCAGCGCTACCGCGACCCCGATCTCAGCCTCGCAACAGCAACATCAGCCCATCCGCCCCGCTGTTCCCACCACCAACAGCGGATTCGCCGCTTCCGCCATCAAGGCCACCACCGAGCGAGGATCCCGTACTCCGAGCTACCAACGCCGCGTTCTTGACCAGGAGGAAGCCGTACGCATGCCTGGCAACCGCGAGGTTGACCGCGCTGCCGTCCAGTTCGGTGCTTTCAGCCTGAACGAGGACGACGACATTGATGGTGATCGCGAGGAGCCCGAGACCAGGACCCAGCCTCCTGCCGACTCCCCCGTTGCCCATCCTCGCACCTCTCTCCCCCCTGCTCCCCAGCAAGCTCCCGTCCCCGAGGCCATCGGCACCCAGAAGCCCGCGCCGGGCCTGCCTCCTCCTGCTGCGGCCGCCGCACCCACTGGTACAACCGCTCCGACCGGCAACGTCGTCGACTTTGCTAATGCTCCCTTCGCAGGACCCGCAGGCGCTGCTCCCCAGGCCCCCGCTGCTCAGGGTATGTTCCGCACCACATTGGCGCCGCAGCCTGGTTGTCTGCTTACTGACCCGCCTCCAGTCCCCCAGCCTGGTGCTGCCCCCGCCCAGCCCTACTCCCGATTCGGACAGACCGGCCCTCAGGAGCCGTCGTCGTTCCCCCAGAAGTCAATCGACCCTTTCACCCAGCCGAACCAACCCCCCTCGGCTTCCCAGAACCAGTTCGACGGCTTCCCCAACCAGCCGTCGCAACAGAACCAGCAGCCCGGTGGGGCTTTCAGCTCCGCGCCCAGCGAATACTCTTCCTACTACACCGCCGACCAACAAAACCGCCCTCCTTACAACTACTACAACCAGCCCTACGGCCAGCAGGGCGCCCAGGGACACCAGGACAGCGTGTCTTCCCAGCAGAGGTCTTTCGGCGGCTACAATGCCTCGCAGGCTGATAACCTCAGCCAGTACCCCCAGAGCGGCGGTCTCCAGAACCAGTCTCGCTACGGCGGCGTCACCAACGACGCCCAGAACAGCGGGCACACCACCCCGAACCCCACCGCTCAGAGCCAGCAGGCGGCCAGCCAGGCCTCGCAGCCTCAGTCTCACGGCCAGCAGAGCTACCCTTATAACAGCCACCCCTACTACAACAACGCCTACTACTCGAACTACATGAACTACGGTCACTACGGCCAGGGAGGATACGGCGGCGCTCCCTACGGCAAGGGAGGCGTCTACGGCCACCCGTACGGAATGTCGCCCCAGGGCCCCTACGACCACGCCTCGTCCCCTGCTGCTGGCTTCGGTCAGTCTTCTCTGCACCGGGCTGACAGCGGTCTGAGCTCTGGCCTCGCGGGCGGCGACTTTGGCGGCCGCGCCGGTTCCGCTCAGTCTGGCAACCAGCCTGGTCTCGCCGGCAGTGGCTTCGGTGGTGTTCAGGACACCTTTGGCCGCGGCTCTTCCTCGTACCAGAGCCCCGCGGGACAGGGGTTCAACAGCACTGCCCAGCCCAACAACACTGCTTCCGCCAACGACGATCTGAAGCCTTTCGGCGACGGTAAGCCTGGCGCGGGGCCCTCGCCTTCTCTTGGCGGCGCCCGTCCCGGCTCGGCCACTAACACCGCCTCTGGCCAGACGGGCTTGCCCCCGCCTCAGTCCGCTTCTCAGATGGGCGGCTACGGCGGCTACCCTAGCCACCTGCAGGGTCACGGTCTCCACGGAACCAGTGGTTACGGCATGGGAGGAGCCACCACCGGCCAGCACGGTAGCGCCCCGTTCGGCTCCTACGGTCAGCAGCAGCAGGGCGGCTACGGCAGCGGATACTACGGCAGCGGCAACCAGCAGCAGCAGCGCGGCGGCTGGGGCGGAAACTACCACTAGGAAGGTGGTGGTCGACGGCCATCTCACCCGCGTCATTGCGACGTGGGGAGAAGCGGCTAAGGCCTCGGTGCCCACGAGCACGTCGCCAGCTATTGCGCTTTGTCAGCAAACGAAACAACTCTCTTTGGACCTGCAGGTGATTTTAAACTGCAGGCGGCAAGGATAATTCAACGCGGTCTCTTTCTACGGGGAAACTTTTCTTCTCTCTACTCATTACCTATGTGTATGGTCTTCGAGCGTGTACGATCTATCAAAAAAAAAAGAATCAGGGAGGGGAAACACATTCGGATATGGTCACCGGCCGCGACGGAATCGTGTTTTTTGTTTTCTTTTTCGCGACGGGGAGGTCTACCCAGGCTTACTCGAGAATGATAGCCCGGCGGTGGTGGTATGCGGCTTTGAAAATTCAGTTGAAATGACAGATGGAAACGGATCCGGTGGGAGGTTGGTCGTTGGTCGTTGCCCGATGGAGGGCCCAATACTGAGATTGAACTCCTTGGAAAGGAGCATGATAGCCAATAAGGAACCTTTGGCCCATGACACTGATGGCTTTGCGATGATGTGTGAAGTGCTTTGATCTAGTCTGGGTGACTGAGTCCAGGTAACCAAACCCCTTGACTCGGCCGCTTCTTCTCGTCCTATGATGGAACTATTGTCGCAGACATGCTGCGCGGAGCCTGCTGTCAGTAGAAGTGATTGCGTTTTTGGCCGTGTTCAGGGTCGCATTTCCATTCATCAACGGGCTAGCTACCCTCCACCTGCCAGGTTTTTGTTGCAATATACGCGCTTCTCATGGTCGGTCTTGACCTCCAAGACCACTGCTGTGTTGCCATCTTCACGGATTTCTACTGGTACGTGGCCGGCCTCATCCAGGCCGGTGGACGTCTCATCCGCCTCAGCCAGCGAAAGGAAGTAATAGTCCACATCCTTAAGGTCAAGGACTCCTATTACGACTATATAGAGCGCATCATAGTAACAAAATAGGCCTAGGAGTTAATAGGCTTAGCCAAGATTACACTATAGATCTAGGGCTAAATACGCTACGCTTATATCTTTAAGATTATATAAAACTTTTTTTACTAAGAGTTTAATTACTTAGTGTAGTATAACAGTATTATAAAGTTAAGTAATCTTATATTATATTACTTTAATAAGATAGTCTAAAAAGGATACCTTTATATATTCTTAGCCCTTTAGGTAATATCTCTTTTATGTAATAAATACTAGGAGGTGTTTACTAAGTCTTAGTACTACCTTAACTATGTAGTTAAGAATAATTATAACGTCTTTAAGGTAGACTATCTAGACCTAGTGTTATTTATTAATATAGAGGTTAGCGCTATATATACTAGTATCTAGGCTAGTGTCACTGACTTTATAAAGGGGGGATCTGCTAATCTTAAGATAAAGGATAATAACTATAATAAGCTAATAGATGCTATACAAAAGCGTTTCACAGAGCGCAACGCCCTTGTCGATTCCCTCTTTAATCCTCATCAGGAGGAGACCTGCCGCAACTACATGGTCGCTGACGCAGAGTCCCAGGACAGTGCCAGAACCACCGCCTTTCGCAAGGCTGCCCAGCTATGGCTCGATCCCACGGCGCATCGACCCGCTGGCACTGGCACAGGCCCTCACTTCTCGTTGTGATTGAATTGAAAACAACGGGCATGGTTTTGTGTAGAAACACAGTAACTGGAGGAACTAAATCAGAAGACTGGTCAACCACTTCTCTCTACAATGTGTTGTTGGTTGATGAGATTGGGGGTTTAGAGTTGTTGCTACGTCTAACACAAAGGTCAACAAGGTATGTAAATCAGTGAATCATGTGCTCATTGCATTAGGCAGCTGGCTTCTGGTGCCTCCTGCCTCAAATTCTCGGTATCTAGTGACTCCGATGGGATCGTTTCTGGTATCTAGTATTTTAACTTCCAACACGATCACAAACTTGGGTATCGATCCTCGCCTCCCGTTTCCCCCCCTTGTATCAGTCAAACTCCAAAACGGAAAGCAGGTCCGAAAAAGGGAAAATTCCAAAATCAAAGCGTTTTTTTCTTTTTCTCCTTGCCCTAGCGAATCCCTCTAAGCGCACCACGAGCTGGCCCAGCGGCCGAGCTCGCCCGGGGCGCAGAGCCTCTCCATGTCGTCCTCCCGGAGGGCCAGGAGCACTTCCCAGGGCGCGTCGCCCTTGGTGACGCCGCGGCGCTGCATGATGTTCATGCTCCCGTCGCTGGCCGACCACGTCTTGCGCACGTGGTCCGCCTTGCCGCCGCCGCCGGTGGTGCCCGGGATGCCGAAGTCGACGTCGGCGCCCATGTGGACCCAGACGCTGCAGCCCAGACCGGCGTGGTCGGGCCGCAGGGCCTTGCGGAAGGCGGCGCCCTCCATGGTCGGGTCGGCTAGGGAGGCGGCGAGGGCGATCCGCGAGGGTATGTAGCCGGGCGAAGTCACCTGGCCCACGGCCTGGCGGATGCGCCAGGCGGCGGCGGCGATGGCGGGGGTCGCGTCTGTGGCCGTGCCGTTGCTGTTGCTGTTGCTGTTGCTGTCGTCTGGGATCTGGACCAGGTCCTTGACGCTGGTACTGGCGCTGGTTTGGGTGTATACATTGCCCCAGGCGTCGGGGGAGAAGGAGGGACAGAGACGGGGGCGGGCGTCAGCAGCGGTGGTGAAGGACGTCGTGTCGTCGAGGTCAAGGTGCGGGAGGCGCGCGCGGGTGGTGTGAACCCAGATGAGGGCGGAGAGGGTGTCAACCATGGAGACAAAGGCATCTGGACCATGCTTGTCGCGGAGCTCAGCAAGGACAGCGCTGTGCAGTGTCTTGAGGGTTGAGTTCTGGATCTGAAAGAGGACGCACACTGGCTTCTTGGCCTGGGCCGTGTTGGACACAGCAAGCTTGTCCATGCTGGAGACAAGGGTTGTCTCGGTTGTGAAGTTATACTCAGGGAACACAGAGTTCTTAATGCTGGTTCTCTCATAATGCTTCATGCTAGGCCTGGCTAAAAGAAACATTGTCAGTATAGGTGAACAGTGAAGGTTTGTGTAACATCATCGGAATGGGAGGAAACTTACTCATATGCTCACGGACAAAGGTTTGGCCCGGAATCCTCTCATAGCCTCTGCCAAAGAACTCCAAGAAGGTCTTGATGAAACCACCGTCAAAGATTGCGTGGTGAGTCGCAAAGCAGAGGATCAGGCCGCCGTTGCTGACCCTAGTGACCTTCAAGGTGACAGGAGGGCACGACTCTCCGGGCTTCGGGTGGTTAGGGGACAGAGAAAGGACGTCCTTGTCCATGGCGGAGGGAGGCATGCCCCGGACCTTGAGATCCTCGTAGGTGAGGCCACCGAGGGTCTCGCAGGACTGGTAGGCGAAGAGGTCCGGTCTCTGAGAAGGGTCGGCCGAGTTCTGACTGCGGCGGTAGTGGAGCTCGAGCTCGTTGGGCCGGGAAGGGAAGCGAGCGGGACGGACCTGGCCAGCGAGGAAGGGCCATCGGAGAAGAGAGGCATGGAATCGGTTGGCGATGTAGCCCAGTGCTGTACCGGTCTCAAAGCTTGTGTCGGTGTCAAAAATGAAGACCGATCGGACGTAGATCCGGGGCGCGATCTGGTCCAAGGGGCCCAGGGCGACGTGGGGAGTGATCTCAATCATACCCATGGTGGGTTGATGTGAGAAAAAGGTAGCAGGTGGCTTTGTAATGGGAAGAAAGGGTTGTTGAATGGAGGTGAACGAGAAAGAAAGGGGTTGTCGGGCTTGTAATCTTTGCTTGAGTTGTGAAGGTGAAGAGAAGACGGGCTGGTGATCTGGATGTTTGGTTTCCAGAGAAAGATTGGTAGAAGGAATAGTGCCCTTTTGAAGAATCAAGAATAAAAGCGGAAGGAACTTGAAGAAAAAATTGAAGTGAAGTCCAGGTAAAAAATGATGAACTGGCACAGTAACGGAGATGGGTTGGGTCGGAGAAAGGTGTGGCTTCAATTCACTTTCCCAGAACCCGGTACGGTTGCACTTACTATATCCTCACAGCCGCACACTTGTTCATGGTCTTGTGTTAGAGTTCACAAACAGTCCATTGGGACCCATAGTCCACTTGTGTACGTCCAGGAGACAAGTTCGCTGCCTTGTGTGTGATCACGGTTGCTTTGGACTGTATTCAGGGGAACACTGAACTATCTGGCCAGAAAGGATCAAGTTTATTGGACATCTGACATTATAGGGATGCTGATTGAGAATAACCTTAAATACAAATACATTGGCATGTTCACATTGTTTTAGGGGAAGCCAAAGGCAAGATTTTCCGTTGTGTGATTGATCAACGAGGATAGAACATGACAAGACTTAGTACACATATGTCTCTTTGATCTAACCAACTTGACAAGTCAAATTCAAGCTTTTTTGTAGGACCCTGTACAAAAAACAATGCCTAATAGCAATCGTACAATGCCATACATTTACGCATCGGGAATTGCAGACTGAAGAGTATCCTAGTAAAATAGCAACCTTTATTTTTGCTCTTGATTAGTTAGAGGAATAACTGACTACTACTTTGAGGCAATAACTGTAAGCGAAGATTTAACAACTAACATACCGTCAATGAACACCACATACTCATCGGCCCTATCCTGATTAATGAGCTTGCCCACAGCTCTCCAGACATCGTCTACCATTCCGGCCTGTCCGTAGACCACAACACCCACATCGCCCTTCTCGTCGTTTCTCGCGAGCTCCTGTACCACGGCGATATTCAGATTCTGATGAGCTACCTATCTGTTTTCCTGGTCCAATCTGTAGCTGGGACATATGGATCCCTCGAGGCCACTGGTAAGGCGTAAGGTCGGATGAGTGTTGGGAGACTCGGTGAGTGTTAAAGAGCCTTCGGAGGAAAATAGAACAGAGAATGGATGGTGATGAGACCCTTCTGGTTCAGCTGTTCTTTAAACACCACTGTGAGGATATTCTTGTCTCTGGCCGCCTTCACGTCGTCCCTGGCGAGCATGAGGACCTCAGAACGGGTTCACCTCAAAGTAACTGTATGCGAAGGGCCCAAGCTGCGGGAATTTCGTGCTGGGAGGCGAGAAATAGCGTCACCAACTTTGCGTAACTGAAGCTTGAAACCATAGTTCCAAGGCCCTGTCAATCGACAGCCACTAACTAAGAGCACTTTTACATGAAGATCTCTCTGCTGACTTCCGGCATAGAAGCTTAAATACTCTTGCATCCCCAAGCAGGTTTCTCTGCAGATGATGCAACTGCCCGCTTTCGAGCCTTGAGATGGGCCATTCTCCTGATATCAGCAACTCTCAGCCTTCACATGGAGACCAAGATTTCCAGATTCCATATAGATGATCCCTGCTTGTTCTGTTAGGAATTCCCTTATGTCACGTGTATTGTGAAGGTCTGTGATATATTCCTACCAAAAACACATACGGGTTCACGAAACAGTATCGAATACTAGATCTCAATCCGATAATTCATGAGACTGCCCTTTCGGTCAAGGGTAATGGAGCTTTGGAAACGAAACAATTGAAAGGAGTCTTGGTAACCATTCCAAGCTTTTGACTGATAACTCTTCCTGAACGAAGAAGCACTACCCAGAAACTTTGTGTTTACTACTTCTCGGCTCCCCTAGGTTTGTTTCTGGCCTTTGGATCAGCAAACTCTTCTTGGATCTCTTTCAGAATTCCGTCAACTAATCCCCTCCATGATTCAGTGTTCTCAATATCCTGGCGAAATTGGCTCAGCTCAGAAGCCAATTCTTCTCCCTTGTTCCTCTCTTGTTGAAGTCTTTGGCTCGCCGCCTCAAACTCGCTCTTGGCCGTCCTGTACCTGTACCTCCAAAACATCGCTTTCCAGAAAGCATTCTCGGCTCTGATTTGCTTCTCTCTTTCCCTAGCGCGCCGATCAAACGGGGCCACGCATCTCTGCCACCGCCGGTAGTGCTCCCACGCGCGGTGAATATCCGCGTAAACTCGGTCATACTCCGCTCGCTTGGACTCGTCCCGAAGAACTTCCCAGGCTTCTTGGACCTGAAAGTGAGTGTCAGTGAGCCAATGCGCCATTTTCTTTTAGTTATCAGAAAAGGGGGCCACCTAGACCTGTACGACGTACCCTGCGAAACTCATCTGCGTCAACCGTTTCCCAATGAGCCCTTTTGTCTGGGTGGTACTTCAGGGCCAGCTCTCAGTACGCCTGTCGGATCTGTGAGAGCGTCGCGCTTGGCAGAATTCTGAGATTCCAATAATGGTCGGCAGTGGAAGGCTGCTGCATCGTGGACAGAGGTCGCTTGGTCTTCGAAACCGGTACTTACAGATACCAGTTTCTTGGCAGCTGGCTCTCAAGCGGGTTTGAAAACTTTTGGACGAGTTTGCAGAAGAGATGGATATTCGGAGACTGAATGGTTGTGGAAAAGATACTTGATAGCGTTGAAGGATGGTGCAACGAGTTTGCCAACATGTGTCGAATGCCAGCAAGCTTTATAGGCAACTCGTGCAGGTTTTCTTTCTTGTTCGCGATAGCACCACTACCTCCGAATTTAAAATCGCCGACAAAGGTATGCTACGATGAATATCCAATGTCTCTAGTTGTCTTGGTTCTTACACCATGCATAACTACTGCTGAAGTGTGAGTAATAAATTCTTACGAGCCACTGAAACGGGTTCCAGCACCTTGTGGAAACAACAAAAGTCTTCGCGATCCTTCAGTTGAATGTGTGTGGTCTGATGTCTCAGATATTCTCTACTGAATGAAAGAGTATCCTACATTGCAGATAGTTGCAACAGCACACAACACTTGTCCTTGGCATGCAGGGGCTTCGATTGAATAATGTACCAAGAACAGAGGCAGAGAAAAACCTTGCGATGAGTTTGAATCTAGGGTGATATCTATTTGTATCGCATCGCATTATAGTATAATTAACTACAGAGTATATCTAAAATCGGGGTGTCTGTCACCCCTCTTCCCCTGGTCGATTTCCCGTGACCTCTCATCAATGCTCATACTGTCCCTCTTTTTGTTGATTCTGTTCAACCAAGTCCACATGGTAAAGTATCCGACAGAGGCAATGGTGATGGTGCATATGGAAACCGCATGGCCGATCGTGTACCTTCCATCCGACGCGGTGATGCGGTAGATTTGTCCCGCCATGATACCCGCGCTGTTCCCGATGGCCTGTTGCAGACCAATGGCTGTCGCGCGTTTGAAGTAGCCTGCATTGGAGTTGCTAACCCATGTGACGTTCAGGCCGACGACGCAGTAAATTCCGGTCGCAGTAACGAAAGTTGCAAAGTAGAGGACAGCCGTAGACTTCATACTCACTCCCAGCATGAGAGCGTATCCCGTGGCGGTGACAAGAGCCATTGGGACCATGAAGACAGCGCGCTTGTTGAGCTTGTCGGAACAATATGCAATAGTCAGATAGACGGCAGAGGCCCAGATGTAGACGGGAACGGTCAGCAGCTGCGTTTTTATGCTGCTGTATCCAAAACCGCGGATGATGACCGGCAAGAAGGTCCCGAATCCGAACGAGCATGTGTTCGCGCAGAACTGGCAGCCCGCCGAAAGCCAGACCTTCGGGTCCTTGAAGGCAAGCTTCACCTCCTGCTTGTCAAACGTCTCCGATTCCCCCTGGTATACCCTGGATTGCTCTGCACGAACACGCATCAGGGCCTTCTCTTCTTCAGTAAGCCATTTTGCCGTCTCGAAGCTGTCTGGCAGCAAAACAATGAAAGCAAAGCCAACGGCCAGAGAGATGATCCCCTCGACGAGAAACAACCAACGCCAGCCAGCGAGGCCGCTGGCCCCATGGAGACTCGTGAGGCCATAGGCCAGAAGACCGCCGAAGGCGCCGGACAGGGCGGAGGCCACGAAGAGATAAGAAATCCGGCGCGCTTGTTCCTCTCGCTTGTAGTAGGTGCTGAGATAGAGAGTGAGGCATGGGAAGAGACCGCTTTCGAAGACACCGATAAGAAGGCGAGTTGCTAGCAAGCCGGCGTAGTTGGTAATAAAGGCTGAGCCAATGACAGTGGCGCTCCAGGAGAGGATGAAAAAGGGAATGAGGCGGCTTGGTCGAGCTTTCTTGAGGATCAGCGAGGCGGGAATCTCGAACGTAATGTAGGTAACTAGTCTTTGAATTAGTCAATGTTTGGATTGGGCTTGAAACTTTGTGCATTTACCATAGAAGACTGTCACGGCGACATTAAGCCTGTTACCGGTCAACCCCAAGTCCTCTGTCATTCCCGCAATTGCTGCATTGCCTGCGATTCGCATATTAGCACTTGAAAGACAGACCAAAAATTGCCCAATGAGACATACCGATATTGCTGCGATCGAGGTAGGCGACTAAGAAGGCAATAATCATCATCGGTGAGAGCCATAGGTCCAACTTCCTCAGCAGGCGCTTTTCCGCCTCTGGGTCAATGGTGAGGCTGGAGCTTGCTACTGCCGACTGAGGTGAATCGACATCTCCATCTTTGGCCTTAATGGGCGCTTTCTCGAGCGACATTCTCAAATCTTGTACGATTCGTTTCTTGTCTGATGAATCGACCGGCAAGTCGAGGCTGTATTGTTGCACCCCCTGAGACTGGAGACATGTCCAAACAACTAAATACGGCTTTCTGCATTGGACATATATCTACAAACACTGCCAAAAGTACAGTGAGGTCACCAGATTCGCCTATCTAGCAACCAAGACCATTTCCCGACGCCAACCCCCTTCTCGTCGGGAAACTGTGGTGCTTATCGCGGCGCCGGTTGATGATCCCTGTGGCCAGGTGGGGGCAAGAGTCGGGGAGGATATGCTTCTTATCTCTTGGATGTGCGAATGGCGTGGGACGGCCAAGCATCCCCTCGGCCAAGGGTGGAGGAAACTTGCCAAGCAACCCTCTCTACTCTGCCGGGGGACATGAAAACCCCGACATCGCCCTTCTCCTCAGCGAGAGAGACAATTTCCCGATCTCACAATTAGTTCCTGGGCTCAATGGATTCGACAACACCCCAGCCAGCTGCGACCGCACCGAAAACCCCAAATGCGCGGAAGAGGAAACGTGGGAGGCATGCCGTTGCATGCGAGTCGTGTCATCGGCGAAAACAGAGGGTAAGATACCACTGCCGTCATAAGCTCGGCATGGTACGGTTGCGTTTTCGAGCAAGCTTTCCAGCTGGAGCAGTGTGCCGAGAACGGCATTTGTTCTAAACCTATTTGCCATCAGCTGTACCAATAGCCTGGACAATTCCCTCTGTGATTCAAAGAGCTGTTCGACCTGTGTCACTCTAGCTAGTGGAACAGGGAGGGCTCTTAAGGTGCGGATAACTTGTAATGATGTGCTGCTGACTTCGGATGGCCAGTGCAACGGGTTGCAACCATGTTTCAACTGCGAACGGCGAGGGGTTGGTTCTTCTTGTTCATACAGTCACCTTGACGACAATATTCGAAGAGAAAGGCCTAGTCAGCAGGTAACAGCTCTAGCTTCACCCGCAGTCAACTTTGCAACACCAGCATCCCCTTCTGCTACAGTCGATGTTCTCCCGGAGGACACCGGAAGACCCGGCGGACCTTCGGCATCCGGCACAATCCCCTCAACAACCTCAAGTGGAGGAGGAAGGCCGCAAGGTGAAAGTGGTCAAGACCAACAGTCGGAGTCACTCGTCGGCAACCTCTTCAAGAGTCGCGATGCACCCTCTTTCTTCGGTTCCTCCTACTTTGGCCCGCAAGCTGCAGCAAAAATCATACAAGCCCCCGAACCGGAACTCTCGTCCGGTCTGTCTCAAAAGGCTAAAGCAGGGCCAACTCATTCATTCCGCGATGAAGGTGGCCCTTTCTCGCAGATATGGGAGTTACTGGGGTTGCTCCCGCGAAAAAAGTCAACCTGTGATCGATTGACGGACTGCTTCCTGAACGAGCTCAACTGGGCAATTGACGCCGTGCAGCCGACCTCGTTCAAGGCCAAGTACGAGAACTTCTGGTCTCGGAAATTCGGGTTTGATGACTTTGCTACAATCGACCTCCGCTGGCTGGCGCTGCTCTTCATTGTTATGGCCTACGGTGTGCTCTTGGATTGTCCAAGGCCGCGGAATAAAGAGGTCCAACGCGAAGTCTACGACACCTCGCAGCGGTTCTACTGGGCTGCCCGGAGAGCTATCGTAATTGCCCCGACTTTCTACGGCGAATCTACCGATCTCGTCCGAGCCGGCGTTCTAGTAACCCGCTACCTGATTTATACTCGTCGTGTGCCTGAATCGTGGCTGACAACTAGCTTCGCGATGCGCATGGCCCAAGCCCAAGGCATGCACATCGATGGCGAGAGGTGGAGGCTTCCCAGGAAAGAGACAGAGACCAGACGGCGGCTCTGGAGCAATCTTTATATGCTCGATAAGACCATTGCCCTCGCTCTCGGACGGCCGTTCGCCATCGTCGACCAACAGTGTCTGGTGAAGCAGGCTTCCAATGTATGGTTGGACGATCTTGACGATGAGGAAGCGGCGGCTATCCCAGAGGCTCCTCTGTCAGAACCAACTGCAAGTGTCTTTAGCCGTCTTGCGCACGAACTTGCTGTTGTCGTCGGCAAGATCCAGGAGCAGTGTTTTGGCTTGTTTACCGTGTCGTACGAAACAGTCTTGACGCTTGATAAGGAGATCGATGGCTGGAGGGGCAGTTTACCACCGTATTTCAACCTCAAAGAGCCTGACACAAGCAAAGACGAACGCCTCCCCTTTTTGCCTTGGCAAAGACTTCATCTACATAGCATGTATCACTTTGCGCGGGTGACCCTTCATCGCCCGTTTCTTCTCCGGCAATCAATCACGAACAGATACCAGCATAGCCACGACGTATGCATCGCGTCCGCTTGCGCAGACCTTGACATGGGTCTCAAGCTCTTCAGCCAGCCTCTTAATGACCGCTTGAAGTGGACCCTCGGTCCGCACAACCTCTTCAATAGCGCTTTAGTTCTCGGTATCATTGCCGTCCGCGATCCCCACTCGCGAAGGTCGCAGGCCATTCTTGAGGACCTAGCAGCATACTGCGAGATGCAGAGGAACGATGTGTGGCTCAACGAGTTTGCCATGGCCGAGGTCAAGATCGTCGAGCTATGCGTCAAGAAAGCCCGACAGTCACAGCCACCACCGACAAGCACCGTGGTCCCTCTCGCTCTCGCGTCCGCGTCTCCGAACAGGCGTCCCTCGCAACCAGCTGGGCAGAGTCTCGTGATGCCCACGCAGCCGCAGCTGCCGGTCGAGAGCCCCGACTTTGATCCTTTGATGGCGGGGCTGGGGCTTCCGTACAGCACAACGAGCGCGCAGATGACTTGGGATGACCCGGGATTCTTTCTACCTGAGAGCGGGGACCTGTTGCAGTGGGAACATGTTCTCAACACCATCATGCATGACCAAACAAGTATTTGAGTATAGTTTTAGAAGGGTACAATCGTGTGACTGGAGCTTCTCTGACCGCATGCATATGCATATACAGCTAGCTTTGTCAAGAGGCTAGCAAATAATGCATTCTCGATTTGTGACCAAAGACTTGCCATTCAGATAAAAAGCAATGCATAGCTTAAGCCTATAGGCCTTATATCTCGAGTGACCTCTCAAATCCACATATCAAACCTGTTGAGAAGCATTAGTGGGCCATGGCACATATTCAAGTCTAGTGATTTATTCTCAGTTGTTAAGAGTCCTTTTTCACCGGTATTGCACTTTGAGTTTCCTCATAGCATCAGTGAGCACCGTTAACCTTGACCTCCTTAACATGCCCGCTCATTCCACTAGTGTCTTTTTGGGGCTTCTCTTCGTATTCCACCTTGTTCACCAAACTGCCCAGCCCGTGGCTCATCACAATGCGAAGATCATCCCCAGGCGCCAGGAAGACCGGCGGATCCCTGCTCACGCCGATTCCGTGAGGCGTTCCAGTCATAATCACCGTTCCTGCTTCCAGTGTCGTGCCCTGAGAGAGATAAGCCACAATCTCGGCAATGGAGAAGATCATATCGTCCCCCTTTCCATCTTGCATAACCTCGCCGTTGAGGACCGTCTTGAGTTCGATGACTGAGGGATCCGGCAGACTGCTCGCGCTAACAATGCAAGGTCCCATCGGCGCGAAGCCGTCAAACCCCTTGCCGAATCCCCACTGGGCACCCGCAAACTGGTGTTTTCTTGCCGTTACGTCGTTGGAGCACATGTAGCCCAGGACATAGTCCATGGCGTTCTCGACACTGACGTTCCTTGCGTCGCGGCCGATGACGAGCGCCAGTTCGGCCTCATAGTCGGCTTGCAAGTCGGTTGCTTGGTGAGGGATAATAAGCGGCGCGTTTGACGCGTTCAGACAGCTGGCTGGCTTGAAGAAGAGAGTGGGGTGCTCCGGGAGTTCAAGGTTCATCTCCTTGGCATGTTTGCGGTAGTTGAGGCCGATGCACCGAATGGTGCCGATTTCCTTCCGTGTTAGAGGTGGTAGAAGCTTCTGGATTTTGAGTATTCTTGATGTCGGCTCTGCCGAGACATCAAGTGCTGAGGTTCCGGTGAAGACTCGAGCTAAGACGGGAATCGATGCAGCCAGGGCAGCTCCAACTAACACGGTCTTAGGCAACTTGCCGAATTTCGGAGAGCGGGTATTCTTACCATCCACATTCTCATCAATCGGTTCTCCGATATACTCCTTCCAATCGCCCTCGGCAATAAATCGCACGAGACGCTTCCATCTCTAGAATACTGAGTTAGTATATGAAGGATGGATCCGACCATTGAGGCCAAGAAACACTCACGGGAGTCATCATTTTGGTCACTTCGTAGGCACGGTCGTGAAGGCAGGCTCGACGAGTCAGCAGATTGCATACGTGTGAAGAAAAAACGATTCTCTTAGTATAACGATAGGAAGATGTCTGGCCTACTCAAACCGACAGATATAAAATGCCAGAGAATATGCCATTACGGCCAGTGTTCGAGTGTCGACCCCGTTTCGACGCGTCGGTCATCATGCATCGTAGTGGCGTTTTCCCGATGGCTTCGGGAAATTGGATCGGCTTAATGGAGGTTGGGATCTGCACCAAGATAACGAACGGTTTGTCATATTATCAAGGCTTCAACCCCGCAAATCCACTTGTCTGAAGCTCAACAACCCGGCGGCAGATAAGTAAAGTCGATCTGATACTTGTATTCAGTGCCTAACATTGATCCAAAAATAAAAAGCACTTGTCAATCTCCCCAGCGCAGTTTACAATAAAGATCTGATCCTTATTATAGGAGCCGAGCGGGGCATGCCAACTCCGACTCCGCAATAATCAGGACAGGAAGCTAGCACTTCTCGAGTAGTGTTATTATGTTGTAGTATATAAATGTAAAAACCTCTAGATTGGTATAGTTATTCATGAAACAAGGCGTGACAACAAAAGTGGAATCACAATTGTCAGACAGCAACTGCGCCTTATCTATCATGACACGCGCCCCCTCAGATTTTCACGGCAAAGAATCCAAGTGAGTCCAATACCCTCTTAAGGCCGTTTGCCTTCATAGTAGGCTGAAAACCCACCCCACAAAGGATTTGCATCTATGGTGTTTACAAGATCTAGCACATATACTGCCTTATACCATTCTAGCTTAAAGCTCTAGATATGTCATGTAATAAAACAATACTGTTAGTTACGTAGGCAGTAATAGTAGCTTATATATTATAATATACACCCCAGATTTAACCTAGAAAGTTAGATCTTAACACACTTTTAATAAAAACCTAGTTAAGTGCATCTCACTAATTATAAGTAGTGAAGATCTATATAGACTTTAGTAGGACTTTAACTAAGGGACCCTAATAGGAATTAAACCTATAGTGCTTGAGATCTATAGCTAGTTACTACACTTAAATTAATATATATACTATTATAGTATATAGTAGGTAGGAGCTAGGCTTATAACTGTCACGTAATAAAATAATACTGTTAGTTATATAGGCAGTAATAGTAGCTTATATATTATAACAAGATACTACTGGGCTTATAACTGTTACAGGTTGGAGTGCACAGCTAGGCATAGAAAAGTGATGTGTAAAGTGCTTAATTATAAGAAACAGTATCTCGTGTACTAGGCCTATAGAAATACTATTATGATGCGCTGCTACTTGATATTACTCGGATATAAATCGATGATAACTATTCAAGCTAAGGGAGAGGAGCATTTGGTCCGGGGGCATTCCTGTTAGTGTTACTGGGGCCGCAAGACTTGGGGGCGACTTCCCCACTAGCTCTTCATTCGAGCCCTCGGAACCGGGCTCTGGAATGTCAATATGGAGATCTGAAGTCTCGATCTGGGTTAGAGATGGAAATTTGAGTAACCCGGACCAGAGGCCCCTTTCTTGGTACTCGGGCCGCAGGACTTAGACAGCAAGCCATATTTGGTCTGGGGGAACATTCCAATTACTCAGACTGCAAGACTTAGAGGCAAGTTCTCAAATATAATTTGGCAACGCTCTTCATCCGAACTCTTGGCAATGGGCTCTGGAATGTCAACTCAGGGGTCAGGAATCTCGACCCGAGATCGCGATGCCAATTCGACTGATACAGTTCGTGTACTCTTAGCGCATCGTCCATCCGTTCGAACACGCTCGTCGTCGATGCGCTCACTTTGCAAATTCCTCCACTTCGAAGTTTCATTTTCCACTTCACAATAATTCTCCATTAACTTTCTTGAAGCTGCTCTTGTCTATCTCTCTCGAACACCTTTGGCTCACCACTCTTGTCACTCGTTTTCTATCAAACCGCAGTCTCTGTCGGCAACCACCTCACAATGTATCAAACCACGTCTCTCCTGGCGGCCGTCCTCGCCCTGACCCCAGCCGCCGCGGCTCAGCAGATCGTCCTCGTCATGCGCACCGCTACTATCACCCAATGCGTCACCGCCACCAGCGGTGCGGTCCCTACTTGTGCCGGCTGCGCACCAGCAGCCCCAATCGTCCAGCTGCCTGCTGTCACCGGCGGACCCATCCGCGTCCAGATTGAGGCCCCCAAGTGCCAGCGCTGCGGCTGTAACACGTGCACCCAGATTGTCAAGTTCACTACTGAGTACGACGCCTTCTGCCCTACTGGCCTTACTAGGCAGGTGTACGAGTGCACTGAAACGTACAAGGGCATGCCTGCCATGCCCACCCTCCTCTCTACCGATCTGCCCCTTGGCTTCACCAGGGACATCCAGACCTGCTACACCTGCGGCCCGACGCCTATCACTGCTACCATCACCCGCCCTATCACTGACCCCCAGGGCACGCCGATAAATATTCCTGCCGATAGTGCTGGCTTCAGCTCGGGCTCTGGCTCTAGTTCCGGTTCCAACTCCGGTTCCAACTCCGGTTCTCACTCTGGTTCTGGCTCTGGTTCTGGCTCTGGTTCTGGCTCTGGTTCTGGCTCTGGTTCTGGTTCTGGCTCTGGCTCTAGTTCTGGTTCCAACTCCGGCTCTGGAACTGGCTCTGGAACTGGCTCTAGTTCTGGTTCCAACTCCGGCTCTGGAACTGGCTCTGGAACTGGCTCTAGTTCTGGTTCCAACTCCGGCTCTGGCTCTGGCTCTGGCTCTGGCTCTGGCTCTGGCTCTGGCTCTGGAACTGGCTCTGGCTCTGGCTCTGGCTCTGGCTCTGGCTCTGGCTCTGGCTCTGGCTCTGGAACTGGCTCTGGAACTGGCTCTGGCTCTGAAACTGGCTCTGGCTCTGGCTCTGGCTCTGGAACTGGCTCTGGAACTGGCTCTGGAACTGACCTGGGCTCACACGTTGTACCAAGCGCTACCGCCGGTAAATGTAAGCAAACAACCCAAACGTGGAACCAAGTTGAGATTCAACGATGCTAACAATAACGTTCATGTAGCTCCGAGCGTTGTAACGACCGCCGACTCCCCGTCTATTATGTCCCTAGCTTTCGGACAAGTCACCATACTCTTGTCTTTCTTTGTAGCTTTGTTTGTTCTATAAACGGGGCGTTGTCACGAAAATAGAATATGGTTTGCTGGCTCCTCGTGATGGCGTTGAAGTAGAGATAGACGAGCAACTTGCCCGAAACAGGGCCGGCGTGGACGTCTCGCCCGGGAAAAAGGTCAACAGTCTGGATGAATGCCACCGTATTAACAAGTTCAGACTTTTTGGAATTATGAACAGAACATATATACTAGGAACACTCCTGTCTAATATCTTACTCTATAAGCTGTCTCTTTATATAATTATAAATAATTCTAAATAATATTGGTTTTACACTAATAAACGTTTACTATTTCGATAGCAAGTCTGAGCGAATGGCATGTTTCGAGATATTGTTGAAGTATTAGCGGTCGCGATCCGTCTGCGCGTTCCTCGGCTTATTCACGTCGTCGTTGCTCCACTTCGCGCAGGTGGTGCGCTTCCCGTAGCTGCTCTTGCAACCTCTCAATTTCTCCCATGGAGGCTGATGAATCTGCGGGAGATGGGGCGAGTGATCGGCGTCGAGAACTGGTTTACTGTGAGACGCTAGATGAGGGAACAACGTTGGGACAGCATAAAACCCAATCTGCCCACGCATTCTCGTATGTCCTTCAGCGCTTGAGTCGCTCAGCCCAATTCAGGACCCTCTACTCCATTGATAACGCGGCCTCCTGCTAATGCAAGCAGATTGCACCGTTGACTTTGCGCCTGCATACGCAAGCCCTAGCATGTTAGAATGTGCTGGTTTGACGACATTCTCAGTCGCAGCATGCCCTATGTTAAAACAGTAGAGAGGACATGTATGGAAAGCCATGTGATCAGGACTAAACATTCCCAGATGTCTTCCTTTCTGAAGTAGAGCCGCGTTCAATGCTTCCAGGGTCGAAAGAGGCTTCGAATCCTGGAAGAATCCGTGGGTGTTCTTCTTTGCAGCATAAACGCCGTTGCCCTTGCAAGAAATAACTCCATCCTCGCCCACCTGGAAGAACCAACCCGTGGTGATTTGTGCAGGCTCAAACCCAAGGACATCCTTAGTATCCATCATCAGAGTGCCCTATGGCCCAACCAGGAGCTCAGTCTCGGTTCAGTCCCTTGGGCCATCCAAGAGCTGCAGCGCAACCAAGCCTGCAAGGTTGTTGAGGTGCAGGAATTCAGCAAGCTCTCGAGAAAGTGCCTTGGGGACCTTGGTTGCCTTGGATGAAGCTTCGCCTTCCTGAAACTCATACAGGACGAAGGCTCCTATGATTTTCTTAACTATTAGACATGCTAAACATCCAGTCTTGCAGTCTCTTTACCCTGTCTATTTGCTTTGTATGCCCCTGTGAGTGTGGGCTAAGCCAAGTCGATGTGGATTTCCTTCGTACAACGTGTTCTTGTAGTTCCGCCACGTGTTCTAGTAGCCTGATGACCCCTCTTGTCCGTGCATCCTACTCTACATACCACCCGGCAACATTAGCAGCAAGCCGACCAGATGAGGATCACATCAATATCTGACCGTAACATTTTGGCATGTATGTGTTGATGTTTGATGAACATAGACAGGATGGCAATGCCTGCTAGAAGGTCTTTATGCATTTGTTCGCGGTTAAGGCTACCGTCTGCTGTAACCTCACAGGGTTTGTCTTAACAATCTTATTAATGCTGCCCATCCCTTTCCAAAACCGATTCATTCACCCTTTGGCGATCTTGTGTACCCTTTCGTTTGCGGCAGCATTTGGGGATGGCCAATACTTTCTTTCCAGTATATTCCAATGCATCAACAGAGAACGGCAAGTAGGTATTGGAATACTTGCCATGATCATTTTCCGCCTCCATAATATTTATTTGTAGTACTTCTGGATCGACATCGTCAACGGGAACTAGATAATCATACTTCACACCATAGTAATTGTCACGAGTTGATATAAGGCGTTAGTTGTGCTGCCCGCAATTAACGGCGTCGTTTTAGCGCGACACCTGTCGAGAGACAGATCTGTCATTTTCAATCAATCGAGTCAGGAAGAGATTAGGTCTTACTCTAATGTCTTATTACCCTCACTAACCTATCCCATGTACTCATCCTGCACTACCATATCACCACAGACATCAGGACGGACGTCCATCCCATAAATGTGCTAGAACGTCAGTGCTGCAAGCGCTAGACTGGCTGCCTGAGAAAACGGCCGTGAAATGAAGCTTGTTTCCCATACCACAGATGGGAAAAGCTTTTCAATCGATTCTCGCGGACCTTCGATCTAGACTCTAAGGGGCTGCTCAATACGCGGTAGATGCAGATGGCTAGCAGGAGATTTGATGCAGGGTGGAATATAGAGATCAAGAGCCATGGCAAAACGTTTGAACTAATTGACTGTCTGAAATCTGGTGATATGGTCGACTGAGGAAGTGCTCTATATTGAATGAAGGCTAGGAGGATGGTCTTATACCTCGTCGTACCCCAGCGCGACCCACACACCATAGAAACTTGCCTTGCCTAAACGACATTCTTGATGCACAAAATGTGTGGCGAGCCACTAATATTCTGCATACATGCCAGCAAGCAGTTAGCAATTACCTATGTTTAGGTAGCGGCTTCTTATGCGCGCTCACGCACATAGTGTTTGCTTTGGCCCTACGTGCTGGTTGGTCATCTGCTTGGCCTGCCCTCCGCCTGGCTGTCTGTTCTTGGGAAGAATTGCATGTTTGCGATCGCCTATAGTATAACAGGAGTGAAGTTGGAATAACACCAAGCAAGATAAAAATATTACATGCTTAAGGTATATCATATGCTTACTGGGCCACATCAACAGCAGACATACTGATGAAATCGGCCTAGTTTTCCTTCATATCCTGGAGTACTGCCCGGGAATGTTGTTCCCGACGACCAACCGGGTCGGGTGCCCCTATTTTCAGTCTATCTGCCGCTTGTGGGAATTGCAACAGATCATTAGGCTTTTGGAGCTTCTAGTCTTGCCTTTGCCTGCTTTGATAGCTTCAGCGACGTTTTCAATCCTGTTGAATCCATGACCACGAGAGTCGAACCCCAGCCAGGCGAGGGAGATAGCCAGTTCCGCCTGCAACTTCTTGATGAGTCCTTAAAAGTTCCTACATCGGCTTCTGAGACGGGGTTCTCAGACGGGGTTCTTAGACTTGACAGCTCTCCATGGATATACACTCCTCTGGGTGACGAAAAGATGACTGCGGAGTGAATTCACTGAGAGGGTCCGGCAAGTGTGTTAGATAATGTAAGCGCAAACATATGAAACAATAGGTCTGCAAGCTAGAAGGGTACTAGAATCGTATGAGAATCAATCTGTTTTATCCCCCTAGCTTTTCCAAATCTTGCAATTTACTTTATTACCGGATATGTTGGCTAACGAAGGTACCTCGGACGTGGGCCATCCGGATTCTCATGAGTGAGCCTAATCGATGGAAGATTCAAGGTTCCAAACCTGCGAACCTGTACTTTGTACATCTTCATGGTTCCTCTCCTCATCAAAAACATGATGTTCAAGATCCTCAACCTCAAGCTTACCGACATCCGCATTATCTAAGTATACTGTTAGAGGACCTTTCGTCAAATTATGCTAGGTTATTGATAACCAAGATTTCGAAAGCAAGGTCAAATGCAGTTTACTGACCAATTTTCTCTTTCCCGCATCGTTGCTCGTCGTTGTCCACGTTGATAATGCCCTCCCCGTCTCCGAACCCTTTCGTCGTCCTTTGACTGTCGGAGTTAAGAATATTCTTTTCTTCAAGAAGCGCTTCAGGGCCCTTGCTCGTTTCCATCGAGTCACCCCTTACGAGGAAGCTGTTTGTCTCAGGCTGTTGGGCCATCGAGTCAGCATGATCAGCCAGCATCCGTCTAGTTGAATCCTGCTCCTTCAACCACTTCCGTTCGTTCTCCAGAGAAGTTTCTTCCTTGTTCAGCATTGGCCTTTCGACGTTATGCAGGCTTGGACTCTGGCTTCTCATAGGCCGGTCGTTGTCATCGCTGAGCTCAGTCCAGTCCGAGGAAGATCTTACGGAGTGAAAGCTTGCTTGCCGACTGCTATTCTTAGCCGAGTATTTTGTTCCAGCGTATATAGACGGCTGTGGCTGGCCCCTGTCATACGGAAGGCGACCTGGTTCATCTTCTAGGTCTCGTGCTCTTTTGAGATACACCGTCTTTTCGTATGACCTGTTCGACAGTGCCCGAAGAATCATAAATCGAGTTTTCTGCAAGTCGACATTACACTCAGCATCTCCAAACTCTAAGAGGTTGCTTCGCAGATCATTGCTGACGCCTGGTGATCGCTTCAAAATGTAACGATAAAAATAGGCTCTCAGCAGACCCGACCGATTCCCCACGGAGCGCCACAAGTTGCACAAATCGACTAGGTGCGCCTCGGGATTCGGGGATGAATATTTCAGCTGTTGTAGACAAGCTGCTTCCAACATGACGTCGCCAAGCTCTCTCGCATTCCTCACGACCATGAGGATAGCTTTCTCCTGCTCGTAGGAAAATGCGATGGAAGAATCTGGCTGCCAATCCGGAGCCTCGTCTTGGTTTGGCGTGTAGTAAACATCGTCCTGAAAAGAAAGCAGTCCACGAAACGCCCCTGAGCTGACCTTAGATTCCCCTCGCAAATTGGATAAATACTTCACAAGGGTAGCTTGTCCGCAGCGAGCTGTATCGGTGTTCTTCTCCACTAGGACTTTGGCAACAACCCACTGAAGGTAGGGTCGAGACTTCAGATTGAGAGGGTTTTGGCGTAGGACTCCAGTGGCGTAGTGTTGGGCAATCTTGAGGTACGTTTTGGCGGTTTGAAGCTCCTCGGAGTCGTCTAGTGAAGTTTCATACCGACTGTTGGCAGCGTCCAGGGCCCACATGGTGAACGCTGTGAAGATATCCAGCAAGGCTAAGGATGTCACTTCGTCTCCAGCAGAGCCTTCCCAGTGCTGTTGAATCACTTGGGTAACCTCGGGTGCATTCTCGTTCTGTGAGGACAAATATCTGCTGAAAAGGCAATGAATCGTTTCCTCTAGCGATTTGACGGCCAGAAGCCCGTAACACAAGTCTCTGAAGTCCCAAATGCGGTCTTCATGCTGGAGATGTGCATAAAGCTCGCCATATTCGTCTGCGTTGTGTCCCTCCGTTGCGCCTGCGTGTTTGACAACACGCAGGTCGTTGATGAGACATTGCAACTGACATTGGTCAGACAATCTTGTTTGAAGCATAATACAGGCAACTTACTTCTGTAGAGTCCAGCTTTGGCCAGTTTTGAAGCAATTTCCGAAGGTTTGGCGTCTTTTGCCATCCACCTCGCGGACAAACCTCATCATCAAACTGATGGGCTCGTTCACGAACCAGAAACCAGTTGGCTGATGCAGCCTTCTCTAAATCTCCTGGCGGGTACTCCCTCGCCAATTTGGTGAGCGTATGAATGTCTGAAATCTCCAGCAAAAATTGACCATATTGATCCAAGACGTATGCGTTGTCGATGCAGCGTTCAAGATGCTCCTCGAAATATCGCTTTGCCGCATTAAAGTGTCCTATCCTTCTGAGTTTTGAGAACTCTTCGAGCTCTTCTTCTACATCTTGAGTTACATCCAAGTCCAAGTGCAACGTGACATCTCGGCGAGCCTTGGGATTGACCTGGACATCCACGGTAGGGGATGGTTTGCTGGTGCGGGGTTCTTTCTCAGATTCCATGCTGTGTTTTCTCCGTAACACTTCTCGTTTTGGAACTGGTAAGGGTTCTCGTATGACGAGTGGCGGGCTCTGTGGCTTGGATTCTGGTTGTGAGGGCATCAAGTTGAATCGATTCGATAAATGGTTTTTGGTTGGATGCGTGTGTGGCTGAAAGAACCTTCTACGACCTGTCGCTAGAGAGATCTGCATCACCCGGTCATCCCAAAGGTCGAATTCTTTTTGCGCCCGTTCTAGATCTAGGAAGAACTGGGCACGTCTCGTCTCCGCAGATGCCTTGTCTTCTTCGATTACGTCGGGTCTTTGCGTCTTCCAAAGCTCTCGGATTTTTTGCTTACTTTGCTCTCTTGCAGAATAAGCCTCAAAATGCGCCCGTGATACATCTTCATCAGTTTGAAATGATTGTTGATTGGTGTGACGAGAGTTGAGCTGCTCTCTTGAAACCGCAACAGGCAGACTTTTCTGATCATGTTGGTCGTCATTGAGGAAGGACAAATCTGGTCTTGATAACTTTGTGGGCGGTTCTGGTGGGATTTGACCTCGTGCCCCTCGTAATCTCATGTCGATTGCTTTCCATCGCCCGATTTCCTCGCGATATATTTCTTCTGTCTTTCCGCTTGTACGATCGTCTAAGCTGCGTTGCATGTTGGCTTCGAAGGCGAATGTATCCCACCCGGCACAAAAATTGATGTATGCGAAGCGAACCACGAAGAAGCAACCTCACGCGCGGAAGATGTCAAGTAGCGTGGTGTTTAGGCAGACAGATAGATCGCTGGAAAGGAAGGGTATGGCTTGATTGGGAGCAATCAGGCTGTATGTATTGGAACTGCGAAACCCCAACTCGATTGAGGGCATGGGCGCTTAGCTGTGCATGCAGCTTAATTACCTCACAGCCGGCAGGCTGTACTGACCCCAGCCACTTTGGCGGGCCACGCTGATTTGATGCGATGTCCTCCCCAACGGCTAAGGTCGTGTCCAAGACAGGGCCTTCAGAGCCGACGTCCATTGTCGGTAAAGCTTCATGTAAGCAAGGGTGAGTGAGGGGTGGTGGGAAGCAAACGAGCGAAGGGCATCTCGCATGCAGGCCTCAGCCACACGCTACTATTGTGCATGCCTAGGAATAATTGGGGTCTCGTAACACTAGTCATTGAGAGACTGCAGAGCCTGATTGAATTTCCCTCGAACATTCCCAAATTTGACATCTTTCTTCTTCGACCATATCGTTAACAACCTGGCAGCTAATTCGAAGTACAAAATGAGCAAAGCTGAACACGCCGCTACGGCGTATCGAGATGGCGCCATGGACGGCTCTCCGATGCCGCTCACTGCCTCTGCTCCCAGGGCAGCGGAGATCAGCAAGAGGAGCAACTCAAGCAGTAGGAGGGACATTCGTGTCGAGAACGAGTATCGTCAGCCCGCCCCCCATTCGATGATGGCAGATGTTGCCATTGGACCGAGATCGGATATCAGACGCAATCAGCAACGGCCTGGGCTGAGGATTCGTCGTTTCGGCCGGTCCGACTTCGAACGGTTCAATGAAGAAGCTGCTGTTGGTTCTCATCTATTATTGGGATCAAGCAGCATTGGCAAAGTCGAGATCGAGTGCAATTACCGTTGGAGAAAGGCACGATGGGGAGTGCTTGGGCCAAACCAGAACCCAGCGGGCATCGTGTATATCGACATCTCTTTCAAGCAGCCCCCGGAACACATGCTCAGCAACGCCAATATTCTCATCACACTAAGCGAAGACGCGCCTTCCTCCCTTGGCAGATTTAGTCGCAGGAAACCTATCCGGACGTCCTTGGATTCGGAACACGCTGTGCAGGTTACGGAGTACTTCGGGCCTCATGCTATTTACGGCCCTCAGGGCATGAGTCTCGAAACCAAGGAGAGGACATTCCAACCCACCATAGGAGCTGGCGGTATGGTTGAACTTGGCGGGATGGGAACTCGCCAAAGCGTCACTCGTCAATACGTTGACAGCTGGACTTTCAAAGGAACACAGAAACGAGCCAAGGACGGCATAGGTCTACGGTGTCTCGAATGGGAGCTTACAGAGAACGACACCGAGAAAAAGCCGTTGCATAATCACGTGTTTCATACAGCTTTCGCATTCGAACACAGCGGGAAGCCAGTCAATATGTGCGTCGAGATCGGGGGACGCCTCAAGAGCAAGACCAAGCAAGGGAAGCAACGACTCTTCAGATTCCGCTCGAGATCCGGCGATAAAGATAACAACGTCATGGTCACTCAAATCGATCTCTCTACAGCCAGAAACGACTTCCAGGACAAGCTCGACCAGTTAGCGTTTGGTCTCAACCTGGACATGCAGAGGATCAATCTTGAGGCGATCCCCGTAGAGATGCCGGTACCTACTCAGGCTACTTTTGAGCCGGTGGCTTCGGACGCAAGATCGTACGCAGACGAGGCCATTTTGAACAGTATTGAGGAATCCCCGGGTGATGATATCAACGAGTTGAAGGAGTTTCTGCTGCAGGAAACCACACGGCCGCCAGCTTTCAAGATTTCTCAGCCGGTATGTAGCGGCAACTCATCAAGCGGCGACGAGACCCTCGTCAACGATAGTGACCACACTGTCTCAGGCGGATCAACCGCTTCAAAACAAATAGCTTGGCGAATTCCCGAGGTTATGATTCTGGCCCTTGTCAGATGGTTGATGTTGATGTTGAAAGCAATTGGGACAGATGACGTCTACCTTACTGGCATGCCCGTCTCTACAGATGAGGGTGGCAAGACGACCGCGGACCGGGACATCATGATCGACCGTGTGAAATCAGAGATACGAAGCAGGAGCGGCCCGCGCATGGAGTCAGTTCTAAACAGGAGATTGCTGGACGCGGCAGCGACTCAAAGCGTTTCTAAGGGGCATCTAGTCCCTGAACCGTATGGCAGTCACTTTCAGGGCCATCAGAGAAGGTTGAGCCATGTTCGAGTTTCGGGTCAGGATGCCGCCAGTATGGAACTTCGAGGGAATAAAAATAGGTGCAGCAACTGATGGGATTCAACTTGACCATATCAGCACCAGTGACCGGCTGGGAAAAAGCTTACCCTGGCGTTTATGAGCGCAGAAGAGGGAAAAATCATCGAAAAAGAGTAAGTAGCTTCCAGGGCCTTAAGTCCATAAAAGGTGTCAGGTGCCAGAGGTAGGGGGCACCAGGGGACCACCAGCTATAGGGCCATAACCAGGAAAACTATTATCTAAGGGTTATATAAAAGCAGAGTTTATAGGAACAGGAGAATTAGGAGAAGGTAAATTAAAAAATAGTTATAATTAACCCCTAATTACACTATTTATAGACTCCTTTACTTAGTACTATAACACCTTTAATATATTTTAATCTTTACTTATCCTTAGGTGTACTAACTATTAAAGCTATAATATTACTCTCTAATACCTAAGCTATTACTTAGTAAAGTATAAGTGTTACCTTTAGGTAATTAACCTTAGATAGTAGTAATACCTAGGCATAAGTAAAGAATAAAGGCCTACTAGTATAATAATAGCTCTAGAGTAATCTTAAAAAGATAATAAAAGAGAAGCTTAAGTACCTTCTAGAGAAGTAAATAAAAAAAGCTAAAAAAGAAAAATAGTTAACTAAATTCTAGCTTTAATAAATAAGGCCTTTATTAAAAAGGTATATAATATACTAGGCCTAGCTACTACTTTTTAGCTAAAGTATAAGTACTACTATATTAATATACTATTAAAGTAGTTACTTTTAATCTAATATAAGAGAGGTATATAAAATAACTTTTAAGACTTCTTATTTAAGCTAAAAGGATAATTTAAAGTTATAAAAAAAGAATTTAAGGATAACTAAAGTAAAGTATAGTACACTAGCTTTATACTAAAAAGTAATCTAGTATATAAGTAGTAAAGGTATATTAAAGCCTACTATAATAGCTAAATAAAAGAAGTAACCTAAGAGATAATAAAGACCTAGTTAAAGAATAATATTATTAATACTAATATATAAGCCTTTAGTATAATAGTAAAGCTTAATAATATAAAGTAAAAGGTTAACTAATTATACTAGTAATTTATTAATAAGTATAAGACTATTAAAGTAAAGTACTTTAACTTATAAGCTAAAAGGTAATAGGTAGTCTATATACTTAACTAGTTACTACTTAATCTAAAGAGCTATATATTAGCCTAGAGGATACTAAAGATATAATAAGCCTTTAATAATACTATATAATAGGCTAAGACACTAGCTAAAGCCTATACTAAGGATAAACTAGTAGACTAGTAAAGGTAGAATTAAGAGTAAAAAGACTAGTAGGCCTTAGCTATACTACTAAGTCTTAATATAAAGGTCTTTATAATAAAGCCTTAGTCTATATACTTTATATTTACGCCTATAATAACCTAAGGTATATTAACACTAACACTAAAAGCCCTAAAAGTAAAAGAGAAAAAAAGTAACTACTTACCTTTAACTAGGCTATAGTACTCCTTAACTTACTTTAACTATAGTAAGCTAAGGTATCTATTAGCTAGCTATACTAAAGAGAAGTACTATAGGTATAGCTAACCTAGACACTTAGATAAATAGTATATAATAAAGGTAATAAAGGTTAATACTATTTAATTACTTTAGAAGAAAAGCTATACTACTAATTTAAGGTAGACTTTTATACTAAGATAAGTAGTATATAGAGGAAAAAAAGAGTATTAATTAACCTAAAGGTAAATAAAAACCTTATACACTAGAGAATATTATATATAAGGAGGCTACTAATAGTCTATAGAAAAAGACTACTACTATAAGATATATAAGAAAGTAAAGCCTTAGACTATAGTTTAAAAAAGATAATATTAAAGGTAAAAGATAATATTAAAATATTAAGAATATAAAACTATACTTTATAAGTAAGTAATATAGGGGAATATAATATTATCCTAGGGATCCTCTAGAGGTAAGTAGTAAAGCTTAACCTTAAGTAAAAAATAATTAGCTAGACTTATTTACTAAGTAAAGACTATATCTAACTTATATAAGGCTAAAGGGTAATTAGGAAGGCCCTAAAGGATACTAAGGTAGTCCTTATAGACCCCCCTATAATTTAATACCTAGGGTATAAAACACTAGAGAAGGCACTAAAGATACCTACTTATATACTAAAGAAAGATAAAAAGGCTAGTAAGGCTAGTAGTATAAAGGCTATAATACTAAAAGAATATAAAGAATAGGCCTATATATTTAATATAGACCTAGTAGTAAAACTAGTAAAAAATAATATATAAATATATATAATAGAATTAAAACTAGGTATAGTACTACTATTTAGCCTTATTTACTTACTAGTAAAAAAAGAACTAAGAAAGCTAAAGAAGTATATTAATAAATCCTTAGCTAAAGGCTAAATATAGCCCTTAAAGTTACTAGTAGAAGCACTAATCCTATTTATACCTAAGAAAAAAAGTAAGCTTTACTTCTATATTAACTACTATAGGCTTAATAAGATTACTATTAAGAACTAAGTACTACTACCTTTAATAAAGGAAATCCTAGACTATCTAGTAAAAGTAATATAATTTATAAAGCTAGACCTTAAGAATATATACTACTAAGTAAAGATCTATAGTAAAAATAAATAAAAGATAGCCTTTTATACTTACTATAGACACTATAAGTATTAGGTTATACCTTTTAGGCTAGTTAATATACTTATAATATTCTAATCCTATATTAATAATACCTTAGTAGGTCTAGTAAATATTATTTATATTATTTATTTAGATAATATCTTAATCTTTATAAAGAATAAAAAGAGCTATATAGAGGTAGTAAAGATAATACTAAGCTAGTTAAATACTATAAGGCTATACACTAACCCTAAGAAGTACTGTAGTGGGGTTAGGTGGCATGGTCGCAAGAATCACGTGGTGGTTAATTCAAGGGATGAATCAACAGGAAAGCCACCCACCTATTGAAAAAGGGATTCATAGACCCAAGAAGGGATTAGAAGGGGACACAATCATTTTATACACAGTCGTTATCGTTAGCCTTAATACTCTATACAGAAATACACTGCTAGTTATTACCGCACTTTTATTTATTTAAGGGAAATTCACTCTCTTTGCGATTACTTTGTTAAATTATACTTTTATTTTAGTATCTTTGTAGATTAGGTCTGAGAATTGCAAGACTTATTAATTAATATATATATTATTATTATTAGACGTTGTTGTAGTGTAGGTGGTTTTCCTATGTTTTACTATTTCTCTTTTCCTTTGTTAGGTAGCCTAGATGCCTTGCCCTTTCTTAATGGTGCCTAGAGGCAGATCTGCTTCTTTAGTATAGGTATTCTATACTAGACTACAGACAGGCTCTCCTACGCGGTTATAATAAATTCGTAGTTAATAAAAACATAAACATAACGTATTATTAATATTTAGTAATACTTCTGCTTAATTAACGGTAGAACTAGCAAGAGATATAGTAGCTATACGCTCTTATAGACTAATTTGTAGGGATAAGATAGACCCTAAAAGCCTCCCTTAAAGTGGCAGGAATACGCTAAGATTTATTAAGTGCATATATATTCCTTTTCTATTTTTAACCTCTCTTTTTGTTTTATATTTCCCTTTTTTAATTATAAGTATATAAAATAGATTATTTAACTTGCAAGATAATTTATAGATCTAAAACACACTAATATAGATAATTAATAGTAGTCCTACTAAGCTAACAAGTGAAGTAGGGGCACTAGTTAGATAAAGCTAATAAATATTTTACCTAAGATATTGACAAAAAGAGACAGCATTTTTAAGAATAAGCCTATAGAGGGTTATATAGTATAATAATAGCAGCTATATATAGATAACGTCTTATAGCTGCAGTGTGCACTAAATAAAGGGCCAGAAGTTGCCTAATTTACTAGTTTAAATATTAGTATACACTTTTATTATTAAGACATTAACTTTTTTATCTTTTTAAAAAGTCTATAGAGGACTATAACACTTATTAAATTATCTGTAATAGTTAATTTGTAGACCTAATTTGCTATAGCTGACCCCTTGATCCCTCTAGATAAGAGTAGAGGATCTTTGTTGTCTAAAGGCAAGGATGTAAACGTCTTTAGTAGGGCCAGCTTTAGTAATATATAACTATAAGCTTTTCTTAAGAAAGACAACAACGTGGGAGAAATAATAAGTACGCTGCTATTGCAGGGACCTTCTTTTGTGACCCTAATAGACTTTCTAAAGCAACCTATGACTATGCAAGACTATCTGCAGATAGCTTAACTCCTTAGTAAGCGACTAACGATTATTTAGATAACCCCTTTTTCAGCTAGGGCGCCTAAATTCAAAGGAGACAACATTTCAGACTTCCTAGAGGAGTTTAATAACCTTTTAGCCCTTGCGCACAAGAAGTTATTTGAGAGGATTTAAGAGGTCTATATGTACTCTATCCCTAACCATTTAAAGGCAGTAGAGTTAATCACTTAGGACTAGACTTCTTAGGTAACCACAAAGGATAAATTAATAAAGGTCTTTAGATTAGTAGACCCAAAGATACTTTAGAACCCAATAAGGAATTACAAAACCTCGGAACAGTCCTTACATCACAGATAGTAATCCTAGTAGAATAACAACTCTTATTTTAACTATTTAAACACTATAGCAAAAGCTAAGGCCTATAGAGATATAAAGCTTACTAACATAGAGCTTATATAAATCATCTTCTATTGTTTCTTATAGAGGGCAATAAGGGCTATAGCTAAGCACTTAAGCTACAAAGTTATAGACGTACTATCTAAGCCATAGGTTAATATTAAGAATACTTTAGTTATTTAGTCTAGAGGGCAGTTAGCTTTATAACAGCTATTAGGCAACTTAAAGACTAATATTACTACACTATAATTAAAGTCTAACAGTAAGGTCCTAATAGTCAAGACTTTACAGGGAAAGCCTACTAGTACTATAAGCTAGGGAGTTATATCTACAGTTAAAGCCTTTGCCAAAGACTTTTAGGACCTTTTAATTAACAAGGCTAGAGTGTAGGCAAAGATATAGGCAGTAATTTAGTAAGCTCTCTAGCCTAATAACTCTACAACTGTTAACATTAGAAATCTTAATCCTATAGCGCCAGGGTACTAACCTTAGCCTTATTCTTAGACCTATAGTGGCAGTTATAACTGTGGTTAAGGAGGCTATGGTTGTGAGGAGGATATAGGTATAGCTAAGGTAGTAGTAAAGTTATAACTGCGGTTTCTACTAAGGCTACTAGGGTTCTTGACTTTAATACTATAATTGCTTTTACGCTAATAGTGCCTATTGTTTTATAAAGTAATGAATTATATTGTTGCTAACT